TCCCTGCGGTAGTAGTGGTTAGTGGCGGAGTTCAATGCTGTCAAAATCGCGCTTTAAAGCGTAAAATCGTACGTTTTTACCTTTTCAGCCCACAAATACGCTTTAGTTTCTACGTGAATTCGCATTATATATAAAATCGAACAAAAACGGTTGTAAAATCGGTAAAATCGTAAAAAAACGTTAAAATCGCATTTCTAGACCGATTTTATACGTTTTTTAGTTCAGTCCGGAAATGGCCAAAATCAGCCAAAGCGGCGCCGTTTTAAAAGGTTTTAATTAAAAAAAAAAAATTTGAATGGGCGAACATCAGCCAGCGCCCAGCAGGGGATCCATTTTACCCTAAATCGTATTCTCTTCTCCAACTCCACAAACGCGCAGCTGTCCTCCTTCAACCTCCGCGCTCGACGTCCTCCTTCAACCTCCGCGCGCCGCCATCCTCCTTCAACCTCCGCGCCGCCGTCCTCCTTCAACCTCCGCGGCGCCGCCGTCGTTCCCGTTCAACCTCCGCGGCGCCGTCGTTCCCCTTCAACTTCACGGGCGGCGTCGTCCTCCTTCAGTCCTTCCCCAGTTCCCCTTCAACTCCGAGACGCCGACCTCCATCTGGCTGGCGGCTGCTTCAAGAACCGTCGCCGTCCTCCAGCGCTGGTTAAGTGACCGTCGCCTTCTTTCTGCAATTCATTTGAATTGTCTAAGATTCAGGGTTTTGTCATTTGTGTTTGTAGAATCCAAACGAACGCCCCCTAATTGCTAAGAGTGCCCTTGAGAATACAGTAATTTTGGTTGATAAAGAGAAGGCCATTTTTCTGCCTCATTGTTGTGTACACGATCTGCCTGGAAGTCGAACATTAGGTACAGGCGTATATCACAAGTGGGTTTGCATGTTGGTAGCTAAATAACACAAGAATTGGAAATTTGTTATTGAACTTCTATTTTCTTTTTGCAGATTTGTACTAATGTCGAGTGGTGGTGTCGGTACTAGTGCAAGTAATTCTGTGATAAATAGTAAATCAAAGAGGAAAAATGCACCGGGAAATCGTAATGATCCCGGTTGGCAGCATGGTGTAGATGTACTTGGCACTGGGCAGAAAGTGAGGTGCAATTACTGTGACAAGGAAGTATGTGGTATTTCCCGATTCAAGCATCATCTTGCAGGAACAAGAAAGGATTATGTGGCTTGTGTTAGTGTTCTAGATGAAGTGAGGGCAAAAATGCTAGAGCTACTCCATCTGAATGAAGAAGGGAGGGAGGCTAAGACAAGGAAGCTACATGATCTTGGCCTTGGTGGGAATGTAGATGATATTGATGTTCCAAATCGAGATTCAGTTCATTCAAATGTGGCTGGAGGTAGTGGCAGTAGTAAACAAAAAACAATAAGTGCACTTTTGAAGAAAGATCTCCGAGAAAAGGCTTGCAAGACAATATCACAATGGTGGTATGAAAATGCACTTGCATTCAATGCAACTAGAAGTTCCAAATATAACCAGATGTGGGAAGATGTAGCTCGACATGGTCCTGGTTTTAAACCTCCTTCATATCATGACATTAGGGAGACTTATCTGAAAGAAGAATTGAAGGAAGTGGAGAGTAAATTGGAGGTGTTTAAATCTGAATGGAAGGCGGTGGGTTGCACTATAATGTCTGATGGATGGACAGATAAGAAAAGAAGAGTTCTTTGTAACTTTTTGGTTAATAGTCCTCGTGGAACTGTATTTCTTGAGGCTGTTGACACTTCTGAGATTTCAAAGACTGCTGAGAAGGTGTTTGAGATGTTGGATAAAGTTGTTGAGAAGGTTGGAGAAGAGAATGTTGTTCAAATTGTGACAGATAATGCTTCAGCTTATAAGGCGGCAGGACAAATGTTGATGGAGAAGAGGAAGCATTTGTTTTGGACACCATGTGCAGCCCATTGCTTGGATTTGATGTTGGAGGATTTTGAGAAGAATATTAAGGTGCACAAGACTACAATTGGGAAGGGTAAAAAGATCACAAAATTTATTTATGTCAGAACAATGTTGATTGCCATGATGAGAGGGTTCACTGAAGGGAAAGATTTGGTTAGACCTGCAGTTACTAGATTCGCTACATCATATTTGACCTTGGCATCTCTCCATGACAACAAAGGTTCCTTGATGAGAATGTTCTCTTCTGACAAGTGGAGGAAGAGCGGTTTTGCTAAGCTTCGGGAAGGGAAAAGAGTTCAAGCGATAGTACTTGATGGCAGATTTTGGCAAGATGTGTCAATTTGCCTTAGAGCTTCTCAACCTCTAGTCAAGGTTTTACGCTTGGTTGATTTTGATGAAAAACCAGCAATGCCTTTCTTATACTTTGAGATGATCCAAGCAAAGGAGAAGATTAAGAGCAACTTCAACAATGTGGAAAAAAGGTAATTTTTCAAACTTAGTATTCTTATTATATTATGAAACAAATCTCTATGTTTTTTTATTATTTTAAGTTGTGAATTTATTGTCTTTTATGTAGATATAAACCTATCTTGAAGATAATTGACAAAAGGTGGGAAGATCAAATGAGTAGGCCCTTTCACTATGATGCATATTGGTTGAATCCCCAAATTCACCATTCTCATGGTATGGGATTTAACTATAATGATCCAAAGGTGAAAATAGCTTTGTATGAATGTGTGAGTAGAGTTGCAAAGGATGATGAAGAGAAGTTTAAGATTATGGAACAATTGCATGTATTTCATCATGCTCAAGGCATGTTTGACAAATATGGTGCAATGACCTTAAAGGATAGGCATCATCCTGCTGATTGGTGGACTTCATTTGGAGATGAAGTGCCAGAGCTTCAAAAATTTGCCATCCGATTGTTGAGTTTGACTTGTAGTGCTTCTGGGTGTGAGCGCAATTGGAGTGCATATGAGTTGCTTATGATGTATGTTTATCAACTTATGTTTAACATGATATCAATCATGATTTATTGCAGGTAGTTATTCACTTCTATATAATTTATACACTAACATTTTATATAACACATGTCGTACTTAGCAAATTTTTAGCTATTTTACAGGATGCCTAAAAAACTTACGCTTTTACGCTTCGATTCTACGCTTTACGATTTTACCCCTTTTCCGCTTCTAGGTAAAATCGCGCTTTTGACTGCATTGCCGGAGTTTTAAATTTGAATAAAATGGCTAAAATGTTTACATTTGAGGAATTTTGAATCATATTCATTAAGGAAAGAGCCAGAACCTTAACAACGTATCCATTCTCCAAATTTGTTATCTACGTTTGAAAGTTGAGGAGGGCTATAGCCTATATAGCCCACTTGGATTCAACGTGTCTCCGACGCTCCGCCACCTAAAGCGGAGATCAGTTGTGAAGTTCTGTACGGTTTTTCCTGACCTACCTCTCGAACGAGAGCTTGCGAATGAAGAAGGATAATTACAGGAACCCTAAACATGTTATTATGGTGACCTAAAGAACCCAAATCATTGGAAAAGGGAAAAATAAAAACATTTGTAACACTAAAAAAAAGTGATCCCATTCCCATTTCATTGTCAGGCACACAGAGACAGATCAGTTATATAAAACAGATGGTGATGGATGGCTATGGGCCAGAAACCCTCCATCTTGCTACAGTGGGTTTTAATTTTTTTTTTTTTTTCCAGCATCTGAAAACTGAAAGTGGGGTGCATATGATATGCTCTATTCATAAGTCGACTCATTCAATTCAGTTAAGGGTAAATCTATGGGGAATGCCATAATCTCCGGTCATGTGCACGAACGTGGGGCGTATTGAAGAAAAAAGTTAGTGACGGAAGTGCCGTATCATATGTCATGAAATATGCTTTGCTTTCCTGTGTTTGTGTGGGTGGGACTTGGAAAGATGAAATCAACCCCATCACTCCTCTAACTCTACTTTCTTCGCCATATTCCCGCTCTAATGCGTCAATTCCATCAACAATGTCAGGAATGAATTAGTTTGTCAGTTTGATCCTGGTCTACAAATATCCAACCTTCCTTCTCTGTCTCTCGGAGCTGCTCATCTCAATGCAGTAGTTTGTACGTGGGATGGGGCGATTAAGTGTGGCTCTCATTCTGCTGGTGGGATGATTATTCTAAATCGAGATGCGGATGTCCTTTCGACTAAAGGGATTCATTTTTCGGTGTTTGATGATCCTATGATTGTGGAGCTGCGTTTTGTTCGGGAGGCTATTCTCTGGTGTCTAAGTCGGGATTTACGGAGACAAGGTTTGAAGGCGATGTCAAGGTCATCATTGATAATATCAATCGGACTGATACCCGGGATAACCAGATGGGGGCTGTTCTTGAGGAGGTTGTGCACTGCCTCGCAAGTCATAGTGGGCTTAGTGTGCGATTTGTAGGTCGTCGTAATAATAAGGTATCCCATTTGGTGGCTAGGAAGACCCTTTCTTTGTACCCAATTACAAGTCGCTTATTTAATTTTCGTGTCTGGCTGGCTTAATTTCAGGATGTAACTATCTATTCTTCTAATCAATATATATGATTATCTTTTGTAAAAAAAAAAAAAAAAAAAAGTGCGTGTGAGCTACTTACTTCTCTGCAAACGGGTTATTATCTTATGGGTAGGCTTTACTAGTTATAAGCCCAAATGTACAACTTATTAGCCCAACTAATCATACAATAAATGGGCTATTTGAACTGGGCCATAACAGTTCTCCCATCCGCCTTGTTGGTAGCCGGCTAGCCGCACCAGTTCGGTGATACCGGGCCTGTGCCATATACCTCCAGAGGACCAGAATATACGAGGAATCTCACCAAACAGAACCAAAAGGAACAAGGCAAAGTTCTTTTTGATGAAAACAAGGTAAGTTCATATAAAAAACATCAATTCCGTTTACTGCAGAGCATCATAGCTACTAGTTACATTAGCTCATCGAGTAGGTGCAGTACCTATTCTTCCTTTTACCGTTCTACCAGCTTAGGGAATGATACAGGACTACAGGTCACACTCCTTAAGTTTCAATTTAATGGAAGATCACGACCGGCTATGCTGCTTCAATAGTCAGAAGCTCCAACTCGATCACGGGGAATCAAGCGCAGTTCGGAGCCATGCTTGAGGAAGACATTACCTAAGTCAACCAAAGATTCGCATTAGCATATAGCAATGGAATGGCGGGGGAAAGACACTCGGCTTCGTGGAGGATTTGGGCAAAATTCAGCAAATGTAGAGTGCTAATGATTGAACCTCAGGCCGAATGCCTCACTCACAAATGATACCCAACGGAAACCACAGCATATAAAATGGACATATAGCTTAAAAGGGAAATGGAAAAGCATACCTGCACTTTGTTGGGGATTGATTCCAACTCCATCTGCATACATACAAGAAAAGGCAAATTCAATGCAAGAAACTTACAAATTAACAAGGGATGAAAAGAAAATAAAAATATGTTGACTCGATCAAGCTAGGTTTTGCACAACCTGTAGTAGAGTAGATGCAAACTAGCTTATTTTGTACCAGAAAAACAGAAATGCAGATGTAAGAAATTAAAACTCGATCAAAACCCATACATAATCTGTAGAAGAGTAGAGGGAAAATGTAGCTGATCTCAGAATAATTCAACGAGTTGGCTAGAGATTGACAAGCTACTGATCTATTTCAAATAGCTCCCCTACATCCCATATCAATCTTTTCCAAGGTTTCCTCCTATGTGCAGTTGACCTAGAAGGCAACTAAGTTAAATGTATTATCTGCCTCTAACCAGAAGCCTTTGCCAGACATCAACTCAGTCGATTGCCCTTCGCCAGACATCAACTCAGTCAATTGCCAAGGAAGCCATATTGTGGGCGGCAACCAATTTAACAAAATGAAAAGGCCTGATGGAGGCAGCGAAACAGCACAAGCAAGGATTGTTCAAGGTTCAATGATATCTATACAGAGATCATGATCCAAACAGACATTTCAGGTGACGCAAGATGTTATGGCAGGAAGATTATATTGGTAGATCCAACATACACGTCCAACCCAAAATCCAATTTCATCCACCAAGACTGCTTGTGATCGAAGATCAACGAGTGACAAGGAATCCTAATCAACTGTCAGAGCTAGCAACAGAGGCACATGATATAATCGTCGGCTCAACATATTGAGTTGCAGCAATTATTTGAGCACTTATTTGATGGCAGAGAATCATATGCTGATATCAAGCCTACACGATAAACAACCCCTTTTTACATCTCTTCCCTAGCTAAAGAAAATGATAGGCCACAATACCGCAGAAATCATTCGAGCACACATGCAGCTGCCGTATAATGTTCCTATTCACTACTGATCATAGATTACTTCATACTATAGACACCAGAAATAAGACAAAACTGCTACAAATTTGATGGAGTCAGGCAAGTTTCACATCCACAAATAGACCAACCACGCCATGCAATTGGCAACCTCTGATATTACAGAAGCTGAAAATTCAACGGTCGATCATGTCTGTATACTGTTCACCTAAATAACTAACAAGATTCCCAAACTAGAACCTTCAAACCTAGCACGGATCAAAACAAGACAAGAATCAGAAAAGAATTGAGGTACCATTTGTGATGATCGCGCTGGTCTGGGGAGGCACTTTGAATTCCTCTGCTGCGAATTTCAAGACGGCGGTGAACGGAGCTGCCTCTGGCACGCTAAACCTGAAGAAGAAGAAGAAGCAATAGACGAACATAATGACATATCAGCGCACCGAAGTCAATCGACGAGAGAGAACAAAAAGACGTCGATATTGAGGCGTTGGCTTACACTTTGAAAGGAAGCTTTGGATCGGAGGTGAGAGTAACTTTGAAAGAGACTTTGCCCCCGCCGGCGCTCGCCATTTTCGCAGCCTGAGGAAATTAATTTGCGGGAACAGAGGGGAGAAGAACGAGAAGAAAATGCTGCTGAAGTGATGGATTGGAGCAACGACGAGAAGGTATTACAATTTACACGTATCAGTTCTGTCGCGTCCGTAAAACGCAAGATGGTTTATAGCGGTAACCCGCCTCTTATTGCCTTTTGGGCTTTGCTCATCACGGGATAGGCCCAACTCGTAGTAAACTTGCTTTGAGGAAAAGAAAAACCTCGTTTAATACTAGACCGAAGCCCAATGCAAAGAGACGGGCCTACATTTAATTTTATTTAGTTAGCTACTGGGATTAGCCATTATGAATGTGATTGTTAAAGAAGCAGATTTCAATTTGAACTCGGAGTATTATCCGACCTGGCCCGACTTGGTTTGTAGACTGTAGTAGTGTGAGACATAGTAATTACTTATGACCTTTTCATCTTTTTTTTTTTTATTACAGAAAGATGATTTTATTTACGAGTCATGTGAAATGATAGACAATCTCCTCTAAATAGAGTACACGAAACACTCATGAGTTGTGATCTATCTACTCAAACGTCTTCCTTCTCCAGTTTACCTGTTATATTTTTAATGAATCTAGCAAACCAATTTTCATTGCATGTGCTGCTGCATATATATTTGCATTCATCATCACTCAGGGCAAGGAAATAATATACAACAAGCTGAAAGACAGAATCAAACAAGATTAAAAAAATGGACAAAAAATATCAAACTGAAAGAAAATAATGAAAAGTCAAGAAAACACAGTCAAGGGCAAAGCAAGCATGATCATCAACGGCCACCATCTCCCCATCATTGACTTGACACCTTCCGTTCCTCCGCACACCAGCTTCTTATCATGATACGTGCACACCGGTTGCTTCCTGCAAAAGTATGGTACGCCCGCGATAATCCGTAAGCAACCAGATCACCGATAAAAAAAAAAACAAACTTGAAAATAAAGAGAATTTATAAAAATTACCTGGAAGCACAGAACGTAACGACATAATCTGTACCCGAGCAAGTGAAAATACTCGTCGGATCATCATACGCGTAACTATAAGCGGTAGGGCAAGCCTCCTTAAACTTCTTCGAATAATACGTCGGCTGGCAAACCACGGGGTTGCCGTAAACCCCACGGCAACAATACTCGTCCGTATCGAACACGTCACAAGCACTCCTGCACCCCACCACCTTCCCGCCTCCGCCGGCCTTCACCGCCAGCTCCGGCGGGCACATGGGCCGGAGGTCGGCGTCGCAGCCGGTCACGCTGCAGTTGCCTCTGCCGTTGATGGGAGTCACCACCATGGGGACGTTGAACCCGTCCACGAGGCTGACGTCGTAGTAGTCGATGGCGGCGAGGGAGAACTCGGCCAGGGACGCGGGCGGCTTCCCCGAGGCCTTGCATTTCAACGAGTCGCCGCAGCTTCCGGTCAGGCAGGTGCCGTTGCCGTTCTTGTCGAAGTTGCAACCGGTTCGACCCCATATCCGGCCCGACCAGCCCACGGGGGCGGTGAACACGATGGACTGGTGGGGCTTGAGGGCGAACCCGCCGCCGTTGAAGTTGTCCCCCGGGGTGATCCCCGGCCAGATGGTCTCCTGGCAGTCGTTGATTATGGTGAAGATCCGCGCTCCCTCGGCGGTTAATGTGATGGTGAGAAGGAGAAGGAAGAAGGGGAAAAGATGGTGAGGAAGTGGTGGCGCCATTGTTGGTTGGATATGGAAGAGATCGAGGTGGGAAATGTGAATGGAGAATTTAAGATGTGGAATGGGAATGAAGGAGAATTTAAGTCACGTACCAAGTTTAGATGGAGATAGTAGTACTATCTGTAGCTACGTAACTCTAGGGGGAATGGAAGATGGCTTGAGGGCAAAGATAGGTCGGGATTCTTTTCCCTAACCTGCGATGCAAGTTTATTCTGATTCCATGCGCTTTATGTCGTGTATGTTTTATTAGCTTATTTTATGTATGTTGCTGCGTTTTCTATTGGGTTAATACCTTATTTTGGCCTGAACTATACTCATATAATCAACTTTGGCCAATGGTTTTAGAAAATGCTATTATGGCCTCAATTATACACCATACAGACTAATTTGGCCCCACATGTAAAATTCCGTCAAATTAAACGGTCAACTTTGTTGACTGTTAGTGAATCAGCATGCTTTGCTGATGTGGATGCCATGTAGACATTAAAAATTAAAAAAATATCGAATAAATTAAAAAAATAATTTATTTTTAACTTTCATAATTATTAAAAATAAACAAATAAATTACAAAAATATGTGGTCGTACAAACCATCCGCCTCCCACCTCTCGCCGAACACCACCACCATAACCCCACCGTCTCTCTCTTATCTCTCTTTCCTTCGCCATCTGCCCGTCTCCCACCCCACAAACTCCTAAACAATGTCGTTCTCCTCTACCGCGGTCGCCGTAGCAGCGCCGGACTCTCTGCCAGAATAGTTCTTCCGCCCTTGCTTGACCTTCGATTAGGGTTGAGGGATCTAGGTTTGCTCTTCACCCTCTCTCTCTCTCTCTCTCTCATTCACCAAAGAACAGCCTCCGCCTTCCCCGATCTTGTTCCTGCTGCCAGCCATACGAAATGTACACCTGTCACTCAGAGACATCGAAATTAGGTAGATCTCCGTCATGCTTCTCTTACACTGGCTGAGGTGCGGCGGCGATGCACACAAACGCGCCAGAAAAAGCTCGAGGTCGCCGACACTCCGACGGTTGGAGATTCGCCGCTATTGTCGCGGTTCCAGACCAAGTCTCGCCATCGTCTCCTTCTTTCTCGTTCTAATCGAATTCAGGGAAGCAATTAACAAATCCTGACGAGCGAGAAAGAGGGGATAGAGGAGCAAAAGTTATTTCGATTGGTTGTAGATGTGAAATTGAAAGCGAGTCGGAGAGTTGTAAGAGAAGAAGAATTGTTGGTGTGTGGGATTTTGGATTTGGGGATTAGGGTTTTAGTGTGCGACGAGACGACGCTCTCTTCTTCTTTTAATCGGCTGGAAGGGAAGGAGAGGGAAGGGTAGGATGACTTTTTTTATTATCAAGAGGAGGACTTTGTTGGTTTATTTTATTAATTTCATTAAATAATTAATATTTTATTAATTTATATTATCTACATGGCATCCACGTCAGCACTAGATGCTAATTCATTAACGGTCAATTGTGTTGACCGTTTAATTTGACGGAAATTCAAGCGCCCGGCCAATTGAGTATATATGCTGCATAGTTGAGGCCAGGATGTTAATTTGTGAAACCATGGGCCAAAATTGATTATATGATCATAGTTCGGGCCAGAATAAGGTATTAACCCTTTTCTATTTCTATACTTTGCTCAACAATGTCACGGTGAGCTAATTTATTTGGACGGTTCGGTGGTGAAATATTTCATTCGAATGTGTATATAGTTTCTTCACGATTCACGAGATTCAAGAATCAAGATGAAAGAAATTGACGAGAGGGGGAGATGGTATATTTTGCTTTCAATTTTTTTGTTTTGTTTTAACTCTTTCATGAAGCGAAGGATATTGGTAACTGGTATGAGCGTCGTTTCCAAGTCCCCAGCCCGAAAATAATAATAAGATCATAAATCTCAGTGAACTTAGAAACTTCTAGATACTTATTAAAGCAACAATGTTGTTCCTGTTCCATAAGGGTTTGACTAAAGTATTCTACTGGCATTTTTTTCTACCTAACCTCCCATCCAGTAGTCAACACATGGGGATGTAGTGGACAAATCCCTCCTCCGAGAAAGAAAAGATGTGAACAAGAAAGAAAATATGTAAAGTGAATATAAACCATCCATCGTAACCTGAGCCATATCTGTTAATTACAATGTTGTTGTTGTTTCAAAAAGGTTTGACTAAGTATTCTACTATCGTTTTTTCTACCTAACCTCTCATCCATTTATCAACACGTGGGGATGTAGTGGACAAATCCCTCCTCCTTCGAGAAACAAAAGACGTAAAGTGAATATAAAACATCCATCATAACTTGAGCCATATTTGTTAATTGATTTGCCCACAATTTTGTAAGAAAAAAAAAAAAAAAAAAGCTCAAGCCTTAATAGTTTGAACAGGGATGATCCTAAGTAGCCCAGTACTCGCTCCACATCGTCTGTATCATGTGAAGTACCCGATAGCAATTTCAGGAAGCTTCATAACATAATCATCATCCTCCACTGAGCTATCTACCATGGGTGCAAAAGTGTATAGAAGGTCTCGCCCGCGCTGCAAAAACTATCTTCTGTTTTGATCAATATATGATATCTTTTGAAAAAAAAAAATTACTTTGAAATTGAACCATGAGTACCAAGGTTGTCAAACCGGTTTATGCCGGTGCGCCGGTTTTGCAACTGAAATGGTTCTACCGTGGTACAATCAGTTCTTATGCCGGTTATACCGGTTTATGCCAATTTTAACAATTTTCACCGGTACGAATATAAATCACCCATCTTAAACAAAATTTCTAGAACGACGAACCCTGGCAAGGACATGAGATTTTCTGCGATTAAATCGACAATGCAATATACGTTGCAGGGATGATTAACAGATTCCATTTGACTCACGCAAGCCAAAATGAGTTCACAGAAAGACTTCCTCATTTTATTCACGCTCAAACATCAATTTCCATCTACTCTATTCTTTCCAAAGGAAGAGCGAATTGTACCTTTGAGAGGAGGGTCGCCTCGTGCAAACATCAATTCCCATTACTGCGCGCCGTGAAGAGGGTCGCCGTGAGAAAGGAGAAGAGGGTCGTCGTACTAGTCGAACATCGCTGAATGCCGTCTGTCACCGCGCGCCTGCCTAGCCGAGTGGAGTCGCCGATCTGCCGGTGTATCCAAGTTGAGAGACCGGAATTTATCTTTCGGTTGAACCACTGGAATTTCCGGTTTTGACCGGCTTTGACCGGAATTGACCGGCTTTGACCACAGCTTTATGCCGGTGGTATTCCAGCCGGTTTCATGACCGGCACCGGTTCAACCAGCCGGCATACCACTGGCATGACAACCATGATGAGTACCCTAGGGTGGGAGTGAGTGACAAACCAGTCCCAGGGCCGTCCCATTGTTCGAAAATTTAACATATGGCCCTAATTTTTTTCTCTATACGTTTTGTCGCAACCGTCCCGTCCGGGGGGTCCGTATGTCGTCGCGTCGGCATTTTTGGGAGTCGCCATCGATCTTACTTGGAGTGGATCGAACACTCTTCAAATCGGCTCTAACCTTAGTGTCAGAACCGAGGCATGGTCTGCGAAAATAAAGTTCTGGGTTCGGGAGTACGGTTACGTGTGGGGAAGTTAAGCAACACCCCCACAACACCCTAAATCGGTACTACTTAAGTCGATAAGTTTTTATGCAAGTTGGGTGTATTTTAGTAAAAATTTTGTAATCTTAGGGTCCCACTGGACCATTGAAGAAACTAAATCGTGTTAGTTGTAATTAAATTATACGTCCACTGATGTAAAAGATATAATTAATTGGTTAGTTGGACTCGAACCTTATCGGTTGCCTACGTACCCGTTAGACGGGATCAAAGTCCACGTAGTTCGTTTGAACTTTGATAGTTTAATTGTGACATTTTCATCACGTTCCACTGATCGTGATTTTCGTATTATAATTTATGTTAATAAAATTTAATTTGATTATTATGAAATTATGAAAAGAGAATTTAATAATTTAAGTTATTAGGAAGAGGCTTGACTCGTATTGGAAAAGAAACGAGATAAACTTAATCCGCAATTCTACATTTCGTAGTAAGGATTATAAATAAATAAGACTATACGGGATTATAATACTAACGCATGTGGGCCAGCAGTCTAACTGGCTAAAACGCCAGACCAAATTCGCGTTTGACCGAGAGAACAAGGGTTCGAAACGCGCTAACTACAAAGTTTTTGTTTATCTCGTTTTAGAGCAGAGAAGGGGGAAGGGCAATTTGGTAAGTTCTCAAAAGGACGGTGGCACGGCCGCGTAATTAACAATAAACCCTAGGGGCATTTTAGTCGTTTTGCAAAACCAAGTATATATTTGTCTCTAAAACGAAAATCAAAACCCTACTGCCCACTAGATGAAACGGCCGCCGCACACCTCTCTCCTTCTCTCTTGTCCTTCTTCTTCTCTCCAGAGAAACTAAACCCTAGCCACACTAAAGCGCCGCCCTCTCACTCTCACTCTCACCTCTCTCTCGGCCAGAGACCACAAACCCTAACCCCGATCCAAAACCGCCGCCTCTCTCTCCTCTCGTCCCTCGTCTCTCTCTCTCTCTCGCTCAGAGAAACACAAACCTAGCCCCGATCAAAACCGCCGCCGCTCTCCTCTCTCGGCTCTCTCTCCCTCTCGATTTGATGAATGCGAGAAACGACCCCGCTCACCCGATTGAAAAAGATCGATTTGAGTAAGATACTATCCTTGCATGTTTTATTTTTCAATTTTTTTTGTGAAAATCGAAAGATTTCTGATGTCTTTTTTGGTTTTTGATTTGCGCGAGCGGAAGAGGAGACGGGCATCGGGTCTCGCCGCCGCCGACAGCAGCAAAAAGGGCTTGATACCGCCGTCGGTCACTCAAATATGACCGGGAGACTCTCGATCTAGGTTAAGTCGCAAATGCATGGCTTTGTTTTTCTATTTTTCTGATTTTTCATTCGGACTCCTTCTAATTAATTTTTTTTGTGTGTATTTTTTGTTTTGGATTTGGTCTCGGACGAGGGAGAAGGGGAATCGCCGTCGATGTGAAACGCCGGCGATAGGGGAAGTAGACGGGTGAGCAGTGGCGGGGCCGATTTAATTCCGGTTTGTTATCCTATTTAATCGATTCCAATTTCTAATTGTTGATTTATTTTGGTGCAGGTGTTGAAAATTTACCGATCTGGGTAAGGTTTGCTAAACCTGACCTAGTAAGATTAACAGGGTTGAACTAAGTAAGAGATGAATTTTTTTTATTTTTAGTTTAACTATGGATATGTTTTCATGGAAAATGGTTCGGCGCATAGACTTGGTAATCTGAAATTTTTACTATATGAAAACCGTGGGTTTGTTTTGGACTAAAACTGGAATTTGGATCTAATGGGTTTCGGACTAAACTCATACTTCTGGTTTTGATAAAAGGAAATACTAATTTTTGGTCAGTTTTGGTTTAGAGATTGATCACTTACTGGAGTTGTTTCTGTCTAACCTAAGTAGGGAAAAAAAGATCTCTATAGTGAAAATAGGACTTACTTTTGGCTTCTATAAATCATCTGTCACTGCTTGTGATTCCTACTAGACAATAGTTGTAAATCATTGTTATTGCTTGTGATTTTATTGGATCATGATTTTTAATTGATTGATAAATTGGTAAGGGTTTTGCGAATTAGTGATTTTGCTTAGATATGGATCTAAGCAAATGACGCCTACAATGTAATTTTACCTTTTTGGATAACTTAGTCTAATCTAATTTTGATATAATTTGTGTATGGTGAACTGTTTTTATCAACGGTATGCTAAAGGGAAATATGAACGCATGACAGAAGATTAAAATAGACTGGAAATTAATGCAGAAATAATGAGTAAATGCAGAATCGAAATGAGCTTTATCTGAATAGTAGAGTGCTTAAACGAAATACATAGTAGCAGTGTTATGAAGGAACTAGAAGGTGGATTCCACAAGGATAAATTCGTGAAAAGTAAGAGCTATATCATTCAATGAAAAAGTTTTCGGTTTACAAACACCAACCTGGTGGTCGACTTTGAACTTGTGGACAACTTTAGATCTCCAAGTAGACCATCAACTATTACAACTTCGAATCAAGTGGCAAAGAAAGAAAATGAAGGAAAGTATTTCTCTGCTTTCTAATTCCCAGCGTTTCCCCTCTGCCCCCTTCCTCTACAAAACAAGAGCTGAAAGAGATCATTTATCCTAAAAATGACGAGCCACGTGTCATGTGTTGATTGGTTATTGTTGAGGCTGAAATTGTGTTGCCTCTCTCTGATTGGTCGAATTTGAGGCCGCATATCAGGCCTCCACCTACTAAAGTCGGTTCTGACTTGTCAGGGCCTGTTATGGATATGGTTATCCATTGGCTTCGGGCCGAGTTGGGCCTGCAGTTACGGGCCTGAGTATGGGTTTGGTCTAGTCCTGAACCTGGACTCCGTTTTGGGCCGAACTGGGCTCTGATTCTGGGCATTAACTAATTGATTCTTCTTCTTCTCTTTTTTCTCTTTGCAGGTACATTGCTGATGGTCTTCCACTCTTCGGGTTGGGCTTGGTTCTTCGCTTTTAGATAGAAACATATTCTCTCTTTCAAATTGTATTTGAGGATTGTATGCGTAAATTGGAACTCTTCGTAGTGATGTATGATTGTGTCGATCTTCCAATTCTTCGTTGATATTCTTCTAGCTTTTACCATCAAACTTTGGATAATTCTCTAACACGAATTGCTAACCAAGACCCATGTTGCTCCTTGATTTGGTTTCATGAACCAAGTTTATTGTGTCGCACTTGATATTCCCGTGATAGACGTTAGACCGGACAAAATGTGGTGTCTACACGTTTATTAAAAATAAAATTTCTTAAATAATTATAAAAATACATAAGTTCAGAAAATGATTTCAAATTGAATAAACGATCTCGCTTCCTGTTTGACCAAGAAACCAAGACCAAATTCTCACTCCTAGCAGGGAGGGGGAAAAGTAAATCTGGAGGGGAAAAAAAAATGGATATAGCGCAAAAATTGAATGGAGAAATGAAAATAATATAAATTGATCGAGAGGTGGGTGCGGGTCTATCTAATGGATCGTGTAGGCCCTATTCCAAAATCGAGACATAATCCAAATTGATTTTTAACTATGATAAAACTAAAATGATTATAATACCATTATTCAAAATGAAATATCTTTCTATATTGTTTAAATTAAATAACTATTATCTCTCTGATTTTCGTATTCTCCATGAGATCCTTTTCAATTGTTATTATAGCTAAAATTATCTATTAAACTCGTCATCATATTCATAATCTATCAATCGTACACTACAAAAACAACTTGTAATGTTCGATCGGTAACTAACGGATCTAAGTGGAGGCCCTGTGCCGGAGGGCGGGCCAGCCCTGACCAGTCCAGATAATCAGACGCCATCTCCCATGGATGCTCCCATCAAGGTTGAAAATATATGTCTATATGAACCATATGAGATAGCAGGGCATCCCAAAATGTATTGAACGTCTCATGGATCTCAATGATATAGCCTAGAGTGGATGTTGGTCTCTCTATTGGTAACGCGACCAGAACAAAGTATTTCTATTATTATTGCGTACATTTTTATGATTTTGTGTGTTCTTCTGAAGGTAAGGTCTTGTGTTTCCATAAGAATGACCTTTAACTGGAATGCATATAAGATTCTATGAGTAGTTGCGGCCGTGAGTGTGAGGTTTATGACTCAATCAACAATTAATGGATTCTACCTGGTTCAATATATACCAGCCAGATCGTGTTGGTGGCCCTGCTGACGAAGAATGCAACGACCTGCTTGTGCATATAAGGAACTGCAAAGGATGAAGATTAGGGGTGGCCGTTCGGTTACCGGTTAAACTGGTAATCGAAGTAACCGAATTTCGGTCAGTTATCGGAGGGTGGACGAAATGATTTTTGGTCTTAAAAGTGATTCGGTTAATCGATAATCGAGATAACCAAGAAATCGAAGCCTATTTCGATAGGTGTTCGGTAGGGATGGTGGTTATTTCGGTTACCGATAACCGGCGAATCGATTACCATTTATAACCGAAATAACCGAACTGCCACCCCTAATGACGATGTTGTCCAAGGAGGTAGACCGTAGACAGAATGCCAAACTTGTGATTCTTGGAGGTTTATGGGAAGGAAGCACATTCACATTTCCTTTGTCTTTCGGATTTGCTAGTTTTGTTGTATTAGCAATCATCACAAATTAATTAAGAAGCTTTCATTTTGTATGGTATCTTATTTAATGATAATATATTTTTCCTTGTGGAAGCTTTATTGGAATAACAATAAAATATAGTAATTTCAAAAGATATTTAAGAATAGTCCCCAAAAACATTTTTAGATGACTGTCTTTTAAATATCAATAACAATGCCGATTATTCGCATCCAAAAGTTCAAAAATATGTAATATTATTTATTTCAAAATATATTCATTAGAGACAAATATGTACGTCTCTATAAAGGTCTTTGAATGAAAATATAGTTGTCTCAATACATACAATTACAATTAAATGATACTCCCTCTAAAAGTATTTAATAATATGAAAATTAGGCTTTTAATAGTGTATATATCTACAATCAATTAAATTTGCATCTAATTCCTTAATCATTAGCATATATCATATAGTGATGTTAAGACCTTAGTTCTTGATATAATCTCTCTTTGCTACAGGTGCAAAAACAACCCCTTCACAAGTGAGAAAAAAATGAGAGAATGAGAGGTTTATGTAACACTTGGACTCACAAAATTTACACCCCAAAAGAGTTGTCATTTTGTCTTAGATCACTCTGAGCAAGATGAGCTTTGTTGATATTCTATATCAAATGGCTGAAAAGTTTGAAAATAAAACTTTGTTCCAGATATTTTCACATCTCAACAAGCGTCTCAAAACGACGAAGACTCAATCCCTGTTGAAACATCGCGAAACACACGCAATCAATCATGTGAATAACCTTTAGGCGTTGTTAGCATCCAGTTATAGCCAATTCCTTCTCGGCAGAAGCATCGGTGAAGAGTTGGGCCAAGGTTTTGCAAATTCAGGGCTGAACACATATGCAGAAAAACCGGGGAAAAGGGGAAAAGTTACAACGAGAAAAAGGCAAAGTTGATTTGAGAAAAGCCCAAAGCCAGTTGGCACACGTGTGGTACTAATCATGCTTGGCACCAATAGAACCAATCAATCATTCACTCCATTGGATTATCTTCCCCTCATAACTTCTGCATCTGTGTGCATTAACAGAATACAAAACCTCTTTTTTTTATAGTAACAAATTACCAAACCTCAAATAAAGCATATGCATGTAACCATCACCTTTTTCTGTACATGATACATATATATGGAAGTTGGCATGATTAAAAGTTTGATTTTATTTTCATTTCTAATGTCAGTTGTTGAAATTAACTATATACTAAAAGTGTTTTTACAATTTAACAAATATTAATAATTTTTACTATGTTTTGGGTGTCTATTTACGGCTTCTACTGTGAACTCATAAAAATGGGTGCGTATCGTGTATCCTGTCCAACTCTAAAACTAGAGTTAACATATCGAATTTTGAATTTCGATTTGTAGCATCAGTCTAATAGGATGAGGTGTCATATGATCATAATTAGTCTGTACATCACCCTAAGCCTTGAATGATGAACCCTGACCTTGAATCTTGAATTCTAAGCCATTAACCCTAACCATAGATCTCTCAACCGTTAAACTCAAATTAAATCTTGAATGCATTTTGTGTGCAAGATCGTGGATTTTTTTACTCATCGTATCACAAGTGATGATTGATATCATTTTAACATGAATTGCATGATCAAATGACGATTATGAGGGATGTACATAGCTTGCACATAAAAAAGTGAATGCATCGAAAACAAAATCATATATATATATATATATATATATATATATATATAGCCAACACGTGAGTCTTGAAGTATGGTATATTCCATATTACACCGTGCCCATCTTTTGCACAGGATAAACGTCTTCAATCGAGTTTATGTTCTTATTTCATATCTTTTGGATCCAGAACCGAAAGAGGCATACTTCGTGTAATCGAGACGTAAGAAACTTTAAAGTGTGGAAGTTGATAATCACTTCGAACAAAGAAATTTACTTGAATGACTTCTCTAGGGCTAATCGCCCCGTCGTTCTCCTTGTTGATCAGCCGAGACTTGTGAGTTGTGATATAGCTGCAAAACCATTAATTGCATAAAATGAGTTTTCTTAGTACTGCACGTCTGCAATTCAATTTTCGCCCAGTTATGGTTTAAATGGTTATGACAAGTGAGTTTTGGAAAAGAGAAAAAGAGAAAGAAAGCTGTTAAACGACCTATTTGCAACAGCTAAACAGTGGGGAAAAAAGAGAAGAAGAAAAAGGAAGAAACAGGGGAAGTTGGATATGTCTCCCCAACCAATAGAAACCTTTTTGGCGATTGATCAAAAAAGTTAACAAGAGAAGGAAAAGGAAAGAAAGAAGGGGAAGAAAAAAAAAAGCAATATTAAGAATTGATACACGTTCATTTCCATGGGAGAGGGTAGGGGCTGAGGATGAGATAGCAACAGAGGTAAGGCCCCCACTTTTGGTAGAGTTCAATTATTACTTGGAAATTTTCTATCCCATAAAGCTGAAGCAGAAGAGAGAACGAAAAGTAAGAAGGAAAGAAAGCAATTCTCTTTGATGTAGCTTCTATTTATATAACACATTCTATGAAACACTCTAGCAAAGTAGAGCCTCATTGCCACCATCATTAAGCCAGGAAGGCAGGCCAGAGAGAGTATAGATAGAAGAAACCGCCCTAATGGCTTCAGAGAAAGTAGAGACAGTGATCGCAGGGAACTACCTGGAAATGGAGAACAGGGAAGGCGAAGCAGCAGAAGCAGAAGGGAGCCCTGAATCCCAAAAGAGCAGGTTTTCAACCTTGTTCTGGCATGGCGGCTCTGTCTACGATGCCTGGTTCAGCTGTGCTTCTAACCAGGCATGCATATCTTATACTATATAAACCGTCACGAATTTGTTTAAATAAACGTTTGGATTTTCGTTGATCAAATGGGTCTTCTTTTCTTGGGATTGGGTTGTTGCAGGTAGCACAAGTTCTGCTGACATTGCCTTACTCATTCTCACAACTGGGGATGCTCTCAGGGATCCTTTTCCAGCTCTTCTATGGGTTGATGGGAAGCTGGACTGCTTACCTTATCAGTGTACTCTATGTTGAGTACAGAACTAGGAAGGAAAGGGAGAAAGTTGATTTCAGAAATCATGTCATTCAGGTCATCTCTCTTTCTCTCTTTCCTTTTCTTTTTCATTGATTCATTGAATCAAAGTATTGAACTTTTTCAATAATTTATTGGCAGTGGTTTGAAGTTCTTGATGGGTTGCTGGGAAAGCACTGGAGGAACTTAGGCCTCATCTTTAACTGCACTTTTCTACTATTTGGCTCTGTCATTCAGCTAATTGCCTGTGCAAGGTACCACTCTATCTTCACTCTCTTATCATTTCTCAGTATACTTAAAAACAAAGTTCGAGTTGCTGAATCAATGCGATTACTACATGTTATGACGAATCAAATTCGATTTGTATTTCAGCAACATCTACTACATAAACGACAGTCTGGACAAGAGAACATGGACATACATATTTGGAGCTTGTTGTGCAACAACTGTGTTCATCCCTTCTTTCCACAACTACAGAATCTGGTCCTTTCTAGGCCTCATCATGACTACTTACACTGCTTGGTATCTCACAATCGCTTCCCTCACTCTAGGCCAGGTAAAAAATTACCCATCACCATTACCTTCATTCAATCCATGCTACATAAGTAAAAAAATGCTTACTTTCCTTGAATTGAAGGTTGAGGGAGTGAAGCACTCTGGTCCAACCACCATGGTCCTCTACTTCACTGGAGCAACCAACATTCTCTACACCTTCGGCGGCCATGCTGTTACTGTGTGAGACAAAAATCTGCAGATCAAAACCCTAACATTCTTTACTCAATCGTATCAGCAACAGAGCTATGAAATCTAACAAATTCACTCGTTGCAGGGAGATTATGCACGCAATGTGGAAGCCCCAAAAGTTCAAATCAATCTACCTGATCGCAACGCTCTACGTTCTGACCCTGACGCTGCCATCGGCTTCCGCCGTCTACTGGGCATTCGGCGACCAGCTGCTCACCCACTCCAACGCCCTGGCTTTGCTCCCCAGGACCAGATTCAGAGACGCCGCCGTGGTTCTGATGCTGATTCACCAGTTCATCACTTTTGGGTTCGCCTGCACTCCATTGTACTTCGTGTGGGAGAAGTTGATTCGGATCCATGAGACGAAGAGCGTGGTGAAGAGGGCGCTGGGGAGGCTTCCCGTGGTGATCCCGATTTGGTTTCTGGCAATCATCTTCCCTTTCTTCGGGCCGATCAACTCCACCGTTGGGTCGCTGCTCGTTAGCTTTACGGTCTACATCATCCCTGCTTTGGCACACATGGTCACTTTCTCTTCGCCCTCGGCTCGAGAGGTTAGTAGTAATAACAACATTAATCTGCTCAACCTAGCTCACTAAAAATCTGTCTAACCAAAAGCCATTGACCAAGATCCAATAAGTTGGCAAGTTGATAGGTTTTTCTACCAAATTTTTATTTAGGACCTAAACTTTGTTTGTGATACACTTTAGTGCCTGAATTTTCATATAAAAAAAATCTTCCAAGATTATAATCCGGTACCTAAATATTCTAAGCCTTAAAGTTTTGTACCAAAACCTCTCTCTTTTATTTTACAAACTGGTTCAAAACTTTAAACCCGAGTTTCATCCCACTTTATTCAATCCATATAATGAAAGACTGTGTTACGAAACTCCTATTTCGGTTGTTAGCACGCTAATTAATCCGCACCAAGAAACTAGGTCTTTGAATACTTTATCCAACAACTCTTGAACCAGATAGAGATGGCTTCTCTCAACACATCCAAAATGGATTCATAGGTCAAATGATCTCACAAACTCGAAAACACCGAAACCCACAAACTCGTAAAGCCGTGAACCCACAGAACCAACCCATATTATTTCACATTCTACTTTAATACCTCAATGAATGAACAATGAAGTGAGTGAGTGATTGATGAATCGATGACAAGTGAATGAATTAATGTGGGTGTTGTTGGTTTTTTGTGTTTGGCGTTTTGGGTTTTGGTGATGAACAAAACAAACAGAATGCAGTGGAGAGGCCTGGCAGAATGATGGGAGGGTGGGTTGGACACTTCTGCATAAACACATTGGTGGTGGTATGGGTCTTCGTGGTGGGCTTTGGGTTCGGAGGATGGGCCAGCACCGTTAACTTCGTCCGTCAGATTAACACCTTTGGACTGTTCACCAAGTGCTACCAGTGCCCTCCTCACAAGCCTTGACCAGCAAGCAAGTACAGAAACAGAGCAGAAAAAGCAACATCAGCAAAGCAAATAGCTACTTCACTCCAGTCAGTGTGGCATGCATGTTTAGTGTAAAGAGAGAAAAAATTTTCCTTTTCGAATTCGCGACCTTTCTTCTGTTTAGAACTGCGGTTCAATCATGTGTGCGCGTGTGTAACTTTCATTTGCAATTGGTTTTTTCGTAGTCTTGCCTCCCTTTTTCTTCATAACAACAGTTAGCTTAGTTTTTGCAGAGTCTATAGTCACATTGTTGAATGTTGAGTGACTGTATTTTGTTGATCATTCAGAGTCGGAGATATATGTATGGCTCTTTTTTACTTTACGAGCTCGTAATGTGAGGATGATGCATCAACCGCATTCGAGATCCCTGGGTAAAAGATGCACAATCATTTTCCAAACCATTTGTAACTGTATACAATACTGAGATGAGCTACCACAGGAATCCCTCCAAACATCATCTATGAAAATTTCCAGCTCAAACAGAAAGACAATTTTCAAATGGATATACTTCCAAAATATCAAGGAGGCTCATTGATTTTGTGAGGTTGCATATGCCTAATGAATTCCCCAGTTAGTAGTTACTAGTTACCCATTTTATTTTTATCCATGGGGTTTTTTTTTTTATAAATATTTTTCATCCATGATAAAAAAAAACTACTTCATTTTTTATTCACTAACGAACTAGAGATAAAGGAACAACTGAACCATGATTAAACCACGGTTTCAATATAAAATACCAATATCGCTGACTTTTCCAGTACAGCCTCCAGTACGGTTTTACTTCGTGTTGAGAATGGTGCTCTTTGTAAGTAGTAAAAGTATCTAGAGTCACAGTAAAGTGACTCTGGAATTGATTCATACCAGAACAAGTGCGCTTGTACAAGAAACACAATCAGGCAATCAGCACAAACACAACAACAAAGCGACACACAAGCTAAAGCTCATCTTCTATCTCTCGCCTAGCAGGGGTTTCAATCATAAGGTGGAAGCTCCAATTCGGATGTGCATTATAGTCCAACAGCAAGGTTCCAAGCAAGTAGCTTTTTTTCTTTTTTCCCCGTTGAATTCCAAGCATAAGCAAGTAGCTTTCAAGATACATATTTATTATAAATTTATAATATATATGATCGTTGAAAACAAAGCAATATCAACTACGTGTAACACTAGATCAATGAAACCAGAGGGATATTCCATTTCCAGAATATGATCACATGATTGTGTTGTCGAAAGTTGGCAAAGCAATTCAAACTTATCGGTGATCGAGAAACCCAAGCAAGAAACCACAACAGGGAAAAGAGAAGAAAAGTAATGGCAGAAGCTCAGCTTAAGTTCTTACTGCAAAGATGGGAGTCTCTTTTAGTTCAAAAGGCTGATCTTTTTGCCGGGGTTGGAGATCAGCTCGGAAGGATTCGACGCACACTCCAGGAGATGGGAGGACTCCTGGCAGAAAGAAGCAGTTCAGAAAGCGATGATGGGTTCTGTAGCTGGGTGAGTGAAATCCGAGATTCACTCCTCAACATGGACGATCTCGTTGACGAGTTCATCATTCAGCAAAATGATTCGATGGGTGGCAACATGCTTACATCCGAATCCTTCAAGCTTGAGCTACACAAGGCAGAAGCCGACCTGGAAGAGATAGTCAGCAGAAAGCCTGAACTAATTCATGAGAAAGGAGGTCAGACTAGCTCTGCTTCAACAACAACTTCAGTTGATGAATTCAGGTCGAAATACAGCAACTTGCCTTACTATCTTCAATCTTTATTGTTGTACTGCTGCATCTTCCCTGAGAATCACTGGATCGCCAAAGGGAAGTTGATCCGATTACTAGTAGCTGAAGGTCTGGTTCAAGAGGAAGCTGCTGGAAGATTACCAGAGGAAATAGCTGACGAAAACATCAACGAACTGATCACTCGAGGGATGATTTACAAGAAGAACGATCACCCAGGTCATGGAACCTTCATAGCTGTTTGCTCTCCTTACTACACAATCCTCCGCCAAACATTTGTATCTGCTCATGCTGCTACAGATTCAGCCATCCCCAGTAGAGCACGCCGTGTTTGTACTCCTGATATGACACAAATTGCAGAAAAACTGAAGAATACTCGACCACGTACTTTGTTGTCATTAGGTAATCAGGATGGTCTAGAAGGGAACTGGCTGAGTTTTCAGGGAGCGAAGTTTCTAAGGATCTTAGATCTTGAAGCAGCAAGGATCAAGACCATACCTGAAGAATTGGGAGACTTGATCCACTTGACATATCTTGGGTTGAAACACAATGATATAGTTGATCTTCCGGTGACAATCAGCAATCTAAGAGCATTACAGACACTGGACATCAGATGGTGTGGGAGCCTGACTTCACTCTCAGGTGAGTAAGGGTGGCTAACCGGTGTTTGTTAACCAACCTGATTATATAGTCAGTAAGTACAATGTTTTTGCGTTTGCCTTATTGGTTTTATGTTAATGGCTAAAGGATTTTCCGGTTATATATCGCAAAGGCACAAACATAACCAGGACCTGTACTATAACCAAAAGCCAAAAAAATATGTAAGTAAATCATTAGAAACACGAAGAAATAATTAAAATTTTCAGAAAAATCCACCGAAGAACATGGGAAATCAGTTTATACCAGTCAATAAGTTTGAATACGGATTTTGGTTTCCTGCTAATCACACTGATCATTGGTTAGTGGTTTTGTTAAAGGTTACATCAATGGCTTAGTTATGGTCCCGTGTATAAATGCCTTAACCATTCTTTGTCCTTGTTTTTTTTTTTTTTTGGTTAACCGGACTGCATCGGTTAACCATGCAGGTGAGATACTAAACCTTATTAGACTAAGGCACCTCAAAATGTTCAAGAACATGAAGATGCCAGAAGGCATAAGTAAACTTACAAACCTCCTTACCCTCACTGGAATACATGGTGGAGGCGACATTCCAGTAGAATTGGGCAAACTGAGACAGCTCAGGAGTTTGGGAGTGATGGATGTTACCGAAGATACTGCGGATGAGCTATTTGCTTCTATAACTAGACTGCAAAATCTTCTCAGCTTGTCTCTGGAGGCAAAATGGAGTGCGGGTAAAGAAAAGCTCACCCTCCTCGATACATTTTCACCTCCACATCTTCTTCGGAAGCTTCGCCTAGAAGGACGCCTAGAAAAGATACCGAGCTGGTTTCACTCTTTGAACAACCTAACAATGCTGAGATTGGGTTTCTCTCATTTGGAAGAGGATCCGGCGTTGGCACTCCAACAACTACCTAACTTGCAGAATCTCACTCTGTGGCATGCATATGATGGGAAGCAGTTGGGGAAGGAATTCTGCAAGGCCGGAGGATTTCCCAAACTTGAGATTCTCAGCATTGCTTCTCATGTCCTTGAGGAATGGACAGAGGTGGAGGAAGGAGCACTGCCTAGCTTGCAATACCTCCATTTCCACAACTGTTCGAGACTGAGGATGCTTCCCGAAGGCCTGCAATTTGTCACCACATTAAAACAGTTGGATCTGCTGCCGCTGAATGATGATCATGTTCAGAGACTGAAACCTGATGGAGGGGAGGAGAATTACAAGATCGAGCACATTCCAACCATAAGATTCCTCCCAGTGTCTGCACTGAAGTTCTCACCCCCCAACTGATCTGCATAATAAAATGAGTGTGCCACCAAAAGCATACATTTGTTATTTGTGGTTCAGATCTAAGTGCAGTAGTTACTGATATATGAACTGCTTTTGTTAAGTGATTCAATGGTAATCACCCAGTACAATATCAAGTATTATGTTCTCTCTGCACATATATTGTTTGGGAAACACATACTTGTCAGTTGCTCAGACTTTTATGCATAATTAAGAGTAATTACCTGAATTTTCCACACACCATCTCTAATCTGCCTTAAACTGCCACCATGCTAAGGGCAGGATTTTTAATTACTCCAGCATTTGACATTCCATCTCTTAACTGCCTAACATCTTCCCATTTTCCATCACTAGCATACACGTTGGACAGCATGACTCTGTAAGCACCATTTCTAGGCTCATTACCGAGTAGATGCTGGGCAACAACCTCTGCCAACTCTGAATCTCCATTAGCATCGCAGCATGATAAGAGTGCTCCCCAAATACCTGAATCCACCACGGGTTGCCCAAGTGACCAGATAAAATTGTATGCCTCATCCAAGTAACCTGCCATTCCCAGAATCTTTACATAGTGAACGCAGTGCTCAGTTCTTGGTTGAATGCTAAACTCATCTTGCATCGTCTTGAAAATTTCTCGGCCATGGGTAACAAGGCCAGCATGACAACACGCACAAAGTAGAGCAGAGAATGTGGACTCATCAGGTTGTAGACCGTTCTTCAGTATTTCTTCAAATAGTTTGAAAGCCTGTGAGGCAAGTCCATGCAACCCGTAACATGAAATTACAGTGTTGTAAGAAGTAATACTGCGGTTGCTTATACTCCGGAAGAGCTGAATGCCCAGTGTTAGAAACCCACACTTCGAATACATATCTATAAGGGATGAAGAGACCATGACATCCGATTGAAGACCATGTCGAACAACATAACCATGTATTTGAGTGCCAGCTAGGATATTTGCTGAGCGTGCAGCAGCTACAAGTAAACTAGCGATCAAGATGGGATCTAGCTTCTTCCCTTGTGCATTCAGATTCCTGCAATGAGTCAGCGCTTTTTCATAATCTCCACATTGGACATAGCCAGTTATCAAGGAGGACCATGTTATGAAATCAGGCTGATACAAGTTGGTAAACACAGCATAAGCCGAATTCATGATCTTGAATCTCGAGTACATAGTCACCAGTGCACTGCTGAGATGAGCATGACAATCAAAACCACTTTTCAAGCACATACCATGGATTCCTTGGCCAATTCCTAACAAGCTTGAATCCAGTAATCCCGAGATTAACCCAATGAAAGTGTACCCATCTGGCTGCTCTCCGTTTTGTCGCATCTCACGGAACAATTGCAGGCCTTTGTTCCAGAATCCCGCATAGCAGTAGCCGGAAATCATAACATTCCACAAAACCAAATCCGGTGCAAGCATCCCATAGAACACTTTAATTGCCTCGCCAACAAGACCAAGTTTTGAATAAGCCGTCACCAATGCGCTACAAGTAACCGAATCCATTTCCAACCCAGAAACTATGACTTCTCCGTGGACAATTCTCAATCCATCTTCGTCGAAGTTCTCATGGAATGCCCGCAGAATGCAGGCGTAAGTAAAATTGTCAGGTTGAGTGCCGCCATTTCGGAGCATATTTCTGTACAGCGATAACGCATCCTCAAACTTATGGGCTTGAGCATACGCTCGAATCATGGAGTTCCAGAGGAACACGCTTCGCTGCGGACTTTTGTCAAACAGGTGGCGAGCAGACTGAAGGTCGCCATTCCCTGCGTAGAGCCTCACAATTTTTGTGGCGAAAAAGGGATCGAGGAAGAGGTGGGCTCTAGTTATATAAGCATGCAGTTGCTTGGTTCTAGCTGATGCTTGATGGGTCTGCGAGAGCTCCGAGAGAAGCGACTTGAATCGGATTAACATTGTACACATGAACCGCAGCCACTGCCAGGTTCTTTAACGGCCTTAGCCCTTAAGACCGAACACTTTCGGGACGAAAGAAGGGAAAGCCCACCCTCATCTACAATAAGCGCGATTTCGCATTGCCCCTTGTTCAAAGGTCGCAACTTTTATCCTCTCCTGCAGAAGAAGAAGACATCTCGTAAGAAGAAACTTGTCGCCAGTGACAGGTTGGAGGCGTGTGATTTGCAGGATAAAGAACTTGGACTTTACTGTGTTCTGTTTTTCCCTAAAACAGAAGCAAGTGAAAGGAACTGCTAATATCAAACCTCTATTTATTCCGGTTGGAGAAAGAAAAATTGGAAGGAAGAAAGAGGTCTCCCGCGGCGGCGGTGAGAGGAAGTCCTTTCTCTAAACGAACACGGAGAACAGCTGAAGCGAATGAAGTCTGCTGTCTATACAATAGTAGTAAGGATGGTCAGAAGGTCGGACGGAAAACCGTCGCGACAATGGATGGAAAGCCCGGTCTCACCTAAAAAATCAGCGAGATTCAGCGTCTTCCTTTGTTCAAAGTTCGCGACTTTCATCGTCTCCTGGTTCGTAATTTGGCAGCAGAGAAGACACATCGTGCAAGAAGAAAGCTGTCGCCTCGCCCACTTCCAGTCCCAGGTTGACCCTTTGAAATCTACTGCTATCTGCTGATCTAAAATCAGCAAGAGGTTTTTACCAAAAAAAAAAAAAAAAATCAGCAAGAGGTAAGTAAGCCTTTTATCCCACTGTTTCCACCTGAGATCTCAAGTTACCCCATCAAAGTTAGTAACTTTTATTCGAATTTCTTAAATCCACTGCCCTCTTGAATCATTTTTATGTAAGGCGTTTGATTAGGAGCACAAATCTGTACTGTGTCTCTGTTTCTGTATACCCTCTGCCTCACATTCTGTTCCTTCTTTGGCAGTTTTTTTTGGGCAATATAGTTAATAACGATTGAAAGTTTCCTTTGCAGAATGAGAAACAGATTCTGTGCTCTGCCCCTGAGTTTAGCTCCTTGTTAATTATCCATCTTTTGTTAGGCGTTAGAGTTAGAACTATGTTGTAGGCAGCATAAATAAGTGTCGAACTAAGCATTTTGTTGCTTCTTGGTTGCATCAGGGAAGGTGAGACAATATTGTCATCCAGCATTGTCTGTGGCTCGGCCAAGGTGGTAAATTTCTTCCTTAGATGAATTCTTATTGTTATCATTTTTTCCCGTTCATATTGCTTGGATCTGATGCTTGTTTCTTTGACTACTACTATTATTTCTGTATAGGTGTCTCCTTATTTCGGAATGAATCAGTTGAAAGATGGCTGCTCTGCTGATCAGATTAGTGCATTGCCTGAGGTGATCCTTGCTGAGATTCTGTCCCTCCTAACCCTGAAAGAAGCAGCTAGGACCTCGGTCCTCTCCAAGAGGTGGATTGATCTGTGGAAATGTGTTACAGATTTGGACTTCGATGCTTCAAAGGCAAGGCATGCTATCCGGGGAGAGGACGAGGTGGGCTGCGATATGAATCTGCTGGCAAAGGAACGGAATAAGTACATCAAGTGGGTCAATCAGGTCCTTGAACGGCATAAAGGTCCGAAAGTGAAAAGCTTTCGAATAAAGTTTAACTTAAACAGTGAGCAATCAAATCCAGATTGTGACATTGATAGGTGGGCGGTGTTTGCTATCTCAAAAAGAGTGAAGAGGATGGAGGTGGACTTGGATCGATATTGTGATGTGAATGTAAATGCTAAGGGATGTTGTGTTCTCTCAGAGCCCTGTTTTAATTACATCAGAACAGCTGAAGGATTGTCAAATATCCGGTTCCTGCAGTCCCTGATTCTAAGATATGTTAATATGCGGAGTGAGATCCTTGAGCATTTCCTTTGCAATTGTCCTCTACTTGAAAAGTTGGTGGTCGTTTGTTCTCATGGTTTAGTAAAGTTTAAGGTGGCTGGCTCTGGCTCCTGTTTGCCGTTGTTGAAGTTGCAGCACTTAGATGTAAGTGACTGTGACTATCTGAAGGAGATGGAAATCCATTGCGCCCAACCTCTCACATTTCATATACAGTGGTCCGAAGATCGATCTGCATATGAAAAATGTTTCAAGTCTCGCTGGTTTTGAGTTCAGGTTGTGGGACAATAGTCCAGGTTATGTTTTCCTTTCGCCTAACAAGTTTTCACAGGCTGGAGGCCCTCACTCTTAAGATTGACACTGTAAGAGTATAAGAAACTGATCCACCCAAATAATCATCTGTGGTATCTATCTTATTTTCATTTTTATAGTTTTAATACTAAGTTGCAGAGAAGTGCATTTCGAGATTGAAATCTAAGCTTTCCTTCACTATTGAACTCGTCGCCATTTAGTCTCTTGCAAATTTCCAGTTACGAGTGTTCTCAAGTACTGTGTATTGAGGTCTTTGTTAATGTTGGACATCATGTACTTTAAACCGGACCGGGATATTCAATACGCCTTTTAATGTATGTATGAATTTGAGAAAAATATGTTACTGCATGCTGGGAAATGGGGAAACCTCAGCAAGGATAGAAGCAGCTATATTACTATGATGTCGAGAAAAACTCAGGTAAAAAAACTATAAGGGTGCACATGAACTATAACCATCTCCTTCACATCCCAGATTGAGTTGCTCTTCAGCCGATGCTCGAGGATCCAGGCCACCTAGAAACTTAGGTTTCTATTTGAATTCGAACTTTTCTTTCCCACCATTTCTCGAGTTATTTTATTTATGTAAAATTTCTCTATTACCCTTACCAAAAAATAATCTCTTTTGGATCATTTCCATCACGTAAATTATATACAACAATTTCTAATACGATCTTCAATGTCATATCAACAAGTTTAGCAATTCAATCAATTAACAATTTTTAACCACCTCCATCCCTGTCAGCTTTTAGCAATTTCTATTAATGGGACTTAGTGTGCAATCATATTATTTATATTTTTCTTAAAAATTTATAATTGGCAATAGATAGTTCATAGTGTATTTGAAAATCTTATTACCATGTGTAATAATAAGGTTTATAATTGTTATTCCAACAAAATAAATACAAATCCTATGTATATCACTAAATTCTCCAGTAATTTTTATACGTGTGTATTTTGCTAAACTTTGTTTGCTTTCTTACTTTATTATCAATCAACTGTATTTTTCTATAGAAATTGTGTGTATTTTTAATTTAGAGTTATTTTTTTCTAGTTTCACGAATGTATGTTGAATTATTAAACTATATATTTTTGGTTTCGTGTCTGGATGATAAATATCTAATATATAATTTATAACAAAAACTATGTTTCATTTATTACTCTTCTAATTAATTAACTATAATTTTTTTCTAGTCACAACTTTAAAATAAAAAGAGAAAAGAAGAAAAAATACCAAGGAAAAGAAAATGAAAGTAAGTCCCATTTTTCTATGTGGCATTGCTAGTGGCTTTCTAATTTGAAAAACACTCGCACATCTTTTTTTTTTTGGAGAAAATAATAGATTTCATAGAAATCACAAGTCAGCCTCTGCTGCAATTACATCAGCAATTTGCCCAGGAGCACTATCCTGCCAAACCTTGTCTCTAGAAATATTAAAAGGGAAGAAATGTGCTAAGAGGTGAGCAACCCCATTTGCTTCCCTGTACACAAAACTCCAATCCACCACATTAACCTCCGACCCAGCTGAAATAAGGCTACTGCACACACTCTCAATCTCTGTTCTACTATTTTCTCTTCCATTCAGAATGTTGATCAGTCTCTGGCAATCCGATTCCACCTGGATGACCCTTAATCCCTTGTCTTTGGCTTTCTCCAAACCAAACTTCAAAGCCATTCGTTCCGCAATCTCAGGAGCCCAACCAGCCTTGACTGTTCTGCTACCAGCCAGGATCATTTTGCCATTCCAATCTCTGATAATGAAACCCATTCCCACCTCTCCTTTGCCACTGCAACCCGCATCTGAATTGAGTTTATAAATTCCTTCTGGTGGCTTCTTCCATCTGTGAATCCTTCTATCTGCTCTTCCACTTCTGTTGTTGTCTTTTCCCTGCACTGCAACATAGTCTTGTATGAAGTCATCAGCTTTTGTAAACACTTCCCATTCATGTAGCATTTTGCTATTAAACAAACAGTTATTTCTTTCTTTCCAGAAAAACCAAAGCAGAGAGCTGAATCTTTCAATTTCCCCTTCTTTTGCTTCCTTTATCACCCTGAATATCCACTCTTTGCAGGAAAGGCCATCTGCCATCTGGAACAGACTTGCAACAGGCGTTTTTGGCCAGATCCTCCCCACCCAACTGCAATTCACCAGACAGTGTTTTAAAGATTCTTTCATTCCACAGTTTGGGCATTCGTCCCCTCTTCTTTTACTCTTTTTGCTAATCTTAACACCAACTGGAACTATATTATGAGCCACTTTCCATAAAAAGACTTTGATCTTCCCGGGGACATTCAGTTTCCAGAGTTTATTCCAACCAGTATTCAATTCCTGATCATCAACACTCCCTGCCAGCTCCTCCCCAATTCTGTTCAACTCCATATCATATCCAGACTTGACAGTGTAATCTCCATTTTCCGTACCAGTCCAGCATAAGGAATCCCTGTCCAAGCCAGGAGAAAGAGGAATATCCAGAATTGCTTGCTGCTCTTCCTGAGTGAACATTAACTCAATCAAATCTCTTCTCCAGGTTCTTGTATCTTGGTCAATGAGGCAAGAGACTTTTGAGTCCCAATCCAGGAAAGAGCTATAAGAAAAAACCCGGTAATCATCAAGCCCTGGAATCCATCTATCTCTCCAGATATGGACCTCTTCCCCCGTTCCAATCCTCCATCTGCAGCCTGTTTTTAATAAGTCTTGAGCTCCCATCAAGCTCCTCCAAACATAGCTCGGTCTCCATCCCACTTTTGCTTCCAGAATACTGCATTTTGGATGATATTTAGCCTTCAACAATCTGGCAACCAGTGACTGAGGATTAAGGTTCAGATTCCAGAGTTGCTTTGCCAGAATGGCTGTGTTAAACACTTTAAGATTCCTGAAACCCATTCCTCCTTGATTCTTCTTCTTACACAGCTTCTCCCAACGTTTCCAGTGAATCCTTCTTTCATTCCCTTTCTGCCCCCACCAGAAATTAGCTATCAAGCTATGTATATCGTCCAAAATTCCATCAGGGATCCTAAACACCGACATGGCGTAGGTCGTTTGAGCCTGGGCAATACTCTTGATCAGAATTTCTTTCCCTGCTTCTGAAAAGTACCTGTTTTTCCAGTTCATCAGCTTGTTTCTAACCCTGTCCCTGAGATTACTGAACACCAACTTCTTTGATCTCCCCACCATAGTAGGTAGGCCAAGGTATTTAGCAAGTTTGTCTGTTTCTTTGATCTTTAACACTTGGCAGATCTCTTGTCGTCTGTTGTTCAGCGTGTTCTTACTAAAATAGATCTCTGACTTGTCCAGATTTACCATTTGTCCAGATTCCTTTTCGTAATCTTCGAGCACTTCTTTCAGTTTCTTAGACTCTTCCACCGTGGCTCTAGCAAAAATTATACAATCATCAGCAAACAGCAAGTGGGAGACCACTGGAGCCCTATTGCAAATTTTCAGGCCATGAATTTTCTTCTCCTTCCCGCTTTTGTTAATCAGAGCTGAAAGCCCTTCAGCACAAAGCAGGAATAAATACGGGGAGAGGGGGTCTCCTTGTCTCAGTCCCCTACCAGGATTGAAGAAATTCGATTTATGGCCATTAACCAACACTGCATAAGACACAGAAGAAACACAATTCATAATAAGCTTGATCCACTTCTCATCAAATCCCAATTTAACCATGACTCTTTCAAGAAAAATCCATTCTACTCGGTCGTAGGCCTTAGCCATATCCAATTTGAGAGCAAGTAAGCCTTTATCACCTTTGTTCTTATTCTTCATAGTAGAGAAGCACTCAAAAGCAGCTATCACATTGTCAGTGATCGATCTTCCAGGAACAAAAGCACTCTGTGCTTCACAAATGAGATCGTTCAGTACTCCTTTTAGCCGGTTTGCAATTGTCTTAGATAAAACCTTATACAGAATAGAGCACAGACTAATAGGTCTATATTCTTTGGGAGAGATAGGATTTTTTACCTTTGGAATCAATGCAATAAGAGTCCTGTTAAGCTCTGTAGGCAGACTGCCTCCATTGAGAAAGCCCGTCAATTCTTCAGTTACTTTTGGTGCAATGGTACTCCAATTCTTTTGGAAAAATAAGGCAGGAAAGCCGTCATCTCCTGGTGCTTTGGTAGCACCCATTTGGAATAAAGCAGCCTGGATTTCCTCTGCCGTGAAGGGCCTGAGAAGTTTCTGATTCATCTCTTCCGTAACCTTCTTCTCAATTGCATCGATTACTTTCCAACAGTTCTGATCTGCTCTACTTTCAAAAAGCTTGGAGTAGTATTGGAATAAGCACCCAGTCACCTCTTCTTGACCCTTATGAATTCTACCCTGATCATCCTGAAGCTTTTTAATGGTGTTTTTCTTCCTTCTTTCAGATGCTTTGGCATGGAAAGCCTTTGTGTTCTTCTCCCCTTCCTTTAGCCATTCCATCCTGGATCTTTGTTTCCACCGCTGTTCATTTTTGTACAGAAGATCCTGCAGTTCCAGTTCCAGCTGTCTTTTCCTTGTTCTCCAAGTACTGTTCTTCTTTTGCAATTTCATACCTTGTAAGCTCCTTCTGATCTGGGAAATTCTTCTCGGAATCTCACCAAACTTTGTCTCACTCCAACTTTTCAGCTTTCTTTCACAGCTCTTTAAACTCTGGTCCAAGGTGTTCCCACTTGCTTCTTCCCAGGCTTCTTTGATTATCTCCCCACTCTCCTCATCTTTTGCCCAGAAGGATTCAAATCTAAAACACTTACCCCATCTAATCTCCTCTTCTTTTTCTCCAAAAGGGTCAATTAGGATTGGTAAATTATCAGAGACCACTCCTTCTAGATGGAGGACCATGGCATTTTGAAAGAGATCCATCCACTTTCCATTTGCAACCGCCCTATCGAGTCTTTCCTCTATAAGATCCTGGCCACTTTTCCTGTTATCCCACGTAAAAGGATATCCCACAAAACCGAGATCTTTCAATCAACAGTCCATTAACGCGTTATTGAATCCCATCAAACGAGTTTCACTTACAAGATTCCCTCCTTCTTTCACCGCATTTGAGCACAATTGATTGAAATCCCCTGCGCAGAGCCATGGAAGATCCCTTCCATCATTGAGCTCCCTGAGTAAATCCCATGTACGATGATGATTTTCTTTCTCCGGCCAACCATATATACCCGTGAATCGCCATTTGTCTCTACCTCTGTCATCTTTGATTACTGCATCCATAAAATTTTTTGTTGTACCTTTTATTTCCAGGTTGACCCCTTCCTGCCAAAACAAACATAAGCCACCTGACTTTCCTTCAACCGGCACTCCATTCCCGTATTTGAAACCCAACTCCCTCATTGTTTTCTCCCAGCCACTCTTCTTCATCTTTGTTTCTGAAAGAAACACGATTTGGGGTTTTTGGAATCTTATCGTCGATCCCAGTACTGCAACTGCCTTGGGATCCCCTAACCCTTGGCAGTTGAGACAGAGTAGACTCATTGTTGTAGGCGGCCCTGTTCCTTGACAGGGACCGCCTCTGGTAGTAGTTGTTTGAATCTTTCTTTCTCCTCCTTTGATCTCTTCCCCTCATGCTTGTAACCCACCTCTTTTTCACCATCAATTTCCATATCATCCTCTTCATTGCTTCTCTTCTTTCCCACTCCTACGATTTCCCCTGATTCCCCTGCCTTCCTTTCTCTATCCTTTTTTCTCACCCACCTTTTCTGTGTTATTTGGCAGGACACTTGCTTATCTCTTCCTTTTGTCCCATTTCCACCACTCGCTTCTTCTACTTCTGCGTTTTGAGAACTCTGTAATTCTAGGCCCACAAAAACTTGGGCTAAAGGTTCTGTCAGAGTTCCGTTAGTTAACTCGTTTGGTCCACTTTCTCTTATTTTCTCCTGTTCTTTTGGCTCTTCCCCCTTTTCTTTAATCTGCTCCAGAACCAATAAGTTGCTCCGAATCCCTTGCTCTCCCGCTTCTTTGTCTTTAATTTCCAACCTTTGGGAGAAAGAATCCTCATTAATTACCTCCTCATTTATTATATCGAAAAGCTTTTTCTTTGCTGTCTTCAGAACACGATGCGTCGTCTCTTCAATCGAGCCAGATCTCTTCGACTCCCCAGACTCCTCGCTGGAGACTTTCAATTTCGCCGCCGACCAAATCTTTTCCGCTTTTGCTGCCACCCATCTGTTCTTCTTATCGTACTTCTTGATTGGCGACGTAGCTCGCATCCAACTGCCATACTGAGCTTCTTCTTCTGGAACTAATTCTTCTTGGCAATCCTTCTTCAGGTGTCCTAGCATTCCGCAGTTGTAACAGAAATTTGGTAGTTTTTCATAGGCCACCACATACCATTGTTTTCGATTATCAACCTCCAGTAGCACTCCTCTTCTTAACGGCTTCGTAATCTGGAAGGTTACTCTACGTCTCATGTAGTTGCTCCAAACTCCTGAATTTGCGTTGTCGTAGACCTTCAAAGTTCCAAACATGGCCCCAATTTTTGTAGCCATATTCTCTGTTCTCAATTTTGCTGGAATCTTCCTGATTCTAACCCACATCTCCGAGCAGCTAAAATCTGTATCTTTCAACTCCTTACCCCTATCCACCGGTCTAATGATGATTAACTGGTTTTCGAAGTGCCAAGGGCCTCCATAGAGTGCTTTTGTCCTGTCTTCTGCTTGTATGAATTGGAAAACCAGAAAGTTTTCCTCCAGTACTTGAACATCAAAATCTTGAATTGGCTTCCAGGCTGCAACCAACGCTGCTTTTAGGAACTTCATCCCCGGTTTTCGAGCTCCCAATAGCTTTCCAACCGCTCCTAGTTCTTCCACGATATAGTCGGCCATATTGTCCACATCATTCTCCTCCACTTTGATCGCATTTATCTCTTCTTCTGATAGGCTGATATTCCTCATTTGTTGCTCCAATTCCTTCGCCATGACTCAGGATTGCGGTCCCCCCACAAGCACAGGGCGGCAGTTAAAGCACCCACAGAGACCCCCAACAAGACACCAAATAGGACCCGGAAGGTCGAGCAAGAGAAGAAGAGAGGGAATAAAACACTAGAAAACCAGAACAGAGAAGGCAGGGGACTCCACCAACGGGAGATGAACAGACAGCAAGCAGCAGTTACCACTCTACGGCAAAGAGAGAAAAGCTCTCAAAGAGAGAGAAAAACCAGTGGATAGTTGGGCCAGTCTTAACACTCGCACATCTATAGCAATGGCTAACCACTTTGACACGTAGGCTCCTAATCAACTTTCCAACTGCTAATAGTTAAGGATGAAATGCTCTAATACGATTTCTTCTCCATTTTTCATAACTAGTTTGACACTCGATTCGTTGATCAAAATGTTATTTGAATACGATGAATTTAATGTTTACAATGTGTATCCTACAATTTTCTAAAAAAATGTATATGCTTAATTCACATGATATCAAGGAGACATCAAAATTATTTTTCATTTTTTAAATTAATTATGATAATCTTTCATCAGTTACCAAACATTGTAATCTTAATAGTTATACCAATCGTGATTAATCATTTATGACTTGTCCATTAATGATGGAATGCCTAAGCTGTCTATGATTGAAAAGTTCATTAACGTAACAAAAAAAAAAAGAGTTTGTCTGACAAAGTGTAGCATAAATAGAAAGCATATAACCATAACTTTAACCCAATATTTGTTTCTCTTGCATGAGAAACAATACACGTATATATCTAAACGTTCAAGTATTCTAAACAATGCAATATTCCTCACTCATACTCTATGCCATAAAAAAAATGTTTGCTAACCAACATAATCGAAATTTAGTTGAGGACAATCTATTCCCCAATAAATAAAATTAAACCGCACTTGTGGTGCTCACCCTGCCAATGCATATAACCACATTAGTGCGTCCATGAAAATTTAATTTCGACTATATGATTCTTCTTTTAATGCAGTTAGTCCATATAAAACCAAATAACTCTAAATGATACATATGACTAATTACTTTGCAAGATAAACTGAAAAAAATAAGTCAAATAATCTTCAAATTTGGTGTTCGAAAATTGTGTCTTTTAAACTCACCCATGAGTCCAATCCTGCAGGATTATCAAGAGATTTAAGGTTTAACGGTTCACTGAACTAAAACTTTAAAAGAACGGTCACATATAGTATACTTTATGATAGTCTGAAAATTAACTTGTAATGCTAGGCTACCCACGTATAATTTCTTTCTGGATTTTCATCTTTTGAATGGTTTCTTTTGTATATGCCGAGTTAAGTAAACTCTAAAATCTTCAATCCAATGTCTACTTTGAACATTGTTACTTGTGTTGATTTTCTGATAATTTGTGATATTTTTTATTCCAGCTAAATTAACTTGCTAGGCTAAGCACAATACGATTTCTATGTAATGTTGATATAAGAGATTAGCTTGTAAAGGGTTTTGTTGTCACATTTTTGCTCGAGGACAAATTTCACAAGACCGATCAAATCAAAATTTTCATCCATCTACTTGCTCCTTGTCATTGAAAGATTCACTTACAACGACAAGAACACCATCTAGTTGCAAAAATAGAATTTCATTTTCCTGCAGAATTATTTGATATCCTTCAATTTTATTGGTAAATTAACCTTTGATTTTAGATGGCGTCCCAATTCTCTACCTGTTAGCTGCTAAAGTATAATCAGCCATAAATACTAGTTTTGCACAAAAACTATTGGGCCAAGCTAGAAATTCTCTAGGTTAACCAGTAAATATAATTGACCATAATTGAGCAGTAATTTAATCAGCTGCTTATCAGTAGTGATAGTGGCGTAGTCACATTTTTATTAGAAGTCAGATTTTTTAGTAGAATAATTTAACTAGCTGGATTTTTTAGTAGAATAATTTAACTAGCTGCTTCTAATCAGTAGTGGTGTAGCCAGCTTTTGAGGTTAATTGGGGCTGTTAAAATTTTAAAAATTAAGTAGATTGAGATCATTACGATTAAGTAGCATCGACTAGAGTATGAAATCTTTGAATTTGAAAAAGAGCACTTCTACTATGCTATATAGCATTGGCGCTTTAATGTACAACTTAAAGTTGTACCTTAACATTAAATGTATAAGTTTAGATTGTACCATAAATGAATTTTTATCATTATGTTATGGTACAATTTTACCACTAATTGTAATTTTACCATCACATAAAGGTACAAGTTCAAGTTGTACCATAAAAGAATTTGTACAAAAAGTATAGGTACAATCTGAAGTTAGTACCATAACGCGTTAAAGATACAATTTCAAATTGTACCATAAAAACAAAAACCTGTAGCACCAATAATATATAGCATTGTAAAATTCTTCTTTTGAAAAAATCATACTAAATTCAGGGTTTTTGTTGTCACATTTTTGCCAAGTGAGATCCTCGGACCCTTCTCTTCGAACGATCCCAATCAGGATTGCAATCTTACTGTAATGGTTCTAAACCTTTCAAAGTATGTATGACCCTAAAACCCTGAAACCTGGATAAGGCTGAAAACTAATATAAGAACAAACAACAACGCGTAAACAATATCAACCTCTGTTTTTATTCTTTGGCTTAAGTCAGCCGTTGAGCAAATGGACAAATCCTTATCCACAAACCAGTCACAGAAACGCGAAAACGAAAAGCATGCATGCAGCTGCAGGGTCACTTTCACAAAACCAAGGTTGTCAAACCGACAGTTTATCGGTTTAGCAAGTGGAATGGTTCAACCGGTGGTATATATCGATTTGTGCCGGTTCATGCCGATTAATATTATAAATAATTTATAAATTCTCATATTTAAACACAACATTTAACGTCAATACCTAAATATTTGTACTCGAATCCAACAAATAACATCAACATTTAACTTTTTAACACATAAAATAAATAATAAATTACTTTTTATCAATTAAATTCACTAAGATAAGATCATTTTATTTGAAGATTCGTATACCGATCATGCCAGTCATACCAATGATATCATGCCAATTTTATGACCGGTACAAGTTAAACCAGGTTGAATCAGTGGTACACCGGCCGGCGTGACAACCATACACAAAACCAAATATCCATTCATTCAGCTCTGCAGCTAAGCCAAATCAAACAGCAATTTTTCAAAAAAAAAAAAAACAGAGAGAGGAACAGTTGGGAACAAAAAAATAAAATTATAAACAAGAACAATTACTAATAATAAGGTTATCAACCAGGGCGATTAACAGTAGAAGAGAATTGGAAATCCAGAGAGAGGACTAAACTGCATTCCCTTTCTTCACTTCTTCTCTCCGTTAGGGCAATCTCTCGCAAAATGCCCTTCCTCCCCACAACTGTAACATTCTCCGCCACCGCCACCGCCTCTCCCTCCGGAATATCCGCCGCCGCGGCCGTACCTTCGGCTTCCTCTTCCGCCGACGCTGTAGCAATCCCTAGCTAAATGCCCAAATCGCCCACAATTGTAACACTCTACACCGCCCCCGTACCCGCCGTCGTAATTGTACCCAGAACCTCCGCCGGACCGGCCACCGCCTCTCGATCCTCTCCCGTAACCTCCGCCGCCTCTGCCTCCCCCGGCGTGGAATCCCCTGCCGCCGCCGCCGCCGCGCGGAGGAGCGCGGCGGGATCTGGAGACGGCAGCGACATCGACGGCCTTGGAGCGCCCGTCGTCCGCGAAATCGACGGAGAATTCGACGGCCTGGCCGTCGGAGAGGGTACGGAAGCCGTCGGATTGGATGGAGGTCTGGTGGACGAAGAGATCCTCGCCGCCGTCATCGGGAGCGACGAAGCCGAAGCCTTTCCTGGCGCTGAACCACTTGACGGTGCCGCTGCATCGTTTGCCCTCCGTCATGGATTGGAGAGGGCGGAGAGAGGAAGCTTCTAGATGGTTCTAGAAGGCGATTTGTCGATGGATGGCAGAAAGGATTGAACGGCGAGATATGGCGTAGGCCGTTGTGTATCGAGAGAGTATGGAAAGGAAGATACTGGGGAGGTTTTTTCTTTTTAGTTTTTTTATTGTTTTGCTTTTTTTTAGGTGGTTAGATGGGTTGACAGGTGTCCGGATCTGAACGGTGGAAAGTGGATTAGGTCTCACATCGACGGATGTGAAGGGCTCGACGGTTGTGAATGGATGGTGGGTTTATCCGTTTCAGGTTCTCAATTTTGATTTCAGGTGCTCGATCTTTTATTTTATTAGGATTTTTTTAGCAACTAAAAGAAATTATTAAAACGTCGTAGTTTATAAGATTTTCAACTATGTGTGGACACTAACTTTGTACTAGGGTTATTGGCCGCACGGCTAAACGTATAAGAGGAGGTAATAACCTAGAGCTGGAAGAGGCTTTGGCCGCGAAGATGTGCATACAAATTGCAGCTCAACATCAGTTGGGAGTGCCTACCCTCGAAGTAGACTGCATGAATCTTGTGAAGAGTCTTATTGTGGAGCACAAAATTCAAACTGAAGTGGGAGTAGTGTGTCGCAAGATTAGGAAAGTTTTGTTGGAGGCAGGAGGAGTGGACTGGAAGTACGCTAGTCGGAAGGCAAATGAAGCAGCACATGTTATGGATCATACGAGAACTAGTTGGGATGAGGTTGTTATATGGTTTGATAGACCACCTGTTTTTCTGCTTGATCAGCTGCAGCTGGATGATGTAACAGTGTTTAGTTGATTAATAAAGCTTTGCGCAGATTCCCATAAAAAAAACTTTGTACTAGGGTGGCTTTACAATCCGGTCCAGTTAAATTGGACCAAATTGATCCGGTTCTGGCCGGGTTTTTGAGAATATAAGGATCAAAGATTTGATTGGGTACAGTCCGATCTTGATCCGGTCTGGTTCCAATTCGGTCTTGATTTTGTATTGAGTTTGTGGGGATTTGAATGTTTCGAGGCTTCAAAGGGTAAGGAGTTGGTTAAGTTTTGGGTGTTAGGCTCTCTTATCCAGTCTTTATCCGGTTTTCGGTCCGGTCCCGAACAGTTTTTTACCTCAAATCTAAGCCCGAAGATGAGATTGAATTGTTTGCTATCCGGACCCGATCCGATCTTGATCCCAGTTATACGGTCCGATTTAGGGTAGAACCAAAAAGTATGAACCAAATAGCCACCCCTACTTTGTACCACTCGTTGGCTGAATGAGTTTCCCTTACATTTGCATTCACTATGGTTGATCATACAATTGAAAGTAAGCAATCTGCTTAAGAAGTTAAGTTTTATTTTGTTTTAATTGAGTGCTCATTATCATCTTTGTTATTCTTTCTATTGATGTATATGTGGCCTTGGCCCAATTCCCATTACACGTGTATCGGGTTTGGAGGGTGTGGGGATTGGTCGAGTAGCTAGCTAGGGTTTGAGAGTCCCTAGCAAATGTATATAAACGTAAGTAACCTAACTGCTAAAGTTAAATTGAATAAGAGGAACGATAGCTTCGGCCGTGGAATAGTCTCGTTCACACTGAACGGGGAAACCAAGTAAGTCTGTATGTTGATTTCCGTTTCTATTTTGATATATTATGTATTGTCTAAGTTGGTATTAGAGCCTATGTCGTCTGATCAGATCACTACTCGTATTAACTCCAAGAATTATGCGATATGGGAGTTTTAGTTCTGCACTCTAATTGAAGGAAAAGGGTTTATGGGATGGCTCGACGGCACAACCGCTTTACCTGCGGCAACAGAAACAGAGACGCTCAAGCAATGGGTTCTCATTGATGCTAAGGTTTGAATGATGTTTTTTAAACCTTTTGATGCATCAATTATTTTGGGTCTTCATATGCTTCCTACAACTGCTGCAATGTGGAAGTACCTAGCTGATACATGTAAGACTACTTGGGGTGTCTCGTCAATATGAGGTCGAGGTCGAGCTTGCAGCGTTGTTTCAAGTAAGTATGGATGTGACTTCATACTACAATGCAGACCGCAACCTGTGGATAGAACAACATGTGATCACTACAAGTTTTCTCACTACTGCAGGGACGTAGGAGGTCAAGGTGTAGAGGGAAAAGATTCGGCTGATGCAGTGCGCCTGAATGGGCTGAATCTGGAGTTCGAGACGATTCGTGCCTCTCTGCTGAACCATGAGAATCTTCGGATCGACGGTGTGTTGGGTGCCCTCATTCAGGAGGAAACGCAACTGCAAACTCAAGCCGTGATGGATGTCCGCCCCGGTGCGAGTGATCGCGTGGGCTTCAGTCTCGCTCCTAACCTTGCGCAGGTGGGTTCGTCGGGTGTTGTTGCTGGTGGACGACACTCTGCGTCAGCTGCTGATACTCGTGATGCGGGGGAGGAGCATTGGGAGGCAGCTTATGCAACGTATTGTGTTGCCTTCTAGTGCCAAGTCAACTCCTCGGATGTAGAGTGCTTTCATTGACGAGAGAAGGGTCATACGAAGAAGTTCTGCAAGAAAAAGAACTTTTGCGCCTATTCTAAGAAAACTGGGCATATTATTCCTAATTTCCCCGACCTGGCGGGACGTTTCGTGATTGAGAAGGGCATGGTGGCTCCTCCTCTCGGCGCAACTAGCGTCAAGTTCAGAGGGCATCCTGGTGAACCCAGCGACACTGGAACAACTCGTCAACAAGGTTGTCAATTCAGCCCTTGCCAGCCTTTAGGTTTATGGTAAGTTTCTTGTGTGGATACTAGACTATGCCTGTTTTAATCATATGACTGGTAAAGCAGCAGTTCTACAGCAAATCTGACCTGTGGAAAATTTGTCTCTCCAAGTTGCTAATGGTGAAACTTTACAAGTATCGGGAATGGGTTCTGTTCATAATTCGTCTATTGATTTACCTTCTACATATCATGTGTTGAAGGAAGCTTGTAAATGGCTCTGCTCAAGCAATTCAACGGGACAAAGGATTGATTTGGAAAGAAATCGAATCAGCCTACCTTACCTTTTCTACTCACAGACCAGAAATGGTAAAATCATCAAAGAGACGTTGGGGAGCAAGAGTATAAGAAGATACAGAGTATGGGGTCAATCGGTACCTTTTTCAAGCAAACAAGAAGGAAAGAGCAGAGAATTAGCTAAACTTGGAAATAAGACAAACATGCCCATTATTCATTCTCTGTCTAATCGAAGATTGAACACTTCCCTTCCTTCATCTTTCATTCAGTCGCAAATCAATTTCACCATCTCATTGCAAGTTTTTCTCTAGGGTTTTTGAATTTCAAGAAGAAAGTACAAGAAAATCGTCTCCGGTCTCGCGCTCGACCTCCGCTTTCATCATGCGCCAAAACCGCACAGTCGTGGTCTAGTCTGGACCGCAACTTGAGTGAATTTATTGTCGAATTAATAATATCAACATAATTAAAAAAAAGGCATTAATAACTCGGGCTTCCATCCCAGTCACAATATAAATCAGAAGCTCCTAGGCCCAGCTCCCCAGGCCCCCAGCCCACTATGTAACACAGCCGGCGCCCCCAACCCAATATCCATCACCGGCAATTGGTAAAGCCTGCCTACCTTCCCCCCAACGCATTTCGCCAATCGCGATTCCTGCAGGAGAAGAAAAGGTCGAGTTACGAGTTACGACCGGACAAGGGCAATGCTTCGGCCGCTACCTCGCTCGTCGGTGATTCTCCCAGCCCTGGACCTGCTCGTCGCCGCACCGTCGTTTTCCTCTTCCCGATCGGCTGCGCCACGCCTGTTCCGCCTCTCCGAGCTGCTATAGTTTCTATTCCCACCGTGTCTTTCTTCAATTCTGCCGCTTCAAGCTTCCAGCCTTCGCCCTTCCCCTTCAACTGGACATACATCAAAGGTCATGTAAGTTCCACTCGACCATTCCATCTCTTCCATGTTCCATCGCCTCCTGCCCCTTCCTAATTATTTTGCTTGCCAAACAGCGAGTAGACCCATTCCACCATTATCACCCTTCTCACCTTGATTTTATTCAATTTCTGTCACCGGGAGAAGGCTGGACATTGCTCTGTCTTGTGGCCAATCTTCCCGCACCGGCGACCGTAGGAGGGAGATTCAGATTCTCCTGCCATCAAGCTCAAAAGCTTGGGGTTAGACTGCTTCCGAATTCGTCTTCCTTCCAGGTTAGGTAACAACCAACAACGCAGTTAGTCTGTTTCTCTGCCATCTGGGTCAGGCTGCTGCTATTCACCAAATAAACTAATTATGAGAAGCTAAAAAGCTAGGAAAGCAAAAAATAAAAAAGCTTCTGTGTCTCGTCACACGATTTCTTACTTTTGTGAATGGAAAATGAAAAATCTGCCGAAAAGGTGAAGTCAGTAGATAATTCGTGAATCTGGCTTTTGGGTGGTGGTCGTTAGTTATCGCCTCGACGTAGTCCTGTTTGGATAGAAGATGATGCCATTGACAATGATGGGCCACTTCATCTCCCCACCACTCGACTAAAAAGCAGAGGTCGAGTAGTTGCATACTTGCATACATAACACCTAAGCTATCGACACCTTTTCATAAAAGGAGATCTACTGAACTAGTTTATTAACTTGTGTGAAGTTTACCTTTTTGGATTAAATTAACGGAAAACCCATGTGATGTTAACAAACAAAAGCTTTTGCCTTTTTCTTCTGCTGCAGTTGGTAATTAGTGATATCAGAGGTTGAGTCTGTCACCTGTTAAAGAAATAGGCGTTCCCTCCTACAGTCTGTAATTTGTGACGGCATCATGATTCATTAAATTATTCTTGGATAGCATATGGTGCCTGGCATCCCGCTGTGCACAGGATATTTGTACGGTTCTTCTGAATACTCAATTTTTTAAACTATTGACCAGCTTCATCTAAGCATTGCATAATGTTTGTTGATTGCCTTTTGCCTATATTCAATTTAATTTCCCTATTCGCAGGGAATAGGAGTTAGCTTCTGCAATCTGCATCAATGGCTGAAACAGCCAAAGATTCTAGCTTGATTGAAGGCAGTGGAAGAAATGGGTCATTTGGTCGGACAACGAGCAGCGTGGAGGGTTCTTCTCTCCGGAGGCGGTCTTCTAGTCTATCTCGTACACTGTCTTTCCAACCAGAATACGGTGGTGTTGAGAGTGATAATGTGTCCGAAGCGGGTGATATTGGGGACAGGGCGCTTCACAGTAGCAGCAGGTTCAGTGAAGATGGTGGGAGTGTTAGGCGGCTATCTCTTGAGATTGCATTGGAAGGTGGTGTTGCCTTCCCGATTCCTGAGGATGATGCAAAATCCCCTGTGTACCCGTTGCCAGAGGAAGTTGGTGCCGTTCTTGCACCTCGTTCCACTGAGCCAATGATTGGGTCCAAGGAGGTAAATGAAAAACATGTGACACTATTCTGTTACAGTTTAGTCAATTGGTTATTATTATTGAGACGTTCAGCGGATGAAGATCCTGATGAATCTGTCCTTTTAACGTGCAAGAGAAGGACTCATGGAGATTGCCGCCGTTGTTTGAGTACGTCTCATGTTTGCTTTATCTGGCCGTTTTTGGGATTCTTGGGGTAATTTCTGTGTTTTTGTTAATTGGCCTTTGCTCTGATTTGCACAATGCTTGATTCCTATATGTTAAGCCCCCTTCTCTGCTGTACCTTGCCTCTAGTATGCTTTTGTACTTTCCATTCTGTGTTATTTTTGTAAACTTGAAGAAATTAATTTTTCTATCTTGCCAACTTATGTAAGACTCAATTTTGAGCATCCATTTCTTGGCTTTGCATGAAGTGGAATCTAGAATCAAGTGACTGAAATAGACTACTCTAAATGGATGACTTTATATAAGGAACCTAGTACTAAGCATGAAACACAGTGTGCTGGAAATCTAATGTTTTCTTTGTGACTGATCTCAGCACTCTACATGAGTTGCAGAGTGAGTAAGGAAGGCCCCATTCACAATCACGCGTTTGCTTTTGGTGCTTCATGTGAAAAATATTCTGTAGTCTAAATGGCAAGCCTTGACTTTGTATTAAACAAGCTGTCTGTGATTGCTGAAAAGTATATATATGCTTTTTCCTTTATGGTGATCTTAGTACTCTAGATGAGTAATTATGTGGTCCTTTACACAGGTTTATATATCCTTTCCTTACGCTTACTGTGAATGATGTTAGCCGTCAGTGATCTCCTTGCATCTTCTCTGCTGCCTATTTCAGATGTTACACATGGTTATGAAGGAAATTGACCTTCGTCGTGAATTATGAATTTGATTTCTGTGGAGCTCAGACAATAGCCAACAGACGCTGATCTTTTGGTTTTTCATGGGTTGCAGGTTTTGACAAGGTACTTACTGCAAAAGCTTTTTGGCCCTGGGATTGCTCGTGTAACAAGTGATTCCAGCCCTCTGTACCTTGACCTGCCTTCTAATATGGTGAGTGAGTTTGAATTTTCAAATGTTTTACCCCCTGCTTTGTTAGAGGACCCCAGGGGTTTTGAAATTCTCCTTAAGTGCATGGTGTAGTTATGCACAAGAGAAAAAACCCAGCTTAACACCTGAACATAATTTAAAAAACACCGGGATCCAGATCTAGTTGTTTAATGATCCAATTCATAGACACTGACTTGGTTTAGCCCCTTGACTTTGCTTTGAGCAAGGTGAAAATGATTGAGGCCGTTTCTAGAACAAGTTATTGTATTGAAAGAAAGGTAGCAATTACTCAACCAATTTGTGGTCTTCACTATAGGGAAACAAATCTGTTGTTTTCTTCACCTTGATTAAACCACGTTACTTGTGCACTATTTTTAGGTGGGTTCTTTCCTGATGGGATGGTGGGGTGTTGTCTTCAAACCACGAATATCTAGTGTGTCTGATCATCTTGCCATTGGATTAACGACGGGATACTTGGGAAGCCTCACAACTTTTAGTGGTTGGAATCAGAAAATGCTTGATCTCGTCGTTGATGGCGAATGGGTCTATGCTGGTTCTGGCTTTCTCATAGGTAATGCAACAATCAACGAGACTAAAATTTAATATTTACCCATACAAGTCCTAGACAAATGAAACCGCATTCTGCACTAACTTGTAAATGAAACTTCTACTGTTACAATGTCTTGTAGGCCTGTTCCTTGCAGCTTACTCCATAAAGTTTGGAGTGGGGACAGCCAAATGCTTCCAACTAGCAACCCAAAGGCTAAATTGTGGACATTGCAAGTGGACTGTAAATACTTGGAGGCGTCATTTGGCTGTGATGATAGTACTGGTGTTAATGCTCGGCCTTCTATGGACTCTTAGTGGCACGTTGCTAAGTAAAGAGTTCAGTAGCACCGAGGCCCAACTATGGATAGCGTGCATAGTTGCTGCTCCAGGGGTATGGATAAGGTGGTTCTTAGCAAGACTCAATGGTCGTGGTCTGGGGAAATCAGGTATCCTAAAGTGGTTACCTTTCGGTACCTTGATTGCTAATATCTCCGCAGCTTGTGTCATGGCAGGTCTTGCAACAGTAAAGAAGGCGGTCAGTATTACATTCCCCCCTCCCTTTGGCTTGGTGATTTTGGAGCAATCTTGATGTGTTCATCTTAGTTGTGGGTTTGAACTGTGGCTGTTATGTACATGCAGGTGGATACCAAAAACTGCAACACGATTGCAACAGGTGTACAGTTTGGATTCCTGGGCTGTTTAAGTACTGTTTCGACATTCATGGCGGAGTATCATGCCATGGAAGAGAGTAGCAAGTTTTGGAGAGCGTACCTATACGGGTTGGTAACTATATTAGCCGCTTTTGCTCTGGGAATTTTAATATATGCTGTTCCTGTTTGGTCCAGAGGATACAGTTGAGCTTCTCCAAGAGTGCCTGAGCGGAGAGAACTCAAACTGCGCCATCGTGGACATGCTGGCACGAAGTAAATATGAGACAGAAAGGCAAAGGAACTTGTAGATGCAAGTTTAGAAGAAGAAGAATCCTTAGATATCCTGTTTTAAACCCGAATTCAGGAGTGGATAATAATTCATTAATATTCATTCTCAATTTCGGGCAAAGGTTTATTGGAAATCACGTCATATGTTTTGTGGTTCTTTTGTCTGCCGGTTTTCCTTCCATTCCATGTGATAAAAGTTCAGAACTTATTCCTAACTTCCTCTGCAAAAATCGTTGTTCACTGTATGTTGATGGTCTACGCATTTAGTTCTGTGGATAGCTGTTAAGTGCAGGTAGATTATTTGTCTTGTATTGCTTTCTTCCAAAATAAATGTCTTCAGGAAACGGTTAATGGTTTGGTTTGGTTAGGTTTTGGTGTTTAGATAACGATAGGTGGTTTGATTTGATTTTGGTAATAGTTACACATGTAATTAAGAAAATATTAGTGTTCTCAACGTCTACGGTATCGATTGTGGTTGCAGGTTCATTTGGCTTCTTTGGGATAAGAAAGAAAGAGAATTGAAATCACTCCCTCCGACAATTGAAGCAAATTTTGTCGACAGGAATTCAAAAAAAGAGAGAGACGGACGAGACGCTGGTATAAAAGAAAAAAAATTATGACGTTGCATTTATGTGGCAAGTGAGGTTGAGTTGTTGTTGAAGTCTGAGTCAATTTGGCATCCTAGTCAGCATACCATTAACCTAATTCACGGAATCTCAATTACCGTTAAAGTTTGTAACCAAATAACTAGATTTGTCAAACAACAATCCAAATTTTTTACTATTTTGTGTATATCTCAGAAAGTGATTATTATTGTCACAAACTCGAAAGTTGTGGCTATACAAATGTATTTTGCCTATATTTTATTGCTTTTTTATGAAAATATGACTTTCATGTTTTTTAGTTAGTTTCTGTCACTTCAAGCAAACAACTGTCTGTAAATTAAATTAAAAAAGTTATACATCATTGAAAAAATTGAGCAAACTATCACCAAAACCAAACAATCCTAAAATTAAAAACAAATCTTTGATATTGATAAGAGACATTTGTTGTGCTAGAGTTTTCTAACTTGTTTGTTTGTTTATCTTATCAAGGGATGACAATGGAGCGAGTTTGCCAAAACCATCCCCATCCTCATTTTCAAATACCGAAACCCATATCCGTCCCAAATCTATGTGGGGAATGTTTTGCAAACCCATCCCCATACCCGGGGATTCCAGAAATAACACTGTTTTTTTTTTCAAAAATAGCACCCAACTCCGAAAAATTCCAAAAATAGCACCCTTTCCCAAAAACCGCCACCCGTACCAGCGGTTTAGGCGAAAACCGCCACCCGAGGGCGCGTTTTTGATGAAAACCGCACTGGTAGGAGCGGTTTTGCAAACCGCACCCCCACCGTGCGATCAGTTTTTTTTTTTTGAAAAATCCTAACCTAGGTGGAAACTTCAAACGAACGTATCTTTCTGTTCGGGTATCCGATGTTGCGATTTTTTTTTGATTCTGCATAACCTTTTGAGATCTTGCAAGCCGAAGACTGCCGAAGGTGGTTTGGTCCCGCCTTCGTCCCAAAAAATATCGTTTGCTACCCCGAACGAGGTTTTTTCCGATTTCGTCAAACTTTGGACAACCATAACTTTGTGCTACAAAATCCAAACGACATGAATTTTTTTTTTCGCATAAATTTTTAAGGAATACAACTTTTATCATAAACATAGTTTTGAAATGTACGTGGATTGCTGAAAAGGGAAGGTAAGCTATTTCCAAAATCATGTATATCCAAAAAGCGGGCGCAATATTTTCGAAATGTACATTCGGATTTTGGAGCACAAAGTTATGGTTGTTTAAAGTTATTGAGCTCCAAAATCCGAACTTCATGATTTTTTTTTTCATTTCGCATAACTTTTTAAGGACTACAATTTTTACTAGGAATGAATTTTCAAAACAGGAATTATTTTTGGATATACAGGATTTTGGGAATAGCTTACCTCCCCTTTTTAGCAATCCACGTATATTTTGAAATTATGTCTATGATAAAAGTTGTATTCCTTAAAAATTTATGCGAAATAATTTTTTTTTCATGCCGTTTGGATTTTGGAGCACAAAGTTATGGTTGTCCAAAGTTTGACGAAATCGGAAAAAAGCTCGTTCGGGGTAGCAAACGACATTTTTTCGGGACGGAGGCGGGACCAAACCACCTTCAATAGTCTTCAGATTGCAAGATCTCGAAAATTTATGCGGAATAAAAAAAATCGCGACGATCGGATACCCGAACAGAAAGATACGTTCATTTGAAGTTTCCACCTAGGTTAGGATTTTTCAAAAAAAAAAAAAAGACCGCATGGTGAGGGTGCGATTTGCAAAACCGCCCCCTACCAGTGCGGATTTCATTGAAAAACGCGCCCTCAGGTGGCGGTTTTCGCCTAAACCGCTGGTACGGGTGGCGGTTTTTGGGAAATGGTGCTATTTTTGGAATTTTTCGGAGTTGGGTGCTATTTTTGGATTTTTTTTAAACAGTGCTATTTCTGAAAAAATCCCCCATACCCGTGGGTTTCGAGTACCCATGGGTAATACCCGTCCCCGTACATCCAACATTATTATACCTAAAATTTAGAAGAAATTTTTAATTATAACATGAATCTATTATATCACAAAGTCAATAACGCACGATTATTTTCTTAATACGGTTCAAATAATATGATCCTACACCATTCATTAATATTTAATACATAATATAGAGTACAATATTTTCCGAATTATTATGCTTTAACTATGATGCATCTACTAAGTAATAATTAACTAACATTACGTTTTTGACAAGGGGGGAAGTGAAAGAGTGAAGGGAAAATTGAGCAAAATGAATTAGGTTTTAATTAGGGTGGCCACTCAATTGCATTTCTACTATTTATTTTCTCGAGTTATCCTCATCATCATTGATAGATTACAATTTGATCCACAATTCTCTTGGTGGGCGGTGGAGGCTAAAACCATATCCGCCCCATACCCATCAAACTTTTTGCGGGTTTTATCCATACCCGGTAAAAGCGAGGATTTCCCGCGTTAACTGGGTAGGGGGCGGCTGTCGGGTACCCGCGACCATGGGTTTGATTGCCATCCCTAATCTTATCTATCTCCTTTATAAATTTTTCATTAGTTTTGTAATGTTTTGACAAGTTAATTCAATGCAGAATTTTCATATTTCAATTCTTTCCATTAAACAAAAGAAAACAATTGAGCGTGCATTCGGTTTCTAATCATGCATAAAATTTTCCGACTTAATTTAACGGGCTATATCTTTCATTTTAACTCGGAATTAGAAAAAAAATTACAAAGAAAAATCATATTAATCTTGTTTTTGAAAATGATATCCACTTTGATATGTTTTAGAACAAAAAAGTTTAGACATATAGCATCAGTCTATACCATGGTGGTAATGCTTAATAGTACATAAGATTGTACCACGGTAATATGAATATACCACAATGTAGAATGATTGTATACATGATAGAGGAATTATACTAACCACTATTTACCATCATTTGCAGGATGTTATATTTGCTAGTGAACTTTTATTTTCAGAAATTTACAAATTAAAATAAATCCATTCCTTTTGTGCAAAGTTTTTCAAAATTTGAATTATGAACGAAGGTGGTACAGAGTGGCACCAGATGAAACCCGGATGGTAACGAGTAGTAATGAGTGGTACAAATATTCTTTTCTTGAAGTATACAATAAAATCAATATAATTTCTGGATCACAATTAACTTTCTTCATTTGTGCTAAATTTTTTAAAATTTGTATTAAAACAGAAAAGATACATATTAAATACAAATGAAACATCTTTTAACATGACTTTTTAGATCTGAACCACTAAATCGAGAAGTCCAATTTAGTTATGTAGAAAAAAAAAAACTCTCCCAAGTTGTTTACTACAAAACAAGAAGACTCTAAAATATCAAATCTTTTTCTGATAAAATATTGTCCATTTTAGCTCTAAACCATCACAGTTTTTGATTTAAAATGCATATAAAACTTAATTCCCATAATAGATAACATATGTTGGGATCACTGTCCAACTTGTATATTATATTTCTTCTCTCCAACTACCCTCCCTCCCTCCCTTTTGTAGCTCAACCGGCCTCCCTGTGCCAATAATGTGAACATCATTTTCGAAATCATACAACTTTCAAGAACCAATAATGCAGCCAGAAATTCTGTCAGTTGGGCTGTTGCGATTCAATAATATATATAGTGGCTATTTCGGCGCACTCACTTTTTTTGGTGCACTTAGTGCACCCAACTCTAAAAGCGTCCATAATACATCAAATTTTGAACGTTAATTAGTACTCTCAATCTAATATGATGATATGATATAGAATCATAACAAATCAATCCATTACCCTAACCCCTTAACCTTCAATTTTGAATCCCAACCCAAAATCCCAAATTGTAAACCTAAACCCTAACCCTAAATCCCTAAATCCTTCGAATTAAAGTAAATTTTGAATGATTTTTTTTTTCAAATTCATGTGCTTCTTGTTCATAATATAATAAGCAACAATTGATACTGTTTTTGACATGAATCGCATGGTCAGAATGACAATTATGAGGCGGGTACACCGAATGCGCCACCATATATATAATATCTAGTGCATACAAATAAGAAATATGTTATTATAAGAATACAATGTTTAGTTATAGGTATTTTCATTTTCTAAGAACTAAAGAGATGAAACTTTAATTAATTGCTTATAACCTTTAAACATATTATAATAGGCATTCAGGTAAGGATACAACTTAGGGGTGGAAATTGGGGTGAGTGTGGTTACCCGTCCACATTTTGCGAGTATCTATACCCACATATTTATAGTTATGCTACCCACAACCCCCACCGCAGTGGTTAGTGGGTAACCACTACCCACTGCGGTTACCGAAAAAATCCATCTTTGAAAGCATAGACTTGAGGCCGCCACTAACGTATTTGTTGTTTGTAGCTAGACTATAGTGATATACAATTGTGTTGTTCGTGGAGATACAATTTTGTATATCGATCTTACTCAACGTGGATATTTTTCTTTTCGAGTTTGGTGTTCAACTTTTGTGTTAGGGAGCTGTGATTTCATATTTCACTGATTAGGGGTTGAATATGACAATTAAATATGATCTTGTATTTTCTTTCACACAAAAGCAAAAACATACAGATAAAACTTACTAAAGGTGTCTACTTTTAATGAATCCATTAGTCTTCTCTCTCTCGATTATAGTGTTTTATAAACTAAAAAATTTCACATAAAACAGATTAGGTGTGTATTTGATTTTGGTGGCTACTTTAATTTTTAGCCTCCCACTTTTCACATACCATTATATTATAAAGTTAATTCAGTAAATAATTAGAATTAGTGTAGTTATTATGGATTTTATGGGTTAACTGCGGTAGGTAGTGGATACCACTAACCCCAAAAATCATTATTTTACTACCCACACCCAACCCACTACCCACAACTTGTGGGTATGATTACCACAATGTGTGGGGGTTGGTACGGTTTGCGGATTATCCGCAACCCGCGCAACCCAAACTTCCACCCCTATATACAAGTTGATCAAATATGAATATGGCTAGAGATAAGAGTGAACACTATAATTTATATTTTTTGTTATGGTTCTAAAATAAAAAAATCCTAAACATTCGGAAATGTAAATTACTCATCAGATATATACATTTTAAAACATTCGATAATTTAGTTTCACATAGTCTAGCGGTGAAATCTTTAGTGGACACTCGTTCTGGGAAGTGACAGATATCGTGTTCGATCCCCATCGAGGCCCGCTATGATATTCTCGGAGGCATTTAATGGAGATATTCGTGGAGGTCCGAAGAACTCCAGCAGGTGAACCCCCATATTTGGTCTCGCTCCACCATCGCTCAGGCGATGTGTGCGTGGGAATATTTGTGGGTTATAAAAAAGGAGGAGAAAAGAAAACAATATTTGTGTAAACTTCCAAACAACTTCGTTCTTAGTTTCATTTTCCCATCCAAAGATCGGTCCCAAATTGCCGCACCTACCTCCATATAAATAAGGTACCACGAATATAGAAGAGGGAGGCCTTGAAAATCTCCACCCCCTTCATTCTCTCCATCTCCCCAACCTTCGGAACAAAAAAAAAAAAAAAAAAAAAAAACCCTTCAACCCTGCCAAAAAAAACACAAACAAAACAAGAACAAGAGAAAGAACAAAAACAAAAGGAAAAGCAATGGTCAGGGTTCAAGACATAGCGTCGGAATCCAAAGACACGATCCCCGACGAGTTCGTGCGGCTCGAGAGCGAGCAGCCGGCGGCCACCACCGTCCGCGGCGTCACCCTCGAGGTCCCGGTGATCGACGTCAGCGACCCGGACGTGGACAAGGTGAGGAAGCTGATCGTGGCGGCCAGCAAGGAATGGGGGATGTACCAAATCGTGAACCACGGGATCCCGCCGCCGCTCATCGCCGAGCTCCAGAGCGTCGGGAGGCAGTTCTTCGAGCTGCCGCAGGAGGAGAAGGAGGCTTACGCCAAGCCGGCGGGGGCGAAGTCCGTCGAGGGTTATGGGACTTTCCTGCAGAAGGAGGTGGCCGGGAAGAAAGGATGGGTTGATCATTTGTTTCACAAGGTTTGGCCACCTTCTGCTATCAACTACAGGTTTTGGCCACGAAACCCGCCTTCTTACAGGTTTGATGTAACGAACTCTTGGTTCTATCTTTTTCTTCTTCTTCTTCTTCTTCTTCTTCTTCTTCTTCTTCATCCTATCATTATGGTTGATATTTAATTTTCATCATTCCTTGTATAGCCAAGTTTATGCAGAAATACATAATATTTCACTATTGATTTTTACAGGATTGCCTCTACTTGGATTTAGTTAGTCCAGTTTTCAAAATTGTTCATAGAAAAATCTGATTAACCGTTCTTTGGAAAAATGATATCGACTGATATTGATTTTGAAAAAAAGTCCACGCTTTAGTACCATGCATAATTTACCACTGTGATACGAACTTCGTATGACAGTAAGAATACTGACCGTATTTTCTCACAGCGGTGGAGCTACGTTAAGCCCCTGCTGGGGAGGTGATAGCCCCACTCAACTCTTCAAATCATATAAAATTACATGTAAATTTGGTTCTAAATTTTAGAAATATAGCAGTTGTAAGGTTTTAACCCCCTCCTATTCTATACACGTAAATTTTTAGCTCATGAAGATTCCTGGCTCCACCACTGTTTTCTCAAAATACATAAAAAATTTGTATAATTGTGCAGATCATCATCCACGCGCGTTTTTCATATGCATATTCGTTAAAATTGAAGTTAAAACGAAGAGCATACAAGCCAACTAAAAAAAATTGAAAATAATAAATGTCATTCAGCTCATCCATTAAATTGATCTAAGAAGTAAGAACTAGAACTTTGATTATGCAGTACAAACTTTTCCTAGACAGAAGCTGCTACATACAGCGATATGTGTAATCTCCTATACGTATTTTATTCTGACCGGGCAGGGCGGTGAACGAGGAGTACACGAAGCAGCTACATGGCGTGGTGAACAAGCTGTACGACAGCCTGTCGCTAGGGTTAGGGCTCAACGCCGGAGAATTGAGGGAAGCTCTCGGCGGAGACGAACTCGTCTATCTGATGAAGATAAACTACTACCCACCGTGCCCGCGCCCCGATCTGGCGCTTGGAGTCGTGGCTCACACCGACATGTCGTCGCTCACCATTCTCGTCCCCAACGACGTTCAGGGGCTTCAGGCCTGTAGAGATGGGCAGTGGTACGACGTCAAGTACATCCCCAACGCACTCGTCATCCACATTGGCGACCAAATGGAGGTACGTACGCACGCACGCGTGTTATTCGAATTCTCTGAACATAGTATTTTTAGTCTTATCGCGATCGTTTAAAATTTCTGGCTCGACCACTACTCTGCATACCTACCTAACACCATGTCCATGGAGGAGTTGTACGTGCGGAAGCAAAACCAGTCGACAATTAATGGTGCATGTACAATAACAGGTTAATTTAAGACAACTCCATAGACCGCACATGGATAGATTGCATTTGCATGCATGCTTCCACATATGAAGTAATTGCACTTCACGTGCAGCATTCTTTATAGGTGTTAGGTAGGTTTGGCAATTGTATCAGAATGTTGCTGTGGAGTTAAACTCGGTTTCTAGTACTATAAAATCATCATTGGGTTAGTTAGGTGCTACAAAGCATATATTATTGCAATGTCTAGCTAGTAGGAATGGCGAGTTGGCAGGTTCGAAGCGTGTATCTCGATATTCATATCGATTCATTGCTGTTTAGGTTCATGGTCGATTAATTTATCATGGAATTCTGATCAGGTAAGGTAGACCCATATGAGTATGTAATTTATAAAAAAAATATTAGAAATATTCATTTTCCATTAAAAAATGGAAAAGAACTATAATATAATATGATAAATGTAATTAAATTATTCAAAAAATGGAGGTTCTCACTTATTTAGTATTTACAACTTCATTACGTAGGGGTCATTTGCTTGTTGGATTTGGGTCATGGATTTGGTACCCAAATCCCAAGCTTGATGGATTTAACATAAGTCCATTGTTTGTTGAAGGGTGCTAAATCCGTGGGGTCCACGGATTTGGTCTTTATTTTGGAACCAAATCCGTGGACCCCACGGACTTGTAAATCTCAATCTCCACATATTGATTTGGGATTTGCAAATCCTTGATGGTTAGTTATTTATTTAACAAATCCATCACAAATCCATCATCAAATCTATCATGCAAACATTAGACTCTTCAAATCCATAATCTAATAAATCCAACATAAATCTCAAGGTTTTTATTGGTCAAAACCCTCATTTTTCAAATCCAACAAGCAAACGACCCCTACAGCTCAATATGAGATAATAAAATTAAAATCTTAAGTAATTTTAGTAAAACTTCATGTAATTTAAGCGAAAATGAATCGAGAATGAGACGGGTCAAGAGTCAAGACATGTCAGATTGAGGAGAGTACATATGCTCCTGCCCATAATAGATCAAACAAGTCGAATAAAACAAATCAAGTAAGAAATTGTCATTCCTAACTAAGAAATGAGTAGCTTCCTTACTAGGTAGTGGGTACGTAGTAGTTGGCACTTGGCAGGAATTAAAGGCTAAAGCTTTCTTGGATACTAAAAGTTTGTTCATTCCATATTTTCTTGTTGCGCGAGCAGATCGTGAGCAATGGGATCTACAAGAGTGTGCTTCACAGAACCACGGTGAATAAGGATAAGACGAGGATGTCATGGCCGGTGTTTTTGGAACCGCCGGCAGACCACGTAGTGGGTCCTCATCCAAAGCTCGTCGGCGACAAGAACCCGGCCAAGTACAAGACCAAGAAGTTTGGAGACTACTGTTATTGCAAGCTCAACAAAATTCCCCAGTAGATCATGATGATGATTGGCAGCAGGATGCTCTGCCGATATATGTAATATGTATCATAAGTATTATCTGTATTATTTGGCTTTATGTAATATGATCACGCTGTGGCTTGCTGGGAATAAACCATATTCAAGTACTAATTATATTTTCGCGTGAGATTAGTTAGTTTTTTTTTTAATAAATCAGTGCCTGTGAGTAAAATCAACCAAAAGTTGGGTTACAATGAAGATGAGTGGCCGGTCAAATCAAATTTCCATTTCATTCCATCTACATTGCACACATGCCAACTGCCGACAGATATGTGGCAAGTGGCAAATTATTCTGTTTTAGTCCCCAATCGATTTGTACTTTATTTCTTTCATCAATTTGGAATTATAATTTGTGATTATTGATTAAAAAATTATTTACGTTCGCAACGCTTAGGCGAATGAGGCACTAGGCAAGACCAAAATGTTTGCATTATGCCTAGTGTCTTTTTGAACCTTGGTTATAGTCAAGACTTAGACCATGCATGTTTATTAGTTGAATATTTGTAATTGTGGACAATTACCAATACCAATATTTATAAAATAAATGATTCATTTTATTTGTGGATTAAGGGTTATTAGTTTGAAATGTCTTTCATTTTAAATTTAAAACTATTGATTGTGTGATCATATGGAATATATGCTGTAAACCCAATGAATTCACCCAACCTGCACCCATCATCCGCAATCACCAACCCAACCCACCCACATGTATTGCTTGGATGGGTGTGGGTCATTTTCTTGGGGTATCTCTCTTCAAAGATGAACCTCTTAAGTTTCCTTCTATGATAATTGCCTTGATGAGAAACTTTGAAAAACTCTTGAATATCACTTTTATGAGAAAATATTTCTTTACCCGGTCTCTTTATAATCTTGCAAGAATCACTCACACCTTCAACTCTACTATCACGGGGTCAACATGAGAGATCATATTGAACCATTCTATCTCGGGGCTTGAAGGCGGTGTGGTAGGGGGTGTGACCAACTCACAATCCATCTTGACATCTTCCCATTTGAAGTATTTGTGCAAATTGGGGATTGGAGTCATCTTATAGCTTATCTCCTCCTCTCCTCCAAACCTTAAGGTGATCTTGCTCCCAGTGACATTAATGATAGTCCTTGTCGCGTCTAAGAATGGTCGGCCTAGGACTATCGATGCATCACATCCTTCCGTGTCGAGAATCACGAAGTCAACAAGATAGACAAAATGAGCACACTTTACCAAGATATTCTCTATGACTCATCTTGGCTCGACAATAGACCTATTGACAAACTCAATATGCATTTTAAAACGTATGAGTGGTCCAAGGTCTAATTCATTGTATATTCTTGTAGGCATAATTTTGATACTAGACCCCAAATCCTCTAACGGATTCCAAAAAGTTTTTGACTCCGAAGGTACATGGGATAGTGAAGATTCCTGGATCTCTCAATTTTGGAGGGAATCCATCACATCCGATGGATGCCGAAGCAACTTCAATAACGGATACCATAGCTACTTCTTCCATCTTCCTCTTTCCCGACAATATTTCGTTCAAGAATTTGATATATTTAGGAATCTTCATCACCGTGTCTAAGAAAGGGACTGTTACCTTCAATTGCTTCAAGGTGTGTGGCTCATGGATTAACGCCAGTTCTTTTTGCGGGTGATGCTAAGGTGGTCATAGACAAGCTGGGGGGATCCTCGAGGAGATCATGGTGCTTCGTCAATCATTCCAGAAGTTCTCGGTTCGTTATATTTGTCGTCGTTGTAATAGGGTTGCCCATTTGGTGGCACGAAAGGCCCTTTCATTGTTCCCTTCTTTAGTTGGGTTCGATTTGGTTGCTTGGCTGTTTTGGGCCATTTGAACTCTTTTATATCTGACTGTTTTCCTCGGTAATACGAGTAATCTTTTGAAGAAAACAATTTTTTTTTGCGAAGAACAACCGGGACTGAAAGCAGCCAACGGTGATTCCACCTCAACCCTCATCCTTTCCTCGTCGATGGCTAAGTCTAGCTGGCCCTCGCCTCCTTAAGACTTCCTTTCCTCATCGTTTTATTTGCTTCTGAACCTAGTTTTAATTCTACATGTTGCAAATGCTAGTGTAGAAAGATATTTTCAGCTTTGAACTATATTAAGAACAAGATTTGAAGTCGAATTGGCAATCAATTTGCTTGCGAATGTTTAGTTGGATACATTGAAAAATTACTTAAAAGTGTAAATAACAAATGTATCTTGCTTTTATTTCAGAATATGAAAACGTGTCGTGTTTATTAATGAAACAATGATTGTATTAGACGGTTGTTACTTAATTATCTATAAATAAATTATTGTATTATTAAAATTAATAATTAATTCATTATTTATATATTAAAAAGAGGACACATTTATTCCCGCCACTGTTAATGAATGACTATGTTAAAAATGCATTGGCCAAACTGATCTTGACTTTAGAAGGTGGAGCTATTTACGACTGGACCCATGAATGTTAATTTCGTAGTACGTTGGCTGGGATCTAACTAGCTAGAGTGATGGATATATAGCTTTCACTTATTTAATAGCTTCATAAATTATAGCTTTGACCTCTTTTTATCTTCCTTATTTTTTTAATCGATTTGCCTTTTCTTTATTTTTAACCCAAATTAAAAAAGAATCGCACAGTGTAACGAGCTAATTGGTATCTACAAAATAATATCTATTTTTGATATATTTCGAGAAACAAATTTTGTAATACTCTTTACCATCTTCGTACCACTTCATTCTAGCAAAAATTTTGAAATATTTTGCACTGAAGGAAGGAATTTATAATGATCTACGGATTTTGATAATAAAATTTAAAACCAAATATACCGCCTTGTTATAGGATTGTAGATGGTGGTAAAAGGTGATAAATGATGATTAGTATATTCCTATTCTCATATATACAAAAATTATACACTAAGATATATTCTTACCATCATGATATAAACTTATGAACTACCAAACATTGCTAACATAGTATAGACTGGTAATATATGTCTCAATTTTCGCTGTAAAATATATCAAAATGTATGTCATCTTAAAGAGTACGATTATCTAATTTTCCATCCAAAACATTGAATTTTGACATAAAACAAGAAAGCCATAACTAGTTAAATTTAATTGTGGGAAACATTATGCATGATGCTGACCAAATCCTCTCCTGCTGAATAGCTAGTCTATTGGCTAGGGTTTAGGATAGGGTTAGTAGCCAATGGTTACTGACCTATGAGTAACTAAATCTGGACCATTAGATCTAAGTGGACCCAGAAAATTCAGATCTAAAGGTTGTCAATTAAAGACATTTTATTTTCCCTAGATTTCATAATCGGCTCTTATCTTCTTCGTTTTAACTCGGATTTCAATTTTTTTGCACACATGGAACGAGTTCGTTGTGCTCTACAAAATGAGATCAATTTTCAATATATTTCGAGAAACTTTTTTTTTTACCAACTACATACCATATGGCAACTTCTTCGTTTTTAAGTCATTTCTGAAAACGTTTGCTCATAAGGAACGAGTTCATCGTGATCTATTGGATCTACAAATTTCTGGGTGAAAAAAATACTGGACCAAAAATTACCATACTTTACCACTATGGTATGTAGGTGGTAACTTGTGGTAAATAATGATGAAAGTCGTAAATGACAGTTAGTATACTCCTACTATCATGTATTCAACCTTCTTACCATATTGGTATGTTCATACCATCATGGTACGCTTCCTTACCATATGGTATTAAATATGAGCATACCATATGGTAATGACTGGTAAAAAATTATTCAATTTTTTTTGTACTAAAAATATATCAAAGTGCATATTATATTAAAGAGCACATTTAATCTGATTTATCTGTGCAAAAAAATTTAAATTTTGACTTAAAATGTGAGAGAAATCGTCCGTTAAAGATTAAATGGGAAAAGATAAAAGACATTCCAGGAGAAATGAGATGCCGATGTCATGCAAATGTGAACATGTTACTGATGATTACTCATAATAAGAATTACTGACCTGATCCGCTCTCATTGGCTAGCCATTAGGCAGCGTAGCTTGTCCATTGACCGGCGAGTTCTTCCTCTTTCCCCTCTCGTACTTCCTCATTATCCCTGGACCGGTTTCAGTAGCCATATTAATGCACGGGAGGGGGTGACCATTCTTATGTTTGAAAGGTTGCGCCTAATTACCAATGTTGTTAGAATCGAACCGGAGCATGACCCGATAATGCGAACGGCTTGCACTTTAGTGGTCCAACCGGTAATAGACCGTTTAAAAACCGTTAGAGAATCGGTACTTAATAAACATTATCAGTATAAATAGTGGACATTTCTTATTCAGAGCTCATCTCTTTCCTTCGAAATTGTGAAATGGAAATAAGGATTCAGTTTGAGAGCCCGACGTTTTTGGTTTATTTCAATTTTCAATTTTCTTCAATTTTTTTAATTAAATTTAACGGCCGAATGGCAAAAACCAGATAAGCGGCTCGAGCGGTTAACCGCCTCGGCCGTTCGCCAACCGCTACATAAAATCGGAGCGACTTTTAGACTGTTCCGAGCCGGTTTTGTGACCGGGTGGCGGTTTTACCGGTCGGGTCGAGCGACTCGGCTCGGCTTTAATAACACTGCTAATTACCACCGCAAATTGATTCAATGACCGCTTTTAAGTTTTATTTATTTATTTATTTATTATTATTATTATTATTATTATATATTAGTGGATTAATTCTAGGTCTAGATAGCTTTTTCTTATTCAAGGTATGCACTACCTTTGATTTTACTCAAGGTACCGCATACCTTGAGTATGAAAACGCTATCTAGACCTCGAATTTGCAGGATTTTTGGGCATGATACTATACTTCAACCCTTAAATGAGTGAACCCTAGGTCCTAGTTATCTAAATCATAAACTATAAACCCTAAGATGGTGCATTGTTTTTTTTGCCAATATTTGGATGAATCATAACCGTCGATTATTGTTTCTAATTAAATTGATTTTGGGGTATAAGATTTAGAGAATCAAGACCTAGATTTTGATCTTTAAGGGTTAGAGCATAATATCATGTCCGAAAGAACAGTCAATTCAAGTTCTGGATAGCATTTTCTTACTCAAAGTATGTGATACCCCGAATTTCACCATGGGTACGGTAGAACTATATATATCCTTTCTAAATGAAGCGAAACAATCACACTCTTCGATAGCTAGTTGTAGTAGTTCTCACACTTCCACAGAGAAACAATGTTGTCACTTCTCCTCTTGCTAACCTTCCTCTCACTACTACTTGTTTACACCGCGAAGAAGTCGCCTTCGACCCCTAACTGGCCTCTCTTGGGAATGCTTCCATCCCTCATTTGGAACCTCTCCCGCCTCCACAAAATCGCAAACAGAATCCTCAGGGACAACGGCGGCACCTTCCTATTCACAGGCCCGTCCTTCACAAACCTCAACTTCCTCGCCACAAGCGACCCCGTCAACGTCCAACACATCTTCACCAAGAACTTCGCCAACTACCCCAAGGGACCGGACCTCAAGGCGGCGTTGGAGCCCTTCGGAGAGGTCATATTCAACACCGACGGCGACGCCTGGGAGATGAGGAAGGGGATCATCCACACCCTCATCAAAAACCCCCGGTTCGAGCGGCTCCTGATGACAACCCTACGCCACAAACTTGCCAACAGCCTGATCCCGGTCCTCGACCACGCCTCGAGAAACGACGTCGTTCTGGACTTGCAGGACGTGATGGCGCGGTTCATGTTCGACCTCAACTGTTTGCTCCTCCTGGGGATCGACCCGGGGTGCCTCTCCACGAGCTTTCCACGTGTCCCGTGCGCAGAGGCGTTTGATGTGATCGAAGAGGCCATTTTCTACCGCCACTGCGTGCCGCAGTGGGTTTGGAAGGCGATGCGGTGGCTTCGGGTCGGGTGGGAAGGCAGGACGATCGAAGCTGAGGGATGCCTTAATGGTTTTCTGGGTGAAAAGATCAGAGCGAAGGTGGCGGAGAAACAGGCTGCGGATGGGAAGGAGAGTCTTGGAACCCGACATGCTTCCCAGCGGCCACGTCGTGGGTAAGAACACTAGGATCTTTGTGTCCATTTACTCAATAGGAAGGATGGAAGAAGTATGGGGTGAGGACTGGATGGAGTTCAAACCCGAGAGGTGGGTTGCAGACAGATCTGAAGGGAACTGTATATTGAACAATGATGATGATGGTGTTGTTAAGAAGAAGCTCAGTACAATTCATGTGCCATCCTACAAGTTTGCGACATTCATAACAGCGCCAAGGGCTTGCTCTGGGAAGAAAATAGCGTACACACAAATGAAAAACATAGCCAGTTGTCTTCTGCACAGGTATAAGATCGACGTGGTCGATGATCATCCGGTCGTCACTACAAAAAAGAGGAGGTTTGGGGACGACGAAACTTGTCCCCGCAAATAGTAAAAATCGTCTCTATAGATTTTGGGGACGACTATGTCGTCCCCGACGTGTGGTTCCCTATACTCTTGTCCTCTATTATTTTGGGGACGATCAAAATCTAGGTCGTCCCCATTACTAGGGACGACAGTCGTCCCCGGTACTCGTAAATCGTCGTCTCATTTCTCTTCCAAAAAGACAACATGTTGTTCCTATAGCTATAATTGTAGCGACAATAAGTCGTCCCCTAAACATCATTTTCAGGGACAATCTGTTGTCCCTCATAATCAATTTCATGATTGTATTGGGTCTATCTAGGGATAATATGTCGTCCCCTTTCATTTGTAAAGATTCGATATGTCGTTCCTATAGGTATCAAATTGGAGTCAAAACATCATCCCCAAAAGCTTTATTCAAGGACTACCAGTGGTCTCTTCTACCATATCTTTAGAGACGACAAGTTGCCACCTATGATTTTTAGGGACGAACAATTGTCCCTCAACTTGTGTATTAGAGGACGACAAGTTGCCACTTATGCACGTTATGCGAACGACTAATAGTTCCCTCTGTAACTCGTATGAATGATTTGTTGTCATTAGTATGTGTCTTTGGGGACTACTAATTGTCCCCTGTATCACTTGTGGGGACGATCAATTGTTCCTAAACCTATATTTGATATGGTCTATAATTGTTTTAGTATAGGAATAAAAATAGAGTGGAGTTGTTGCTCCATACCCTTTGTACATTTTATTTACAAAAATATAATGGGAAGGTACAAAAAAACACCGCAAGCATATTGCCACGGCATTGTATTCGTTGTTCATCGATGTGCAGCGACCAGCACATTCTCAATCATAGCCGTCTCGCTTAAGCACAATAGTTTGGGTGATCGCCACGGATACCACTCCAATATGAACATAGCGCAAGCAGAGACCACAATGGTGCCACTGACTTCATCATCTGCAGTCGAGTTCAGAAGAAATATAAAGAGAGAATGTTAAAGAAAATAGATCTAAAACTAATAATGAATTAGAAGACTGAAACCAGCAAAAAAAAAAAAAAGGAACTAATACGAATGCTACCACCGTTAGCCGCCATTGAAGAGAAGGAAGCGCCGGTGGACAAGCGGCGCCAAGGGAAAAAAGAGAATAAGGCAGCGAGTCAAACCAAGAAGGTAAAAGAACTCTCGGCCAGAGAAAGTGAGGACTGGACTAATGAGCTAGGGTTTATATTATAACTTAAAGTTGAATGGATGTTTGGGATTTAGATCCATATAAATAAACCGCTGCGATTTAATCATGTGATGGAGAGTTTTTTGGAATTGGATCCGTGTTTGTTACTTTGTTTTGTTAACATTTTCACTTTTTAATTTTTTATACCGTTTCATATTTTATTTTGATTTTAATGTTTTTAAATTTTAATCACCACAATTGAAAATTTGAGTCCAACAGGGGTTTTGTAAGGGTGAAATCTGAAATATATTACACTTCAAGTAATAGTATTTTGGAATTTCGATTATTAATCGAATGAATTAGCACCATTGGCCAATAAAAAGTAGAGGATTATTAAACACACAAAAAAAAACTTGTTGACTGCCTATCTTCACACTCCATAGATTGAAGGATACTTAGTTGTCCCATATAACTTATAGGGATGATTAATTGTCCCATGGTAATATATGTAATTTGCAAGGACCAGCACATATATTTCTAGGAACGACGAATCGTCAATTAAGGAGACAACTGGCTCGATGTGCTCACAATTTGAGCACAATTTTTCCTTAGTCCTTTTGAAAAAAAAAAAAATTCGAAGCCTTTTGAACTGACTAAACTACCAATTCAGTTACTTCTTATCAAAATAATTAAGGATATGTTTATAATCTACCTAGCACAATATAAATAAGAAAAGGAAAAAAACACATTTGATGCAACTAGAACTAGTTCTAATTCGTACACCTTATAAATTGTTACTAAACTGCAAAATAGAAGTTTAAGATATTGGCCTCCGCACGAGCTCGTGATTTTTTTTCGTAACACGAGCTCGTGTATGTGCGAAGTGAAAAATTAAAAGAAAAAAATTGTGAGGATATTAATTATTAGTTCAAAGGTTAAGCATATAGTCAATGATACTTAATTACTAATTAATTAGTTCTTTCATTATAAAGCAAAAAGAATCGATGTATAAGCCAAAAAAAAAAACGTAACAATGATACTCGTTTATTAATTATATGAAGAAACCCGAAAGATAATTTGAATAAAAACACATTGTAAAAAAATAATGTCCCCAAAACTTGTTTCTCATTCCGCGGGGAAAGTAATTTCCCATATTGCGGGGAAGTATAAAAATTTGGGCGCCAGTTCCGAACTTGCACCCACAATAATTAGTTTTATAATTGAAAAAATATCTTCGGAAAATTGCACAATCTTTTCTAATAATGAGAATCCTAAGCAATCTTCTACTTTTTCCAGGCTTTTTTCTTCCGGGGACAAATAACAAAATTTTGAAATTAGTAAAATTTTATTTTCTTATTCTGCAGGGACAATATTATACACTTGTCCTTTATCTCACTTAAAATCATATTTCCTAAGACAAATAAGAGTAGTCGTCCCCCAACTATTGTCCCCAATTCTTCTCAATTTTGTAGTGCGTCCCACTGCTTTCTATGATGATGTTCATGAGATATGGTTCGAAGGTCAGGGTTTCATGCAAGACACCAGAGAGTAGTAATACTAGCCCTCTTTATGTGTAGATATAATATCAAGGGAAAACATCATAAGTTAATGTGACAAGAAGTACGTATTTGTATTTTGTAACTCAATGCGCCTTATACCGTTGTATGAGTGGTCGTAGTATTATGCGCTATGCATGCATGTTGTAAGAAAAATGGTGAAAGTATTGTGGGATTGTAGTATGAAATACAAAACTTAGCGGGTTTATAGAATGAAATAAGGAAATCTGATTTTATGTTTTTATGGATGTGATGTGAAATGTGTGCTTTAGTAAGAATATATCCCTTCCAGACCGAGACTTCCTCGCTCAAATTCTTGGGGTGGGAGCTGTGGGGTCCAGGATAAATATCTTGGATTACCCACACTGATAGCCTAGTCAAAAATGACTAATTTCAGGTTCTGAGAGGAAATATTGCTAAGCCGACTTCAGGGGTGCAACCAACGGACTCTGTCTCTGGCGGCAAAGGAGACACTAATTAAGCCAGTAGCCTTAGCTTTTCCACTTCTTGCCATGTCATGTTTCAAACTTCCCCTCTCTCTTTGTCGGTTATTGGATAGGCATGTAGCCAAGTTTTGGTGGGTTGTGGAGGACGACCACTCCCAGATTCGATGGATGTCTTGGCGTAATATGTGTCGAAGTAAACATGATGGGGGCATGGGGTTTCGTCGCTTTGAGCATTTTATGTAGACCCTTTTAACTAAAATCAGCTGGCGCATCCTCAATGATCCCTAGTCGCTTCTAGCTCAAGTTTACAAGGGAAAATACTTTCCTAATTGAACCTTCTTAGATGCTACCTCACGCTCGCGTCCATCTTGAGGGTGTCAGAGTATCTTGTATGGTAGACAACAACTAATGAAGGGTCTCAGATGGCAGATAACCCTAATTTCTCCAATTCGATTTTTTACAGATATGTTCTTTAATGTGAGATCTATATTTTTCAAGTTTATAATGTTATGACTTTTCTACTTGGTGGAAACATTCACCTGCCTGGTTATGTGGCAGATGATGCTTATATTACATGTGATGAGCAAGTGTGTTGCATCTGGGCCATTGAGATGGTCGGTCACGACGAGGAATCAATAAAGCAGGTGGCTATTTCTAGATAAGGTGGAGTACTTATGGCAACGGAAGAGAAATGGTCGTCGGTTTGGATCTCGATGGCCAGTTTGGTAAGGCTGGTTACTTGGTCCAGGTTTTTTTGTTGTACGTGAAATCAGATTGTATAACTCGGATTGAGATCCGATCGGGATTGGATATCAAACAATCCAATCTCATTTTCGGACTTAGATTTGAGATAAAAAAAAACCATTCGGGTTCGGACCGGACCGAAAAATGAATAAATACCGGATAAGAGAACCCAACACTCAAAATTAAACCAACTCCCCACCTTTTCAGACCTCAGGTCACTCAAATTCCCACAAATTAAATCTAAAATCAATACCTAATTAGGACCGGACCGGATCAAGACCAGACTGTATCCAATCCAATTTTTGGTTCTTATATTCTCGAAAAGACCAAACCAAGACCAGATCAATTCAGGCTAATTTAACCGGACCGGACCGGACCATATAGCCACTCCAGGTAGGGATGTAATGGTGACTGGTTTATTGGTTGGATTTTCTGTGGGCTGTACTTTGACCCATCTGTGGAGCCTGCAGTGGGCCTTTGAAAACCAAAACGTACAACTCACTAATGTAACATTGACGCCCAGTGTCAAAGGACAAAAAAAAACCCTATTGAGAATTACTCTAACACGTTAGGCAAATCCCATATAGACAAAGCACGAGAGAGATCCATGGTTCATAAGTAAGAAACCGACCTTAACTGAAAAGACGCGTTTTGGGGTGAAATGGACGAGTTCTTGTGAGAACTCCAAAGTTAAACGTGTTTAGTGTGGAGTACAACAATGATGGGTGACCTTATGGGAAGTCACCTTGAATTGCATCCAAGTGAAAAACCGTGAGGGTCGAGGCCCAAAGCGGACAATATCTTGGTCAAGAAAAGGTTCGGGATGTTACAAGTGGTATCAGAGCCTCTCCGCGTCCCTCTTGAACGCTGGTGGGGCAAACCTCAACGAGGGCGTTGAGTGGGGGGGGGGGGGGGTATGTAACACCTTAGGCAAATCCCACATCGACAAAGCACGAGAGAGATCCATGGTTCATAAGTAAGAAACCGACATTAACTGAAAAGATGCGCTTTGGGGTGAAATGGATGAGTTCTTGTGAGAACTCCGAAGTTAAACGTGCTCAGTGTGGAGTACAACAAAGATGGGTGACCTTATGGGAAGCCACCTTGATTTGCACTCCAAGTAAAAAACCGTGAGACTTGAGGCCTAAAGCGGACAATATCTCACGTGCCACTTTGTGACAGCGGGTCCTATTAAACCTGGGGGCCACCTGCAATCAAATTCGACGGCAAGGGAGCTTCACCCCCAACAACCTTGTACCTCCGGAACACCAACGGGCTTCGCTTGGATTCGAACCTGCGATCTGCAACTCCCAAACATTCACTGTTGCGGCAGCTTTACGTTAGACTATCTTACCTTTGATGGGTGAATTGGTTAATTATTAATATTTTTGGCAATGTGAATTCAGAATTGCTGAATCATCAACTTTGATATAATTTTGGATGGAGACTGAACCCAATGATAATTTTCTTATACGTTCAAAGTCATGTCATCGGCTCGTGTAAATTGAAATTTTAATGGTCACTTTGTACGAATTTCAATTTTTTGACAATTTATGGTAACTAATCGTGATAACGAATGTTTGTAAATTTAGAAATACTTCTTAAGTCAATAATAATTTCAATTCAGTCATCATCCTCTACAAGTCGGGAACTTTTGTGTTATACTTTGTTTTCTTTTCTCATCATCATCTCTTTTCATTTTGGACCCTTTGATTCTCTTTACCTCTGCCAAGGCTAGACATGCATTATTATTATTATTTCCAATTTTGTCAATTTTGTCATGAATAAATTTGATACTGCCTTCGTAAAAAAGAAAAAGCAATGAATAATGATGTACAATAAGATACTTTAATAACTCAAGTATTCTTTTACAGTAATAACTTTTTTACTTTTGATTACATAGCCTTAGAATTTTGGCAATACCCGAAATAATTTACGATTTTGCTTCACATATATGCAACGAACGACCCATATATAAGGATTGATTACTAACAACATGTTTGTTTTAGGTAATGTTCACGACCAATATAATAATACTTTCTCCACATTAGCGAGGTTGATATTCATATCCTGCCATATCCATGAATCCTCCAACAGCTTTCTAACGACGCATCTGCGAAGGAACGATGAAACCTAGAACAAGACCAGAAAAGAACAAAGCAAACATAACTTAATTATAACGAGAACTAAACATAATACTAATAATCCTTGTTCCATTTTTCTTAAATCGAAATTACTTTCGAGAATGATATATGATCAGTTACTTACTGCCGCACTTCATGCCGGCGGGAATAGAGAGGCCGCAGGACCTGCCGACGAAGACGGCCTTGTTCATGTCGATCAAACCTTGAATGGTTGGAGTCAAGAGGTTCTTACAGGCGCAAGGGACGTCGGCGCCGTTTAGGGCATTGCAACACTGTGGGGAAGGAGGCGTCTTCGGCCCGCCTTTGCTCACGAATTGCCCGCAGCTACTCACCACGTTTCCGACGTCAACGCCGCATTCCGCTTCGGCCGCCACGAGTAGGGTTGCCACCACCAACAACACCGCCGCCGCCGCAGCTAGACCGGGCTTGGCGCATTTGTTCATTATTATTACTGCCATTTGATATGAACAATGTTTATATGATCAGTAGAACAGTAATGTGGAAGGGATGGATATATTGTAATTTTGGGTTGTGATTTTCTGGAGGATTTGATGTCTGTCCCGGGTTTTATAGTACTGCTGGGTTATAATTCCGTGGGGAATCAAACTATATAGAACGCCACGATCGCCGTGCCGGGTGGGCGCTTAGGATAGGTTATGTGATTATCTATGAATTTGATGAATGACAAAACAACGATCAACTTAGGAGAATGGGAAAATGGTATCTATGTGGCCAGCTCAAATTTTGTCACCATTATTTGGGCTTTTCATTCCATGCTAGTATTTTGTCGGGGGATATATTAGTTAGTAAAATACGTATGAAATATGTACGGGTATTTGATTTTATCTTTAAACTAATGCTACGGTTAGTACTACGTTAACAACGATCAACTTAGGAATTAGGATAGGTCACGTGATTATCTATGAATTTGATGAATGACAAAACAACGATCAACTTAACGGAGTGGAAAAACGATAGGAGAATGGAAAAACTGTATCTATCATTTACTAGATTCAGATCCGACCCGCTAGCCGGATACATTTCATTAATTGTATAAATAATAATAGTAATTGTATAAAGTAAGATATCTTTTTCTTGGTACCGTGCAATGATGCAAAGGAGCCATATTTTATTTAACTATTTTGGATTACAAATTATTGCAAAAAATTTCTTAGACTTCTTTTCATTTCAGTTGTCCTCTTGTCACATTGAAATTTGATAATGATAATTATTATAGTTTAGAATTTATATTCTTCTCTATTTTATGATAATGCCAAATTTTCTCTCAAAGTTCATTCTTTTCATGCTTAAGTGAATAGTATAATTATAAAGATACCACTTTTACAAAATAATATATTTTCTTATTTGCCACCATAAAACAATATGAAATATTCAATTATTTGAAAATTGAAAAAATGAGATACACCAAAGAGTTTTCCAACAATTATACCGAGTGATCTATGAAGTTCTTTATAGAAATGAAAACCAAGAATAATGCAAGGAATCTAAATTCTAAGAAACCTAATTTAATTACACTTCATTTCATTTTACTATGTTTTGTCAAACATTAGAGCAATTTTCTTTTGATTTCTTTACCATTGGCCACCATCAACATGTTACTCTCTCAACCATAAACAATATAAACTATCTTCATCACTTACCTATGCTATCTTCACTGTTAATTGTCTCTTCTTTCTTCTTAACAACGTTGTTATCCATTATCCATATCAGTGACTCCACTGCCTCATTTTATTGGTAGCAAATTTGGAGGCAAAAGTTATGCAAACATGAAGCATCATTATCATGCAAAATATCTTTAGAGAAGAACAATCTATGATGGGAAACTTATCATGACTAAAACATGAATCTTGCATTCCATAGACGTTCCATCATTCGAAACTTACTACAGTTAGAAGTCTTCAATTCGAGGAACTAAATGTTGTAAACACATTCATAATTAAGAAGGAATTATGATGTCAGGCATATTCACAATGATGTCGGATAGAATGGTAACTTTGACCTAATCTATTTTATCTCTTTAAAGTGGGTGATACCCACTCCATAAGCGGGGCAGGACGATGAGTACTCTCTTAGACCTGACTCGTCATGACATCCTCATTTTTTGTCTTGTTTTTTTCTAAATAATATATAATTTTACTTAAGTCACACTTAATTATATTTTTATTGACTCATATGTTACAACAATAAAGTTGCAAATAAGTGAGAATCTCAATTACTTGAATAATTTAACTACATAATTATGTTATACTTTGTTTCTTGAGTTTTTAATAAAAATTAATATTTTTAATTCAAATTATATGTCCACATGGATCGATCTATCCCAATCATTGTCTTAACAAAAAAATCATCCGATGGAATTTATACCAATAGACATATATGAATATCGAAATACTTCCCAAACTTCCAATGGCCATTTTTAATGCCGGAGGGATTATGCAAGCTGAATTAGGAATTGAGCAGCTAAAGTTAAGCAACGGGCTTGTATAATACAGTTATGCCGCAAGAATTAAAGGTTGGATTATTATTTTTTTTTTATTATCAACAATTAAAGCTCAAATTAATTTGCCTTTTAACTAAACTGCCGAGCAAGTAAAAGACTGTGCAGTCCTTCTGAACTGTGCGCTCAGGCTAGGAAAATTGAGGAGGTTTACGGGTTGGGTTTAACTTGGTGTACGAAATGCTTGTGCAAAATCCGGTATGCAAAATGCCGATCCAAGTTGGACACAAAAAAACGATGAAGGTGTCAAAAGCAAACCATAATTTGACAAAATGGAAACCATTATGGCACTACAAAAATATGGGCCCATGCGAAGGAGTTTTTTTTTTTTTTTTTTTTGCATATAGGAAGGGTTTTAAATTCTAATATATATTGTAGCATGGATTTTGTTAACCCTTGAATCAACCCTCATCAATTCTGTCTCTGCTATAAGTAGCAAGAATTTTTAGCAACTTACGGTGAAAGTACCAACTAAGGGTTGTAACAGAGGTTCAAACCATCGCTACTCATACCAAGTGTTAAAACCCATGCTACATGATAATTTAAATCCAAACCAAAAATATGTTCTTACTAAGGCTTCAAAACCCTGCTAAATTCGTTGCTAAAACTAGATAGGGTTAAAATCCTTGCTACTGGATGACATAATTGGAATTAGATATGTTTATTCCAAGAGTTCAAACCCTTACTTAATTCATGGTGAATATAAAAAGAATTTGCAACGAAATGAAATGGTCACTAAAGAGACAAATTAAAAATTGTCGCTAAATAGATTCACCAAGAATATAATTTTTTTTATAAATTTATTGAACATACTTTTGTCACTATAAACAATCTCGGAATTTAATATTCAATAGTAACCAAATTCATACCATACAATGATACCCATCAATATTCTGTGATCTGTACCATAATTCATGATCCATAATATTGTTCACATAGCCAACATCAATTACCATAAACATTCAAAGCTAATCAAAAGAAACATAACCTACTGGAATATTACGGTAGTACATGATAAATTCATGATCCAACATCCAAAGTCAATGTCCCGTACGTTAATTTGTAGTCGTGATTTACCGGCATAGATAGATAGGGTAGAAGAGGAGGGGGAAATGAATAGCGGAAGAATAAAATATTAGGCGACGACATATATAGTTATTGAGGGAATTCGAATCATGGGCTGTTTTTTCTTGAACAAGTTCAGATCCCGAGCCGGAATTCTGTTGGTCGCCGTCACGGCCTTCCAGTTGTTGCTGTTTCATCTCCTTCGCCTTCCCCGTCAGGAAGGAGTACATGAACAGCCAGAATTGTGATAATTAAGGAGAACAAGCTAAGCGAGGTCGAAGATTACCCAGTGGCAGCGTTCATGAACAGCCAGCACCAAGTTGACCAGCACTTCAATTTTGTTTTCACTTCGGGGGAGCTGCCATCACAAGTAAGTAATTATTTAGTTTTCCAGGAAGGAAGAAGGCGAACGGGGCCACACAGAGAACAGCGATCACGTGGCGATGCGTGAGGAGGGCAAAGACAGAAGTGCCTCGGTTCAGGACCACCTTTGTTGGAGGACTCAAATGTAACAGATTTGTAGTATAAGGATTGATTTGTAATGTTCGTTTATTGTAGCATTACTTTGATATTTTACAGAAACAATTATATATATATATATGTAATCAGACAATGTAATGCTCACCGTTTTGATCAATAATACAAGTAGACTTTTTCCTTCCAAGATATCAACAACTTTGGACAGCAGCAACATTCCAGACGTTATAGCTTGTACCAGCTATAACGTCTGGAATGATGTTGCTGTCCAAGGTGGTCCTGAACATTGCCTTGGCCGAGCCTTCACAGTCGTGATAATCGCCATCGTCCGTCTCCGATATGAGCAGAGCTAGTCGACTATTGTATTGTATGATAGCGTGAATTTTGCAAGGGGAAAGAGATCAGAGATGAAGATGTCTTGAGCCTGGGGGATTGTGGAGGAATGGAATGAGAGTGATGGGAAGTGGTTAATTTGGTGGAAGATTCGTGGTAGTGGTGGTGATGGTGTTTTTATAGGGCAGCACTAGAGAAACATTAATGATGGAATATTAGGGAAGAGGGGAGGGAATTAATTGGTCGGCAGAGAGAATTGAAGAGAAGGAGGGGAAACAATCCTTTCCTTTTTTTTTCTTCTTTTCTTTCGTTTCTTAATACCAGTGTCCATTAAACCGTACCGTACCAGCGGTTCAACCACGAAATACCAGTATTGGAGGCTAAACCGATATGCGGCATTTACCGATATAACGGTTGAACTACGGTTAAACCACGGTTTTACCATAAAATACCCTATCGTTGACTTTCCCGATACGGTCTCCGGTACGGTTTCATGGATCATGCTTAATACTTCGATCAAAACGCAATCTTAGACTCACTCTTATAATCCTAATTAGCCTAATAACTTTCCTTTAATTTTCAAAAGAGAACACCATTAAATAAAATCCTAGATCTGTCGCTATCCCTACAACATTTTAGTTTATAAGAATTATGAACTCAATCAATGCGACCTAAAATTACTTACCAATTATGTCATCACCGTTTGCAACACAGGGGTACAACTTCCCAAAAATTGGTGGCATTAAAACTGAACGGCCCGTAAATGGCATGATTAAACCAACAATACTGCTTTATAGTTTAGATGGTTAAAATTGCTGGCTTGCAGAACATCCCTAACAAATAGCCAAATACTTTGGAATTTTTCGAACCGCGTTTTTATTCAGCACAAAGTTGTCGACTTTATTTGCATCTCTTCTTCTGCAACGCTGCAGCCAGTCATAAAGCTGTTTAGCCAGAATATTTCAACCCCCCACCTGAACTAAATTAAATGCCACATTAAAGAGTCTTAACATTTAATTGACCTCAAAGTGGCCAACCCAATTAATTATAAATTTATAACTAGATAATAAGCACATTCTGCACAACGGTCTTCCATTTATAGTCTGTTTATTATGGTGAAAATAGAGAATAATTTTTATTATTCTACAAATTTTAATTCACAGTGTTTTTTAAATTTAAGGTAAGAGATATTACAATGAAATATAAATAAAGCTCATAAAAAAAAGAAATAATAATACTCTTGGCAATGCCGACAACTACTTGTTCTGCATTATCATTTGCAGCGCAATGATGAAGTTCTTTTAAAGGAGAGCTTGCAAATACGGATTTGTTGTTATGATGCATCCGATATGGTGATCTAGACGATCAAAAGGAAGAGCAACTTGCTGAAAACTCATCACTAAATTAAGATCACGTCAATCATATTGAAAGAGCTATCGGAAGAATCTTTAACACTTACTTTGTACCACACCAAATGTCGTTCTATTCCATTACTAACACATTTATAATTTATCAAATTCTATTTCCCAATAAATGCAACATCGAATCGAACTCATAAAGCCAAAGTACAATATTTAACCCACGTCCAATTCTATCTCTTGTGGTTTTGGCATCAATAATTTTGCATTATCGATAATGGTCGACAAATTGGTTACCTCTGAAAGAGTATGGCAGAAGTCCATTCTTATGTAACTTATTGGCTGAATGGTTCGTTGTCGATGTCCATGTCCTCTGCTTAGAGTAAAAAAAGAATTCCTCCTAATCAACCACATTTAAAGTAAACTTCAGTGACAATTGATAACGTGATGAAAAGACAAATCATTTATAATTCTAATTGAACCAAATTTGGTATAATTCGTACCACTTTTAGCAAGGGAGAGAACAGAGAAAGCTTCTTGTTACACCAGTATACTAAGCTACTCTCATAACCCTTATTGAACCAAAAAGTAGCATCTCATAATGCTGACGCATAACATAAAGTTTAGAACTGGTTCTTATACAAATTGAAAGCAATTCATCCCCGCTTTCTTAATAAATCCGAAATAACAATAATCCAATAATTAATAAAAATGACTAAATACTAGTTTCTATCATCCCCGCATTCTTCGGAAAACAACCTTGTCCCCAAGGTTGGTCCTCAAGCTCTCTAGGTCTCCTCCTCGCCATTTCCGACGTCCTCAGCCGCGTCTTCTGCTTCGTCCTCCCATCGTCCCACTAGCATCATCAAATCCTGCTTCGAGCACTAATGACCAATGGTGAATCGACCATCACACTTGAAGCACTTGCTCTCCCGTCTTTTCTGCTCAACCTCAGCTGGGGAGAGACGCACGAACCCCTTTGGTATGGACCGGGGTCCTCCCCTGGTCACTGGTGCATTGTTTCCGCCCCCGGTACTCGCCCCTACTGCACTTCCCGTCGCTGCTCCTCCTCCGCTTCCTTCGATGCCACCACTGCTTCCCCCTCCACTTGGCTTCGCGTAACGGCCAATGGTACTCCTCCAGCTGGCAAGTTCTTCTTCCTTGTGACCTGCAAGACGAAAAGCAGCCTTCAAAGAATCTGGCTCGAATACTCGAACTGTTGCTGCTATCTCGGGTTTGAGACCCGCCATGCATAGCCCCACCAGAGTGTCCTCCGGAACTCCCTTGCACTGGTTACCCAACTTGAAGAACTCTGCGTGGTAGTCAGCTACCGTGCCAGTCTGTTTCAGTTCGCAAGCTGCTCTGGAGCCCATCCTTCGGATTTCCCGAACTGGTAACGGAGCTCCTCCTGGAACATGGGCCAGGTGATCAAAGTTGAGGCCGCTGCATAAGACCTTTCCATCCACTCCCACCACTGAAGCGCGTCACCTTCTAAATAGAAAGACGCTGGGTAGGCCTTCCGCTCCTCAGGGATCGGGTGGTTCTAAAACCACCTCTCAGCCGCATATAACCAGAGGCCTACATCCTCTTGCCCATTGAATTTCAGAAACTCAATGGTAGGAGGCTTAGCTCGAAAAACTATCCCATTAGTACACTCATAATTAGGATAGCACGACCTGTACCTGTCATAACCCGGTGCCCTCCATGGCTGCCCCTGTGAGAATCCATGCCCCCTGGTCGGATTCCCAGCGCCGTAGTACTCCTAGTAGTCTCCGGCCTAGTCCGGGTATCCCCCATGGACGTCGTGCGCCCCATACGGGGCTCTCCAATAGGCCGATCCCCTGTTGTTCGCTCCCCTAGTCGGCTGGCTAGTTGGGTTCGGTCGATGTCCGGTCCGACCACCGCTGTCCCACCCTGCTCAGGTCCGCCCCGGTTTGATCCGGCACGATCCGGTCTGCCCGTCATTGGTCCGACCAGTCATGGTCCACCCCGGCCCGCCCGGTTCAACTACCCGGCTCGGCCCGCCACCCCTCTGGTTTACCCCGGGGTCGCCCCACTACGCGGAATGACCCATCAGACTGAACTTGCCCTCCTCGAGCTCGTCCTCCAGGTCCACCCATCTAGGCCCATTGGTGCTTCTTGCGATTTGCTCCATCATTGCGGGCCCAACAATCTCCGGTGGTCCTTCTGCGTCATAACCGGGCATTTTGCCCTTCCCTTTCCGGGCCGCCAGCTCCCGGGCCGACGGTGTAGGCAACAGCCCAGGCCCGCCACCCTAACCTAACATGTCGTGGCCCGCACGCTCCCGAGCCGCCGCCTAGTCTCCCGCGCCACTCATCACTTGCGCCGCCTCCATCACCACCACCGGCGCGACCACCGCCGCCGCCCCGCCAACCGCGGCTCCGCCGCCCGCGCCGATCCCTGCCGGCCCCACGGCCGCCTCGGCGCCGTCGCTCGCGCCGATCGCCGCGCCATCCCCGCGCGCAGCCGACCCGCCATCGCCACCTGTCGCCAGCGGCCGCCGCCCCCTGCATCTCCACCATCATGGTATGGAGAGCATCGAGTCGACTCCACACCCGCCGGGCCTCCTCCAGCCGCTCCTGGCGTTCACTCGCCACCAGATCCACGAGGTTGTTGAGGCGGTGTTGCGCCGCCTCCTGCTCTGTCAAGTCCTCGAGATCCCCATCCACCGGGCCGCACGGAGCAGGGATGGGAGGCCGCTCTTGAGGCGCTTTGGCCGAGGGTTGAGCCCCAGTCGGCGCCTCCTGGTTGGTCACCGGCAGCCCCGTCGTGGCCGCGATCACGGCCTGCTCCTGCGCCGCCTTGGTTGCCTTCTCAGCTGCTTGCATGGACTTCGTTGACACCATCTCGATCGTCGTTCTTCGTTTGCTCACGAACCCAAGAACCAGGCTCTGATACCAATTGATAGAACCCGGAGAGTCAAGTCCTATCTAGGGATTGGAATAAGGGGAATCAATGGGATATTGATTCGTAGGGTTCGTAGGAATGGGAGGAGAAGTAGTGGGGAGAATTGGGAAAAGGAAAGGGAGAAGCAGAAGAATTGGGAAAGGGAATGGAGAAGCAGATTGCTGCTCGGCAGCAAGGGAAGGTTGGGAGAGGGAGGTCGGCAGAGGGAGGGAGATTAGGAATTAGGTTTTAGGTTTAATCTTGCTTAGTGGTCTAATTTCACTTATAAGTGATTTATATAATAATTGGATAATTCCCTATCGCTCCCCGACATATAATTTATTTCCCAATTCCCGAAATAGTCCCAATAATCCGAAATAACAATAATCCGATAATTAATAAAAATGACTAAATACTAGTTTCTATCAACCTCCAGGGTCCAATTTCTTAATATCAAGTAATTTCCCTCGATTAATCTAAAAGGGTTAGGCTCCATCCAAGAAAAAGAAAATGGTTCAACCCAATCTTCTTTGGACTCCCCTTCTAAATTCTAATATGTCACATCCACGGTATGAAACTGAAAGACATTCTAGTATTGGGAGATATTCTTAGTCGAATCAATTTTTACGCTAAAGAAAGTCACCATGGAACTTTGATCTTATATGAAGCTTAGAGCTGGTTATACTCTAAATTGAAATAAACTCATCTTCTATCAATGTTCATACACATTCTGTTAGTTTCAGGACAACGTAATATAGAAGAACAAATACTTACTGATGTCAAGATATGCTTGATTCCTTCAAGAGACCAGTCGACCTAGAGCAAAGTATGATAGCCTTGGGATTGAAATCTTCATCAGTCAGATGGTGCATTTTCCCAAAAATCCAGAATATATGCAACATTTGTATCACTTTAAGGTGTGATATCTTTCTTCAAAAACTCCTGAACAAAACATAATTCATCATGTTAGACCTTGTTCTCTTACGAACTTAATTTCATTACATGGTCAAATAAAATTCCACGTACAAAATCAGTTAATAGTTCTTCATGCTACTTCAGTAGTCCTTAGCAACCTATTTGTTTTGCATCATCCTAAAAGTTAACTACAGTAAAGCCTACTTTTAGATTGGTGTTCCTAAGCAGACCTCTGACGGTGAGCTAAGCAATCCTTGAAAGAGGGTTTTTTTGATCGATTTGGGAATTAGGGTTCAAAGGGAAGTTCTGATTTCAGAGAACAATCGAGGAAGATGATTGAGAGAGAGAGCTTCGATTTTGTTCTCCAAACAGACAAGGACAGTGGGCCGATAAATTGAACAGGCCCAGACGAATAAAAAGTTTGAAACCCAAAAAACTTGAAAGCACCAAAAATTTTCTTTATTTCTTTTCGCAAAAAAAAAAAAAATATAGAAATAACCAAAATTTCCCTCATTCATTTTTTTCCAAAAAGCAAAACCCACCCAAGTTTCTCTTTTCTTTCTCTTCCAAAAAATCAAAAGTAAAACATTTCCCCCTTATTTTCTTTCTCCCAAAAGTTGAAAACGCAAAAAATGTACACTTTTATCTCTTCTCATAAATCAAAAGCACTAAAATTCTCTTTTTTTTATTTAATTAAAATATTCAAAAACACCAAAATTTATATTTAATTAAAATATAAAAATTACCATATAAATTACTTTATTCTATTTATATTTAAAAGTATATCATTTTAAATGAATTTCATAATTTCAACTTTTATTTATAGAATGAAAAATAGGTTTTATGTAGCTTTATAACAAAAAATTTCATTTTGAAAGACTATAGATTATATAACCTACTAATTATTATTCAGGTTAATTAGGCGGGTCACAGGTTAGTCAGGTGTCAATGGGCTTAATCGAATTTGAGTTAATCAAGTTGCGTGACAATTAGGTTATGGTTCAACCGGGTTACGAGTTGGGAGGGTTTCAGATCATTGACTTTTAGTCAATTGGGAATGCGATCAGGTTGGAAGTCTGTTGACCAGGCCAGTTACTCTGTTGAGTTCTATTTTGACACCTCCACTTACAATTTACAAAAATAACTAAACAAATGCAAATGCTCTGGAATTTATATTTATCCTCAATTTTTGAACCTCTCTTATTGTCAAATATATTATGGGTATTACTATTATGAGTATTATCACAATAATGGATTTTTTAATTAGCGTTAGCATACTAACTTCTGGCTTTTTATGGTTTTATGTGCGTTGTCTAACCAAACAATTGCAAGTACAAATGTTTTGGAATTTATATTTATCCCAACTTTTGCACCCTCCAATTATCAAATATAGTCAAAACGCAGTGGCGGACCTACATTGCACCAAGTATTGTCAATTGACAAACCTTGGCTTTGAGTTTGGAACAAAATAATTAATGGAAATTTTATTTATTGATGTTTGTATTGGAACCAATTACCAATTGACAAGCCTTAGAATTTTTAATTAATTTCTTTTGAACTAAAAACTAAAGGTTGTTATAAAATCAAATATTAGATATTTAATATTACTAATTATATACAAAATGAAATAAGTTTCATATCTATTAATTTAATTTATAATTCCAATTCATTACTTCTCCTGTTTTTTTTATCGAAAAAACCCCTTTGACTACCTTACTTGACCCAAATTCCCAACGGATGAGAGCAATTTCTTAGCGACATAGATTACTTTGTGTTATTAGGTACTATTTAAGGGATTCGAACTCCAGATCTTCGGGTTCAAAGTTAGTGGTATTACCACTAGACCAATCTCTTGTTCGTAACGGATAAAACAATTTTGAAATGATTATTTGGTTACATTTACTGGAATTTTTTGTGAATCGCGACACGAATAAGAAGTTTATTTTTGGATTTTTTTTACACGAAAACAATATGTGATTTGCTGTCAAAATAATGATGTAATGCACTTCATAAATTTTTTTTTGTTAAATTATATATGTAATTTGTTATTTTATATTCTTATTCTTGAATACCCTTGAAAAATTTTCTGGGTCCGCCACTGTCAAAACGTGTTTATATCGATCCTCTTTTTAAAATTTATATTTATCACAACTTTTGCACCGTCGTATTATCAAATATATTATTAGTATTATCACCATAATAACCTTTTTTAATTAGCGTTAGCATGCTAATTTCTATCTTTCCAGGTTTTATGTGCGTTGTTTAATTAACTCATATATTAGGTATGAAAAATAAACTTGCACTTTCCATTTTTTCCTATTACCATAACCTCAATTGGTAGTAGGTATGATCGAACTCTCCTTACCTTCCCTTACGTTCTCCACCGTTACGCCAACCAGTCCCCCCCACCTTCCCGTCGCTTCTTTTCCAAGCCCCTCATATATATAAATTACACCGTTCCATCGCTCATTCACAGCATTAATTCAATGGAGAGTTTCCAAGATCTTGCTTATAATGGCGGGACAACCCAGCAGCTGCCACCGCAGTTCATCCGTCCAAGCCACGAACGCCCTGAAAACACCAAAGCCATCGAAGGCGTCACCGTGCCCGTCGTGTCTTTATCTCAGCCGCACGAACTTCTCGTCGATCAGGTCGCGCCGGATGCATGAAAACTTTTACAAATTTTGCGTTATTATATTTTCTATTCATAATATTACGTTTCATCATCATCATCATCATCAGGTTTCCAAAGCGTGCATGGAATGGGGGTTTGTAATGGTTACGAACCACGGGATCTCTGCGACCTTGATCCAACGGCTGAAGGAGGTGGGAGAAGGATTCTTCGCTCTCCCGCTCAAGGCAAAACAAGCTTACGCCAATGATGCTGCGAACGGCAAATTTGAAGGGTATGGGACGAAGATGATTAAGAACCCAGATGAGAAGACGGAGTGGCTTGACTACTTCTTCCACCTGGCTGCACCGCCGGCCAAGGTCAACCCTCAAATCTGGCCCAAACATCCTCCTTCCTACAGGTAAATCATACTCTGGCAGATATACAATAAGGGAAAGTTCATAGCATGTCTATAGAAATTTTCCTCTTTAACATTTTGTATTTGTTATCCTACTATGCATCACAATGATAATGTACAACTGTCCAAAATCTTATCATGATTCATGTATGAGATAGTGAATCAACTATGGTATTATGAAATTACTGAATTTGATATGAGTGATATAATATTGTTTACCATTTTTTTTTTTTAATTACTAAATATAAGCAACCTATCCCACCTAATCCAAGCCATACTAAGGTAGGTTGATTTCAAAAAAAAAAAAAAAACTCAATAATCTATGACCTATTATTGTTTCTGACCTGAGTATCGAATGATCTATATATTATGTGCTGGACCATTAAGCCGATTAGCTCGGAACTTCATTGTTACAGTACTTCAAATGATCAGAATCGAGCACCGGAATCGAAATTATCGATTTAAAAAAATTATTTAAAACTGTGGAAATGGAAACGGATATTGGTGCAATGATTTGACTTATTAATAAAATTTAGGAGCTGCGTTGTCATTGTAAATGAAATTATCTAAAATTATAACTAACCGCGTTAATACTTTTGTTTTCTGTGGGTCATGTCCTCCTTTTTTAGTCACCATTGTGATTATTTTCATTTATCTTAAAAAAAAAAAGTGATCATTTTCATTTTAGTTATATAATAACATAAGATGATAAGAATTCATTCCATTAACAAAAAAACTAATTTTATATATTTTATACATGTTCTAATTTCATTTAATCATTAAATTTAATCTAATTAATAATTTCATACCTTCATAAAATTTTAAAAAACATCAAATTCATATTTATTACTCTGTCTCTTAAACTAATTTACATCAGTTTAGAAGAAGTGGAAGTTCAAAATTCCACCAATAGATAAATGGATATTAGTTGAAGATATCATAAGACTAAGAGGTCGTTTGGAAGTTGTGATTGTTAGAGTTGTGTTTGTTAAATACATGTATTATGTACAATACAATGTTTGGAAGTGTCAAGTTGTAAAACAATGCATGTATTGTTTTGTGTAGGCCCCACCAACAATCACAAAAAATGATGCATTATACAATCTCAACTAAAAGTTGAGATTGTTGTGGTTGTTCCTTTTAGATTTGTGTCCACTTTTTCTTTCCATTTATATCCCCAAATTTTTTTTTTGTTTTATACTAAAAAGTGAGGGTAAATGTGACATTTCCCTATAAAGTAACTTTATGCAAATTAATACATAGACTAGAATCTCAACAACCAAACAATCTATTGTCAAAATGCATCTATTGTATCAATGCATGTATTTATATTGTAGTGATTCATTATAATACAATGATTTAGCATTCGCAACTTCCAAACGAACCCTAAGAAAATTTGTGGTTCACTCCTCAACAACGCCAGAGAAGTGACAGAAGAATACAACAAAGAGATTCTGAAGCTGACAGACAAGATACTAGAATTGCTGTCGGAAGGATTGGGGCTGGAACCGAACACGTTGAAATCGAGCTTAGGAGGAGAAGATATCGAAGCCGAGATGAAAATCAACCACTACCCACCTTGTCCACAACCAGAGCTGGCTCTTGGAGTCGAACCTCACACAGATATGTGCGCCCTCACCCTTTTGGTCCCCAATGGCGTCGCTGGGCTTCAGGTTTGGAAAGATGGGAACTGGGTTGCTGTTGATTGCCTCCCTGGAGCCATTTTGGTTCATGTTGGGGATCAAATTGAGGTAATTATATTACACAAAGCAATTTAATTACACACTTCACAAGTGTAATTTACTTACCACTTTGACACTACAAAAAAAAAAAAAAATTAACGTTTTGATTAAACAGGTTCTGAGCAATGGCAAGTACACAGGAGTGCTTCACAGGACTTTGGTGAACAAGGAGCGCACTCGAATGTCGTGGGCTGTGTTCATTGCACCTCCACATGACAAAGTGATTGGGCCTCTTCCTCAGCTCGTGGATGGTGATCAGAACCCACCAAAATATTCTACCAAGACTTTTGCCGACTATCGATACCGCAAGATTAATAAACTTCCACAGTAAAAGTTGTGATGGTTTTACCTTCTTCTTTTTTGTCTTCGGTCTTGCTGTCAACTTCTGGAATGGAGAGTTTTTTTTGTCTTTTGAAAGCGCCTTCTTGTATCAGAGTGGTCTCCCATAGTTATTTCATCAATAATTCCATTATAATAATAGTCATTCTGAATGATTGTGTGGAACATAATCAAATCAACAATATTTTTCTAGTCGACAACTTACTATGTCTACTTAATTACTGTTTGACTATACCAAGTATCTAGTATGCAAGAAAAAGGAAGTGACAACACTCTCTAGTAATTGAATAGATGGCCAATCATCCAGTTACTATTTTAGTAAGTGTAATTGAGGCAATGGTCATGCATTTAAGCGCTCAGCCCTAGAATCCTTTAATGGGTTTTAACCCCATACAAGTGAAATCAATAAGTTTATGGTCAACAATTATAATTTCACATCAATCGATGTAAGTTCACATTGATATAGGAGGGGGATGGGATGCGGTGACATCCCTCTCAAAGGGGTTGTGAGTTTGACAACCAAGGGCAATTTGGCTAGTGCAAAAAAGAATCTTATTAATTACTTTCGTTTTTATATTAATTACATTTTGGGAAATTAAACACATATTAAATACATTGTTTTAATTTAAAATTTAAATCCTATCACAAATATATTTCTCTCTCTTCCTTTTCTAGCAGTCATTGACTCTGACCGATTGATTTTCTCCGACCGGCAGACCTTCTTCGGTGAAATCCTTTAATCACATTCGCTTCGGGCACCTACGAAAAAGTACGACTCCGTCAATGCGCTAATGATAATGATTTTTGTCCAGTGGTACGTAAGAACTACCAAACTGGTACGATACCACTAGTCACTAGTACGATACCACTAGTCACTGGTACGATACCACTAGTCATTGGTACGTACCAGTGAGCAGTGGTAGCGTATACCAGTAGCGCCTACCAGATGGTACTGATACCAAACGATAGTGGTACGCTACCACTAAGATCTGGGCACTACCGTATGGTAGTACCACTAGTAGCTACCAGATGCTAGTGGTACGCTACCAGATGAAAATCAGTACCACTAGTCTAAAATAAAATAAAAAAACATATCTGAAAAAAAAGGGATGAGGAAAGGGGGAGTTTGTGACATCGGGTAGGGACCTCGTGGCAGTGGTGGTGGGAGGCAGAGGTGGCGTCTCCGCCGTCGAAGGGATGGCGATGCAGCGGTGGTGGGAGGGCGGCGAGAAGGTTGCGTCAGTAGTGGGAGGCAGAGGGCACGACGAGGCGGTGGGAGGGCTGCGACGCGGGGTTGTGGCGATGCGGTGGTAGGAGGACTTCGGCGGTGTTGGCGGAAGAGAGAGAGAGAGAGAGAGAGAGAGAGAGAGAGAGAGGGAAGAGATGGGATGGGAGGAAGAAGAGAGAATTGTTGGTGATGGCGGTAGAGAGAGAGGGGAAATAGAGTTAATTAGGATTTTGGGTAATTAATAGAGGTAATGATCTAATGTGGTAAAAAATTCGTCCAAAAATACCCTTAAACAATCTGCACCGTTAATTTGAAAAATAGAAAGAAAGAGAATGAAATAGAAAGTTAAGATGTGGGTACCGAAATTCACAATCCCCTTGAGGGATGTCATCGTATCCCATCCCCATTGGAGTTCTATGGTGGTTTCTAAGTGAAATTAAACTAAGGAAACAAGACCTATATCATTTAACAATAGTATACAGCAATAAAGGTCCCATAAAGACTCTTACTACTAGTTTCTTGTTTTACTTCATCATCCAACCGATTCATTTTAAGTAATTAATTAGTTTTAACTACATTAAATTGACTAATCAACAAACCAATTAAAAAAAATTTATAAACGCGCTACCACGGATCGGGACATCGCTGGAATGGACAAAGCAAGAATACGAAAGCGAGAATCGAAAACACGGCACACGATTTACGTGGTTCACTAACACGATGTGTGTTTGCTAGTCCACGGGCGAGAGAGAGTCAGTTTCACTATATCGAGGAGATTACATATTACAGAGGAGTATGAGAAGTATTTATAGTACTCCATGAGGGTCTCAACCTAATCCAATCTGGAAAAGGAAACGGTTACAAACGGTTACAGACTATTCTAGTCGTAGCGGCTGATAGTCCGATTCAAATCACATCAACAAATCTCCACCTTGACTTGAATCCTCTTCCTCTGAAATCTCTGATGTACTATGATCCTTCTCTCTCTCTCTCTCTCTCTCTCTCTCTCTCTCCCGCTATCAATACCACATAGGGCGGAGTCACCCACTCAAGACATTCAGCAAGTCCAAGCAATGTTGGAACTTGCCATGTGGAACCGGCTTCGTGAACATATCAGCATGAGTATCCGCGGTGCCAACCTTCTTCACCTTAATCCTCTTCTCCGTCCTCAAGAAATGATACCTCACGTCGATTTGCTTAGTCCTCTCATGGTGGACTTGATCCTTGGCCAAGCATATTGCACTCAAACTATCGCAATAATACACCACTGCCTGATCATGATGTAGACCCAGATCACCAACCAGTCCCTTCAACCATATTTCCTCCTTAACAGCTTCTGTCAACGCCATATACTTTGCCTCAGTAGTAGACAATGTCACCGATCTCCTCGTGTCAACATCTCCAGCATAGTTCGAGTCAGAATACCCAGACACCAAGCACTCTGTATCACTTTCAAAGCTAATCCCAACATCAGGTGTACCCTTAAGGTACCGGAAGATCCTCTTCACAGCCTGCCAATGCTCCTTCCCAGGTTGTATCATGAACCTGCTGACAACACTAACATCATGTGCAACATCAGGTCTAGTGCATACCATAGCGTACATCAAGCTACCTACTGCACTAGCATATGAGACTCTCGACATGTACTCCTTCTCAGCCTTTGACTGCGATGCATAAGTTGAGGATAAATGAACATTTGAAGCACTAGGAGTATTTAAGGGCTTTGCTGAAGACATGTCAAACCTCGACAGTATCTTATGGATGTAGCTCTTCTGTGACAAGAAAAGCTTCTTCTTCGACCTGTCCCTGTAAATCTCCGTACCCAAGATCTTCTGAGCAGCTCCCAAAAACTTCATCTCAAACTCAGCACTAAGAAGCCCCTTTAACTTCTGGATATCAGACTTCGACCTCGCAGCTATGAGCATATCATCCACATACAAAACTAGATATATCATCGAACCATCCTCTGCCTTGATGTGATATACACAACAATCATATGGACTTCTGTTGTAGCCTAGCTCAAGCATGTAACTGTCAAATCTCTTGTACCACTGCCTCGGAGATTGCTTAAGTCCATACAAGGACTTCTTCAGCTTACAAACATAGTCTTCCTTTCCTGGAACCTGGAATCCTTCTAGCTGAGTCATATAAATTTCTTCCTCCAACTCTCCATGTAGGAAAGTTGTCTTCACGTCTATCTGCTCGAGCTCCAAGTCATAATGCGCCAGCCACTATTGCTAGTAGCACCCTGATCGAAGTATGTCGACCACTGGTGAGAAAATCTCATTGTAGTCAACTCATTCCATTTGCGAGAAGTCTCGTGCAACCACCCGAGCTTTAAGTTTAATGTCCTCTTGAGAACCGATTCCTTCCTTCTTCTTGTAGATCCACTTGTTTGTAACAATATTCCTTCCCTGTGGTCGTTTGACTAGCTCCCAAGTCTGATTCCTGTGGTCGTTGCCTAAAATATACGTATATGTAACACAAATTATTTTACTGTACAAGTGTTGCATATTTTTAGGTATACGCAACAAAATTTATCGTGCTGTTAATTTGTGTTGTATAAGATATATATTACGCGGCACAAAATGAAAGTGTTGCATATATTTATTTTATGTGACACTTCTAAAAAGTGTTGCAGGACGAGTGTTGCATAAAACCTCTTTTCCCGTAGTGATATTAAGTAGCTTATCTTTTCCTCACATCACGCTTCATTATCAAAAACTCTTCTCTTTCTGTTGCAGCGATTATAATGTTGTGATGATATTTTATTTCAAAGGTTGATGGTTGATTGCAATGGATCTTTCAGAAAGAAGGGAACCAATAAAAAGTAGTCCACCAAATCCATTCCACCTCGATCAATCATACTGTTTACCTCGTTAAGTTGTTTACTGTTTTTCTAGTGTTCTAACGCAAAGATATAAGAAGCAGTTGTGCAGTCTATGTTTTGTGTAACATTGTTTAGCCTTAGGTGATTTTTTATGATGATTCCATCGTCCTAGGATATATCATTTGGAAGTTTCATTTACTCTAGGCAGTTCAACGTTTCAATAGGTGAAGATAATTGAAATCCTATGTCGTGAAAATTAAATCAAACCCCAATTATGGTTCTGCTTGACTTCTCATAATGAAATTAAGCGCATGCTAAAGGTAGAGGGAAACCATGTGACAAGTCTAGCCAATATCGAATAACAATACAGATAATTTGATCAATGCCCCAAAATTGTTTTATTTTCACTTATATATGTATTTTCCAAATTTTGTATTATTTAGTTATCACGTTAAGTTGTACTTATTCTATCAATAAATATAAATCAACAGAGGCACCTACGACTCCAGGTTCCCCAACTTTAATCAATGTCTGGTTTGATGGTGCTACCAAGAGTGGACATGGAGGCAGTATTGGCTTCGTCGGCTATCATACGACAGGTAATGTTCTGTTTGCTTTTGGGAAATTTTATGAGGGTGTTCAGGACCTTTTTCTCATGGAATGTTTAGCCCTACGGGACGCTGTACACTGGTGTTTAACTCATTCCTTTCTTTCTGTTTGTTTTCATGGGGATTCTCAACTCTTGATCCGTCGGATGATTGGAGGTGATGTGCATTATGTTCGGGGTGGCGCTATTTTGGAAGACGTTAGGAGCTTGGCATCTTCCTTCCTCGGTGTTTCTTTCTATTTTGTTTCTCGTCAACTTAATAGGGTTGCCCATCATGTGGCACAAAAGGCCCTCTCATCGGGAGTTCGACTATTGGTCGACTCCAGCGCTTTACTTTCTTCTGGCTTGTGACTTTGGATTTATACTCTGACTTTGCCAAAAAAAAAACAATTGACATTCACAAATTCTCATTCCAAGAAAGGAAACGGATAAGTCACAAACTAGTGACGATCGAAATCGTACAACTATACATATACTCACAACTTATTAGCTGGTGAAGTGTAACTACATAAAAACTCCAGGCTTAGTACACGTACTATCTTGGACCTGAGATCTGTTGCGAAGATATAAAAGACAAGGGAATATACTGTGGGTCTGAGATAGTACTCGAGTAATTCGAGGTACCATACTCTTGTCGTGAATTCAACAAAGCTTCTCTTTGCTCATTATTCCCTTCTTCCCCAAGGATCGAAGCCTCAGCAAATCTCCGTCCATAAAACCTCAAAAAGTTCAACGATTCCATCCTCGGTTCGCCCAATGAAATTCCTCCTTCCAACATCCCAACAACACTCACCATACTCGGCCGCAAACAAGGCTCCTCATGAACACAACACAACGCCACTCGAACCAACTTCTCTACTTCCTCGCTCCTCACCCGCCCTTCAAGTCGAGCATCCGCCAGATCAACGTACCTCCTCTGCTCGTGCATCTCCAATGCCACCAAAGGAAAGTAAACCATCCCCCCAAACTGCGATGACGTCGTTGTCGTCGTCGACTGCCCACCTCCCTGGCTGGGGCTCGCGGATTTGATCGAACAGTTCTTCCTTCCACTCACAAGCTCCAACAACACCATACCGTAGCTGTAGACGTCGGTCTTCTCCGAAATGGCCGAATTCGTGAGCCATTCGGGCGCGAGGTACCCTCGAGTGCCCCTCATCGTGGTGAATAGGCTCGACTGCTCGGGCCCGAGCAGCTTCGAAAGCCCGAAATCGGATATCTTGGCCTGGAATTGTTCCTGCAGCAGGATGTTCTCCGGCTTCACGTCACAATGTATGATCTTGTGCTCGCACCCGGTGTGGAGGTACGCCAGGCCGCGAGCCGTTCCCAGAGCGATCTCGAACCGCTCCTGCCACTCGAGAACCGGACCGGAGCTCGCGAACAGAGTCCGGTCCAGTGACCCTCTGTTCATGTACTCGTAGACCAGCAACCGCTGCCTCCCTTGGGCGCAGAACCCTCTCAGCTTCACCAAATTGACGTGGTGGACGTTGCCGATTATGGCGATTTCGGTGCAGAAGTCCCTCTTGCCCTGAATCCCGACGTTGGTTATCTTCTTCACCGCGACCACGGATTTATCCGAGAGGACGCCCTTGTACACCGACCCGAACCCGCCCGACCCGATCTGCATCTTGAACCGGTCGGTTGCTTCGTCGAGCTCCTCGTAATCGAATCGCTGAGGCAACCCTGGGATGTAGAACGCATCCATTTCGTCCGAAGAAAACGAATTGGCATGGCTTAGTCTTACCTTTTCGCCGGCGATTTTCCACCTTCTCCACCATACGAAACCTGCAGGCAGTACGACGGCGACCGCGATGCAGGGCAAGAGAACCAGGGCCAATGGAAACTGTTTGTTGTTGTGGGTTTCGTTGACGGCTCCCCTGTTTCCTCCCGAGCTGCTCTTATCAGCAGATTCCACGGTCTTGATGTACCCAACCTGATCGTTATCTCGATCACGGCTCGACATAACCGAACCCAAATCGTTCTCTATGGTGTAACAAGAGCCGGACGAATTGTCGTAGAAAATCCCCAAGCAAGCGCAGTCTGTTGTGCAGAATTCCTGACAGGCCGATAAATTCAACGCGTATTTCCTCGGTTGGGAGAAATCGAGAGCGAAATAGTCCATACCATTGCCGAGGCTCAGATACGAAATTGGCGGCGACGAAGAATTGACCTGACTTCCATTGTTGCTGCAAGAGGACTCCACAAGGGAAGAAGAACTGTCGCTCGGAACGCATCCATTGAAGGAATCCGAATTGCTGGCTTTGGAACGGAAACCCGGCGGGCATTGGCAAGTTGGGTTGTTTCCCGTGGAAACAGAGCACCAGCCAATTTCCCCACAAATGGAGGGGATTTGGCAGACGTTATTGGGTCCATCGAGCTCGTCTTTCATTCCTCCGTGAGAAAAGCTGCTGACAATGAATTGACCAGAGGAGACTAGCCGGGCGATCCGGAATTCGGCCGGTGGCAGAGCAACCCGAGCCACCACAATGGATCCGTTTCGGCCGAAAAGGAACAAACCCGTTCCGTTCACCGCCATGGAATCCACCGGGTAGGTGGAATCCGTGTACGCTCTCGGATCCATGGACAGCTTCCAGTAGCTCTGCCCTCGCCAACCAAGAATCACATCCGAGTCCGAAAACCCGAGCCGGTAATCCCCGGTGGAGAAATCTTCGCCGGAGACGGAGCTAAACAGAGCATTCCCGTTTTTCCTGAGAATTTGTCCGGCGACAAGTGTGTCGGCGGGGTTATCGAAGCTCTCCCAGAGAGAAGTGTTAGTCTTGTCGAGCAGTACGAGATTTCCCGACTCTGTCAGTTGCAACGCTGCGGCGGATGATTTGGGGACATTGGGTATTGACCATTTAGGAGTGCCGTCGTGGTCAGAGATGGAGATTCCGTCGCGGGTGAAAGCCATGGTGCCAGAATTGGAGATGGGTCCATCGCGGTTTGCTGACCAGATGACGGTACCGGAGGCAGAGTGGATGACGCAGAGGTAAAACCTGGTTTGCTGTCCGCCCGGGTTGGAAATGGCGGCCTTGAAGGAGCCGTTGCGGGAGAAGAGGAAAGCTCCGCCGTTGTCGATGAATCGAACGTTGGTGGCAGTGAAGTTGGGGAAGACGAACTCCGTGAAGGAATAAGCAAAGGCGGGAAATGGATTGTGGGAAACCAAGAAGAAGAAGAAGAAGAGGGAGGGGAAAACAGAGGAGTTTGCCATATGGGAACAGAGAGGAACAAAAGGAATGGACAAAAATAATTGATATCTATCCGATTTGGTTTAATTCGATCTGGGAATTCGTTCTTTGTTGTTTTCCCAGCTAATGTCGTTTTCTTAGTTGCGCTCATAATTCTGTTCGGCTGGCAACCGTTGACATCTCGATGGCGCATTCACTCTCTCCTCCGCCACATTTACTGACGCCACGGCTTGTTGAAGAGTCGAGAGCGGTTTGGTGATGGGGATGGGATGGGGGTGGAAGAAGATAATAGTATATTGTTTGGTGATGGCATCAGATGAGGATTTTGAGCAATATTTTATGTTCATTTAAGGAGCTCCAGCTTGGGGTCAACTACAAGCAGGGGAAGTATCGTTGTTTATTCAGGGCCAGGAATGGTGATCTGGTACATTGAACTACATCGCCACGTTGACGGGCCTGGTTTTGTTTGTGCTGCTGCTGCCGCACCAACCTGTCACTCTGATCCGGTTGCTGATAACAGCAGAGATGAAATGGAAACCCTAAAAACCTGATTTGTTCTCATTCACTTTGAAGTATATATATGGTTTCCAGTAGCTACAGTCCAAAGTTTGAAGGTTAAACAAAGTGAAAAAGTACAGAGGTGAAAACAGAGAAGACAAACATTTGAACTCTAACGTTCCTATTGCTGACTTGGCGCCATCTTCTTCTTCTTCTTCCCTTGTACGACGTCGCTCCAGCTTAAATGATGTGTTTCAGCTTGTGATTGTTTTTGTTCAGCTGTTACACCCCCCCCCCCCCCCCCCCAAAGCTGGTGGGCAGAGAATATGTAGACCAAGCTTGGAGAGAAGGTAGGAGAAGGTGGCAGGATGCAATGGTAGGAGAAGATGTCCGCCAACTGGTGAGAGGACGAGACATGGAGGATCTTGATTGTGTCAGATTGGAGCTTCTCTCGAACCAAATGGTAGTCAATTTCTATATATTTAGTTCTTTCATGGAATGTAGGATTCTCTGCAATGTGAATTGCAGATTGGTTGTCACAGTAGAGACTTGCTGGCTGAGGATGAGGCATATGGAAGTCGCAGCAGATACAGTAACCATTGAATCTCACAGGTTGTGAAGGCAAGAGCCCTGTACTCAGCTTCACATGAAGACCTGGAGACAGTGTGTTGTTTTTTGCTTTTCCAGGAGACAAGGGCTGAGCCAAGGTAGATACAGTACCCTGTAATTGATCTTCGAGTGTCTGGACAGGAGGCCCAATCTGAGTCACTGTAGCCTTTTAGGTGAAGATCATTAGCAGCTGGAAAGAATAAACCTGTACTTGGTGCATACTTGAGATATCTGAGAACTCTTCGTAAGGCTTTGTAATGTTCTTCACCTGTATTGGCCATGAATTGACTCAGCTGCTATGAGAAGCTGATGTCAGGACGAGTTGTGGTGAGGTAGATCAGCTTCCCAACTATTCATCTATATAGTTCAGCATCAGAGAGAGGCATATAATGAGTGGCAGACAGATGAGACTTGTAATCCATGGGAGTGGTAACTGGCCTGGATAGGAGAACACCAGCCTCTTCAATCACTTCAAGGGTATACTTTCTTTGAGAAAGATGAATACCTGCAGAGTCACGAGACACTTCAAGGCCAAGGAAGAATTTCAGATCACCTAGATCCTTAATGCTGAAGGTGGAGTGCAGGAATTCCTTGATATGTGAAATCTCAGTCAGGTCATTACCACCAATGAGCAAGTTATCCACATAGATCAAGATGCAAGTATAGGATGTAGTAGTGGCTTTAAAGAAGAGAGAATGATCCACTTTGCTTGATTGATAACCCTGTGCATACAAACTGTCAGCCAGTGTAGCATACCATTGCCTTGGGGCTTGTTTCAATCCATAGAGAGACTTCTTCAACAGGCAGACTGGGTTTGAAATACCAGGAGGGGCTTTATAGCCTTTAGGAAGCTTCATATACACTTCCTCCTGGAGATCTCCATGGAGGAAGGCATTGTTGACATCAAGTTGGTGGACAAACCAATTCTTGGCAGCAGCAATGGCTAAGAACATTATGACAGTTGTGAGTTTGATGACTGGAGCAAATGTATTATGGTAATCCACTCCCGCTTGTTGACTGAACCCTTTGGCTACAAGTCTTGCCTTGTGAAAGTCAAGCTGTCCATTGGAAAGAAATTTCATCCTAAAGATCCATTTGTTTCCAATGGCTCGTTTGCCTGGTGGGAGACTCACAATGATCCAGGTATTGTTCTTTAGGAGTGCCTGTATTTCCCTCTGAACAGCCTCATTCCATTCAGGATATAACATAGCTTCCTCGTATGTGTCTGGTTCTTTGTGAGATGAGATACTGAGAATAAATCTTTGATGTGGGAATGAAAGACTGGAATAATCAAGAACATCAGAAAGGGGGTAAAGTGATACCTGATTCTTGGTTCTCTGAAGAGTGACTGGTAGAAGAAGACTGCATGAGCAGGTTGCAATGGTATTGTTGAAGTTTGGAGGGTGGTTTGGTTGTTCTGGGTTGTTTCATGAGGGCAATTGGGAGTAAGGGTGGGGTAGGTTGAGTTGCTGGACTAGGTGGATCAGGCTGAGCAGTGGTGGGTTGGCTGAGTGAGGGTTGTAGGGGTAATGATGAGGGAGGGATGGCAGTTGGTTGGGAAGGCATGGCTAGGTCTGGAAAGTCCATATATGGATCAGTGGTGTAAAGAGGAGGGTGATCGGAGTGGTCAAGTGGGGATGCTTCAGGTGATTGTTCTTGAAAGGGAAAGATGTGTTCATAAAAGATCACATCTCTGGAAATAAACACTTCATGGGTGTGTAAGTCATAAATTTTGTACCCTTTAATCCCTGTAGGATATCCAATAAATAAACCTTTTCTGGCTCTGGATTAAAATTTTGTTCTATGGTTGCTTAATGTAGAGGCATAACACAGGCAACCAAAGACCTTTAAGTTTTGGAAATCTGGTGGTTGTTGATTAAGCTTTTGATATGGAGTTAGTTCACCTAGAACAGATGTAGGAACACGATTGATCAGATACACAACATGTCTCACACACTCCCCCCAAAACCCCATAGGAAGATGTTATTGAAATTTCAGTGCCCTTGCAACTGCCAAAATGTGTTGGTGTTTTCTCTCAACCTTACTGTTTGTTGGGGTGTCTCAACACAAGACATCTCATGAACAATGTCAGTGGAGGAAAAGAAGTCTGGCATTGAGAACTCCCAGTCCTAATCACTCCTAATCTTTTTGACAGAATGGTTGTATTGTTTTTCAGTAAGGTTGCAGAATTCTTGCAGTTTTGGGCATGCCTGAGACTTGTTTTCAAGCAAGACTATCCAAGTGAGACTACTGAAGTCATCAACTATAGTTAAGAAGTATTTAAATCAATCAAAGGTGGGATAAGAACAAGGACCCCATATATCAACATGTATTAAGGCAAAAGGATGTTCTGAAACAGTAGTACTGTCTGGAAAAGAAAGCCTTCTTTGCTTTGCAAAGTGGCAAACATCACAAGGATTTGAATTCATGGTTTCTATGGATTTACAAAACGTTTTCAGCTATGGTATCTTGAAGTGAGAGACATGTCCTAATCTATAGTGGCAGAGATCAAAAGCTTTTGCAATAGTAGTTGCTATGATTGGCTTAGGGCTACTGGGAACTCCTATGTTGATCATGTGGTAAAGGCCATGGTGAAGCTCAGCAGAACCAGTCACTCTTATGATTTCCATATCCTGTATCATACGAAAATTTGAGTAGAAGGTTAAGCAGATTGATTTGTTGGTTATCAGTTTGCTTACTGAGACCGGGTTGAAGGAAAAGTGGGGAACAAATAGAACTTCTTCTAACACCAGGTCAGCAACTGATGTGACTGTACCTATGTGTGTAGCAGCCACTTGATCACCAGTGGGGAGGGAAATGAAGATATTGGAAACAGGTCTGCAATTCTCTAACAGGGGCAGGGAGCATACAATATGGTCAGAGGCACCTGTATCCAAGATCCAGGTAGAACTGGATGGTTTCCTACTAGACACAGTGAAGGATGATTTACCTGGTGATCCTTCATAGCTGTTGAAGGCAGCTACAGTGTGTTGAGACTGCTTCTGAGAGTCCTTCTCTTTGAGCATTGCCATAAGCCCACAAGCAAAACAAACTTAAGCCCAAAACACCAACACGACACATACTCCAGATCCCAAACAAACCCGAACTAAAAAAACCCAAACCAGCAACTTGCATCGAGAACCGCCGCCAACAACACATCCAACATCCCAAAACACCATCCAGCACAAGATCATGGATGAAGGAAGCAACCCTCCTCGACAAGCAATGAAGCAACAACCTTCAACCCCAAAACCCACCATCACACAACATCAAACGCAACGAATCAGCAACCTTCAACCCCAAAGCCCACCATCACACAACACGAAACGCAACGAAAGAGAGCAACCACAAGAATCACGGAAACAACTAAAATAAAAGGTAGCAAAAGGAACCCAACCCAATTTGTGTTTTCGTCATACAATCAAACACGACTGTGTTCTAGACGTTGTGGTTGTTTATTTTCATGGCTAGTCCAACCAAATGCCCGCCCCTAATATCGAGTAATGTTATTGATACAAAATCTTAAGTGAAATTCCTTAATGATCTTGGATCAAAGGTTCATGTCTGGCGGAGAAGTTTCCGAGAGTGTTGGTTGTTGCAGTCTTCCTGAGTTCCCGCGTCGCTGATCATCTCTCTCGAGTGGGGGAGAGAGTGCTTAATGAACTTACTTGAAAATCTTCTATCTTCTAATTTTATTGCAGGTCCTGAGAGATTGACATGGATGTCGGCTGCATCTGCAGGCTTTAGTGTGAAGTCAGCATATGATCACTAGAGAGCAAATAGGCTCACTGGAATTGATGACTTACTCGTCAAGGTTGTGTGGCAAAAGATAATTCCAAGTAAAGTCTGCATTTTCTTAAGGATTGTGTTTCACAAAAGACTCCTTATTCATGACAATCTAAAGAAACGAGGAGTACAATTACCAAACATATGCGCCCTTTGCGAAAATGAGGAGAACCCGAATCATTTGTTCATCAGTTGTAGTTTCTCGAAGAAAATTTGGCGGACGATGCGTGCTTTCGTCAGGATGGTTAGTAGGACCAGTGATAATGATGATATCTCAGTAAGGATCAAGCAGTGGTATTGTCGAAAGCCCTCCAGTCCCTGGCAGTGGTGCATTAAGGTCTTCCTACACGCCTACTGTTAGAGTTTATGGCTGGAAAGGAATTCCACAACCTTCAATGGGGAGGCAGCTTCCCCTCGAGTCACATCTTTTCGCATTGGATGCCTAATCGCAAGTGAAACTTTTGCATGTTCCTTGGGGGGGGGGGGGGGTTGTCGGCTGTCTTTGCAGCAATTTTTAGTTTTCTCCGGGGCCCTCCTGTTAGTTTTTTGGCCCTATCTTGTTTTCTGTGTATTTTTTCTTCTTTTCTCTGTTTTTCATTTCACCCTTTTTCTCGTTTTGTTTTTCTGTGAGATTACCGATTTGATGTATCCTGGTCTGTT